AATAGAAGGCATATGCCTGAAATTGTGGGAGGGGTTATTTTCCTATTTAAACCCCCAGTAACCCAGCTTACCTATCTTCGCCATTTGGAATTTCCCCTCCCACCTCACCCTTCATTTACATCAATATACCAGGTGGGCCCTCTTTTACAGGCCTAACCTCTCGTCGGTTTCGGAACACCTCAACCGACTTTGGCCTTATTGAACTACATATTTTTAATTGTACGTCCTCTGATTACCCTGTACACAACTGTGATTTACCAGTGGAACCCCGGCCATAAACGCCACCAATACTTGCCAAATATACAAGAGGGAAAATGGGCAAAAAAAAAAAACAGACCCGACAGAGGCCCCATGAGCAGAGATATCGGGGTTCTGCTGCGGAGCTCCCAACAGGGCGCATGGGCCAAGATGGCACTGGGTGACGAACTGTCTTCCTACTCCTCGGAGGAAGCACTTACTAAACCGGGAGAGGAAGCCTCATTTACCCTACCAAAAGAACGCAGCCCCAAACCATCGACCACCGGGGACCCGGTCACGGCGGAGCTGCTCCCAGCTTGAAGCCTCCTCCACCACCCACAAAGCCAGGCTCAAAAGCTGGCCGGCCTGCGGAGACAACAACTTGCCACCACAGAGAGAATGGATGCTCTGGAGGATCAGAGATGGAGATACAATCTCAAAGTGAGGGGGGTTCCGGAATCTGTGGGCCTCACAGACTTACCCCACTTTATCCGTTGCCTCTTTGCAGTCCTGCTACCACCGAAACAGGTGAAAGCTATCCGATTGGATGGGATGTTCAGACTGGCAAAACCGGTGAACGCTCCAACGCCGGCAACCGCGGACCTAATCCTCTGTTTCCAGTCCCTCCAAGACAAGACCTCGCTGCTAACCGCGCTCTGAGGGAACACCCCCCTAAGCTTTGAAGGTGCCACTATAAAGATATTTCCAGACCTCATGAAGGGCACACTCTCCAGGCGACGAACCCTGCAACGGCTATTGCAAGCCTTCCGCAATGCGGACATTTCCTACAAATGGGGGAACCCCCGAGTGCTCCTTTTCACCTACGGTGGATCCACATATAAAGCCCGGAGCTCACAAGAACTGGAGGCACACCTGCGTACCCTACACCTCCTGGAGACCCCTGCACAGTGAAGGCAGGCCTGTCAACGCTAGATCCCGCAGATATCCCGGAGTTCACCCCTGTGCGTTCAGGCGTCCCGGGCTTGACAGATCACTGGCAGAAGCCGCCGTGCCGCGAGTAGCCAGACCAGATGGGAACTCCTCACTTAATTGTCATGGACACACCGAAACCTCTTAATAATGAATGTTTGCCTAACCACCAAGTATCTGTTATTCTATGTTCTTGTTTCTCCTTCCATTTAACCCTTTATAGTTAATCTATTGGTTATGCACAACTACACACTTGCTGACCCGGCTCATACCTGAACAGTCTTGTACACTTCCCTGTCTCCAATCCCCCTCCCCCCCCTCTCCCCAGCACCCTTACCCTGAATGTAGCAAAGCTGACACCACATAGTCGCCGGGTGGAGGGGTGACTCCCTTGACAGGCACTGTACCACTACACATGACAGCTAAACTCTGCTTAAGTGCCCACATAGGGAGCCCACACTACGTTGTCACACTTGTACCTATTGTTTTAACACTGCTTTAAAAAACAAAACAAAAAAAAAACTCGCGCAATTTTAGTCAGAGTTACGAAACTACACCATCATGCCTAAAGTAATACTGCCTGTTAACCTTGATATGATACCATGTGAATGTTCGATCCTAATTGCACTACAAAATAAAGAATTAAAAAAATAAAATACAAATGTTTTCAGGGCATTTCTGCTGAAAAAACCCAAACTAAAGAAATTAAAACTAAACACAATTTCAAACTGACAACTTTGCTTAGTGAGGGGATGTCAGGTCTCGGTATTTGGAAAAATAATATTAACTGTATAAACATTTATTTATCCTGCAAAGCGTCCCTCCATCTTAGCTCCCTCCATCTGAGCTTATTTATAATCTTTGTGTGTTAGCATAAGGAGGAGAGGAGAAATGAAACAATGTTTTTTCTAATACTCCTGTTTATTTGTAATGTTTGCGCTGGCATTGCCTTGTCTGAACTGGTTTATGATTTAATTTTCTGAACCTTTAATATCAATTTAAAATAAAAATAAAAAGTATCTCATAAAAAAAAAGGTTAATGCAAATTATGGAAGATTTTCAATATTTTATGCAATGGTATTGTTACAGCAGGCCAACTTCTTGGCAGTCCAGGATCATCTTAACCCCTTCCTCTGATCAGTTTCCCTCCTAGAAGAATGTGTTTCCCCTCTGCTGTATTGCCGTGTCTAACAATTCTGTTTTTTCCCCCAGAATTTGTCCTTAACTCTCCCTACAAAGAGCGCCCATCCCTATGCATTTTTCCATTTGCCTGGACAATGTCTTATTGTAGTCATTACACTCCCACCTCTTGCAGCTAGCGTTATCACGGCAACTTAAGTAAACACTATAACACCTGTTGCTCCTGCCCCTGGTGACCATAATGCACCAAACTTGTACCAAGCTGGCAACACAATGAGAGGAATCGAAACGACACCTTGATGACTTGAGGGAGCTCTACCAGGAAGCTGAGTTATTACAGAAAATTGACAGGTGGTCATAAGACAAAATGACTTTAAAGTGGATGCTGGGAGTGCCAATCAGAAAGCACAATATACTCACAATAATCTATCAAACTGTGTGATCACTAGAGGACGACTGAGGGATGTATGTTGTGTGTTTACGGTTTGAACAAATATGTATATTAATATCATAAGTTTTCCCAATAATGCTTTTTTCCTTCCCACGCTTCAAGTCTCTGACTGACGGCTGTGGGGTCCTGAGAGAAATGCAATGCTACTCTTGAGTAACTTTATAGCAATTTTTAATACTACTATTCAGGTATTGCTGTTGGTAGTTTTGGCTCCTGATGGTTCTACAGATTGTCAAGAGATGAACAGTGTAACAGTCTGGATCTGGATCCCAAGCCAGGGACCCACTACCCTGAGGTCACCGTTACAGGTATAGTAGTCAAGGCGAGAGAGAACAATGGCATGGACCAGCACCTTAGTCGCGTCTGGCGGATGCGAGTTATGTTTTTGAGATGAAAGCGGCAAGATTTGGCGAACGACTGGACATGAGGGGGTGAAGGAGAGGTCGGAGTCAAAGAGATTACCTAGGCAGCAAGCCTGCGAGGTAGAGGTGATGGTGGTGTCGTTAACTTGGAGGGAGACATACACGGGAGTTTCAAAACTTGAGGGAGGAAAGACCAGTAGTTCTGTATTGGAACAGGTTGAGTTTAAGGAAGTGAGCAGCCATCCAGTTGCAAATTGCGGAGAGGCAGTCAGAGACACGAGTCAAGATGGGCGGAGAGAGATCAGGAGAAGACAGGTTGATTTGTGTGTCATCATATAAATGATAATGGAAGCCAAACAAACTGATGCGTTTACCAAGGGAGACATTATAGATAGAGAACAGTAGGGGACCATGGACAGAACCTTGGGGAATGCCAACAGAGAGGCGTTGGGGAGAAGAGGCAGAGGCAGAAAAAGAAACACTGAAAAAGCGCTGGGAGAGGTAGGAGGAGCACCAGGAGAGAGCAGTATCCCGTAGACTGAGATTACAGAGAATAAGAAGAAGCTGTTGATGATCAGAAAGATGGCAGCAGCAAGATTAAGGAGAATTAGGATGGCCGTGAGATTTAGCGCGTAAGCCAGACTGAAGCAGGTCAAGCAAAGAATTGGATTCGAGGAAGTCTGTCAATCTCACATACACAATATAATTCTTTTATATTAGCTGCAAGAAGGGATACATAAAGCTATTCTTTATATTTGTGATCTTTAAACAGATAACTCAGAACTACAGCAGTTATTAAAGGTTAAAATATGACCTCATCGTCATTAAAGAATGAAGAGAGAAGCCTCCAGAGAGCCTCTCACCGACTTAAATTCCTCAACGCACTCATTGTAACTAACCGAGGAAGCCAATTCTCATTCAATTTACAAAATCATGGGTGGTCAGTCAAGGCTCTGGTTTTTACATGTGATTTTTTGGGAAAAAAAAGTTATTTCCCATGAGAAGCTTCTAACAGGTCAGACTGCAAATCACTGAGGAGATTTGTAATAGATCTGGAATATTGAAGACCAAACCAATTCCTCAAGCCAATCAAGCCACGCTTTGCTGGTATTTGTGGTGCTACTTTTTGGAAAAGGACTTCATGACACCATCGCAATCCAATTTCACCTTCCAACTCATCCAAGGACAATTTAAATATTTTACTAATGGTTTTCATATCATCCTTTCAAATGTATCAAACCAATGTTTTCCCATTACGGTAACAAGTCGACAGGTCTTCTGCTCAAATTGCTGGTCAATATCTGCAATCAGTGAGTCTATAACTGAGCAGTATGAACTTATTCTTTCTTTCTTGCGCCTCAATTGTATGAAATTAATGTTGGGACCCAAATGCATCATCAATGCGAGAGGATGTTTTTCTCTTCTTATTAGGTGGGTATCAAAATAGCAATCTTCCCACAGATTTGTGGACTATAACTATATATTGACTAAAAGCATTTAAGGAAATTTCTCATTGCAGCCATAGAGTTATGAAAACACATTATAAGTGCTTAAAACAGCCTCATGACAGGACATGCGCCTGTAGACAGGTGCCTACTTTATAGGCTGTCTATAGCCGGAAGAGTCTTACTGACTTCAACCACCATCTGTAGCAAAGGGTTCATGGGTAAGACCACATACTTTTATTTTTGCATCAGCAAGACAGGTTGTTTTGGTAATATTACCTGCAGTTTATAAAATGATGGCATAGTTGTGTTTTGCATTTGCCACTGCATTTGCTTTGCACAACCATCTTGTGGTTGACAGTGACTTTAAAGTCTTCTCCATCACTCCATCATGTTGTGCAAGACTTCCTTCCATTAAAAAAGTATAAGGTTTAAATGAAACCAAATAATGGAGGGAGGATATGGCCAGTAAGTAAGGAGCGGCGGGTAGAACTTCCAAGGGCAGGGAAGGGTCTCCCAGGGATGATGGTGGAGGTGAGTAGGGGTGATTGGGGGGAATAGGACCTGGGAAAATGGATGAAAAATAGGGATGAGTTATGCAGGAGGGAATGACTCATCTCCTCAAGGAATATAGAAAGAGCAGGCACCAGCTAGGATGTAAGAGGCCATCCTCTGTGGAGAGTGCAGGAGTGCAACAGCCACCCAATAAATAGTAATGCTCTATTTACAGGTACTATAATTGCAAGACGGTAAAAAAGCAGATATCTCTGCAGCACCATCATGCGCATTCCACTGAGAGAGGGGTCCCACTCAATGTACACTTATATGAGCGGGAGGCCCATCTGCGAGATGATTTCCATCCAGAGGCTGTTATGGCTCTAAGTCAATAAGTAGCTCCCTATTAACAAAAAACAGTTTGAGAAAATATTTAAAGGGACACTCCAGGCAGCCCTTTTTACTCACCTCGTTCCAGCGCCGGGAGCCATCGAGAAAATGACATAATAGGCGGGTGCGAGCAGGGAGCAATCAGACGCTTCCATTCTCCCGTCTGAGTGGCGGCCACTGGAGGTATTCCTATCAATCAATGTAAACACTGTATTTTCTCTGAAAATACAGTGTTTACATTAGATTGCCTGCAGGGAGTTATAGATCTCACCTGAACAACTACATTAAGCTGTAGTTGTTCAGGTGACTATAGTGTCCTTTTAAGTTTCTCGAGCCAATGGAGTTTTTATGGTGTCAGCAGGACCCTGGTGCCAGCTTACCTCAATGGATTAACCATTAATGAAAGGTTTAAGCCCAAAGTGTTCAATCCGGCACCAGTTAGCGCTGCCCATCTCCTTTTCCTTCTGTCCATTTCTTGAGTCAAGAAGACTTGTACAGTGGCTCCGCTGATTGGTCAATTAGTAGCTCCCCATTCACAAAATGGACTGAGAAAAAAAATGGAGATGTGCAGAGGTAACTGGCACTGGAGTCAACATTTTGGGAAACTGTTTGTTAGAGAGTTTGCTATAAAAAAAAAACGCATTGCCTCTCTCCCCCTAATAACGGCCAAGGACTGGGGAATGCTAAGCATGGCATTAGGGTGGCATGGCTGATGAATAAGCTTTGTGATCTCCCCTTCAGTCAAGCTCCTTCTTTGGGCAATGCTCCGGTAGTGACTGACATGCATAATTTGATCTTCCTTGTCTGCCGCATTCCATGGCCATATGCATGATGGCCTCAGGGAGTCATCTGTGCCACATGCAGTAACAATCACTTCAAGTGATTCACTTGAACTTGCCAGGATGACAGCAGTCTTTTCAGATCCTACATCCCGAGCACCTCCTCAGATCCTCAGCCCAACATCTTATGTCTCGCAATAAATAATGTCTAAGCTCCATTACATGTGAGTCCCAAGTCCATTACATGTGAGTCCCAACACAGATTGTAACAATACTGATACATGGGGGGAGAGGTAAGACAGATGGGTGCATTACATGAGATCTAAATTAATTAAAATACAATAAACTAAATAAAAGGTTGGCCCACCTATGGCTACATTAGGGCTTGCCTTGGAAACGTGGCACTTGCCATAACTAATACGTTTAGCAGTCTTTGCTCTAATTGATTTGAAACCATCAGAGGTCAAATTTAAATAAATTTCAAATTTTATGCCAACCTGTACAAAGACCGGTATTCTTTTCAGTTCTGCTTTAAATTTCTGACAATTAAAACTATAATAATTAATCCTGTCGAAGGGGTAAGTTTTTAATTCGAGTTTCCTTTGAAATGTGAAATATCTTTATTAGTGCTTCACAATTCACAATTTATTAAATACACTCCTGATAAATTACTGGTTGAGAATAGGCAAGACAAATGCTATGCCTCATGGAAAAAGGGGAATATTTACATTTACGTCACAAAACATCAGTTAATATTTGATTCTGATGTAGACTGTTATAAATACATAAATTTCAATTTATATTGTTTCACCTTTGCTTGTATTTGCACATAGGGGTTTATCAACTAAATATTTTTATACGCATACACATTCCTTTACACTTTTTTAACATCAGTCACAAAAATTTGCTCATTTCATTTGACAGGGAATAGTCAAGCTGGATTGGGCAAGCAAGCATTACATTGCACAAAAGGAATTAGCTTATTGGTCAAGATTCCTGTTATCATTCACATAATTTTCCCTCCCTCTTTCGTTTTGCTACTTTTCAGAAATCCGAATCACTTCGGACATTTGTAAGCATCTGAATGTCCGAACGGCATGAAATTCATATGAATGTACATTTGGAGCGAACCAAACTGCACATGTATATTATATATTAGTTTTTATTCAATACATTACCTCCTGTAGACTGTAAACTCGTTTGAGCAGGGTGCTCTTCAATCTATCATTCCTGTATGTTTTTTTGTAATTGTAATATTTATAGTTAAATTCCCTCCCACTTCTAATATTGTAAAGCACTACGGAATCTGTTGGCGGTATATAAATGGCAATGACAATAATAATGCCAGTATTTTAAGGCATAAGGCACCTTATTTGTACCTTTTGGGCGGCCCTGAAATAGAGGGTGTCTTATGGGGTCTTTGCGCCTTATAAGGTTGCTGCTAACAATTTATTTGTTATGAACACATGCTTGATAAATTGCATATTAAGTTAATTTAATATTTGTAACGTTAATTAATTACATATAGGGACCTCTACAGAAAAGATATAGAAATTTTAGGTTTATAAGAAACTCTCAGGGTTATCCACTAAAATGAGGATTCGAAGTGAATGTCGAATTTAAGGACAAAATAGGCGAACTGGAAAAATTCTATAAATCGGCTACGCATTCAGTTCGCTTGCTCTGGCCTTAAATTTGAAATTCACTTTTGAATTTTCACCTTAGTGAATAACCCTGTCCGTGACCCAATACTTTCAAAACATGTATAATGACAAGGCAGTTGGCCTCAGGGAACACAGCAATTGACTGAGTCAATTTAACCCTTTAACATCCCTTCCTAGTAATTAGCTCAGAAAGCTGTGTCAGATAACAAGCTCCTGTGGGTATAGGATGCAGACAACTGATGTGTAAACTCCCCAGTGAGATTTAGCAAGACACAAAGTAACAGCCTCCCTCCCCTTTTTGTATGTTACTGCTTGTATTCAGAAACCAGAGACCCATGCAATGAGCTTCACGTCAACTCTCAAAGTCCATGTGGGGAAGCCTCTACAGAGGGATCCAGGAGGGGAGCAATCCTGGGGTATTATTGAAAATGGGTGTGAGAAGACTCATCACAGTGGTAGGTACCCAGGGGCAGTATTTACTAAGGAAATGTTTAGCATGTTTACCGTTTGCAGATAGTGAAAATAAATGACTATTTTCAGATAAGAGATTCCCAAAGACAATTAAACTGATTATGGCTTATTATTTTTACAAGATGGACTGACTATTGACTTTTGAAAAAGGCTTATGTGATAAACATCAGTTTTTGTTTTTTTGCTAACAGGAAGATTACATTGAGAGTTCTTTTTGTGTTCTGATATATTTTTTTAAACTCAGTGGCACAAAGTGTGGTGTGTTTTTTTTAATTTTAAGCTTCATTAACCATGTCAGGATTTGAACCTGCAAACCAGAGGCTTCTTCCTTATGTGCTAATGAACTGAGACAGGTATATCTGATTATGAAGATGCCTTATACCAGTAGGGCTGTTATTAAAGTAGTCATGGTCACCTGTACTTTGTTACATAGGGCTTTTAAAATTGTACCCCCCTACCATCTGTAACTATGTATGAATATCATCTCTCTAATTCCCAAGAAGATGCTAATAGACTGTAAGTATAAATGTCACCTAAATTTTGTCAGCTTTTTTTATTTTTTATTTTTAGTAATGTGTGAATTACCAGGAAGTCACAGTGAATTTTTTTTTTTAATTTTTCTGCTGAAATAGCCGAACTGGAATCCTATCTGATTTGCAGAATTATTCCAGTTTAACTACTTTTACTCTTAAATGTGAAATTCACTTGGAATTCTCACTTTTTTAAATAACCCTGATTAAGCTATTTCACACATGGTGTGTTTTTCAAATAAAATTTAATATGCAGTTAACTGCGTGCTTTTTCTGTTAGCATGGCAAAACAATAACAAAAGGATGATATTGCTTGTTAAAGAAATGCTGATTCTAAAATCAACTAACGTACATTCTGTTACACACACCCAAGGTTAATTACGAACATGTGATTGTCAGGAATGCAATGTCAAATGAGATTATTCAATGAAAACTGAATTGCACAAATAGCAGATTTGGGGGGGGGGGAATTCCCCAACACGGTTTTTGCCTAAATATTACAGTTCGATTACAATTTGATGTTTCACGTATAAACCCTAAAGTGAATTTTACATTTTAGTTAAATAGCCTAATTAGAAAAATTCTTCACGTTCACTATGTATTTAATTTCGCAATATTAGCCTAGCATATGACATAGACTGACCATTCCCGTTATGTCACATTTAACAAATTCTTCACTAAAATCCATACTGTAAAATGCCGTCTAAAACCGTTAATTTATAAATATTCTCCAACTTAGTCACAGTTTGTCTCTTTGTTGAATTTTGCAGTCCAGAGTTCAGTTAAGAGATTAATGAATAACCTTAAAATTTATTTTTTTGCCCAATAGAAAGATTTACAAAGAGTCACAGATGAAACCCATTAGACCCTAGCTGCTAAAATGGGAGTTATTTACTAAGTGGGTTTTGGTTTTTTTCTCACGCATTCCATTTAAGCTTTGCCAAAACTCCCAGGCATTCTTGAACACGTCATTTCCATGTAAAGATGGGCAGCCCCCCAAAAGTGTTGCCCTGTAGTAATTAGATTTCAGATGTTACGGGAAGCAAATCCATTAAGGAGGAATGCCAAGTGGCAGAGTTTGATTAGGATTGCTTTGTGCCCAAAGCAGGATGCCAGATTGAAGCTCTGTTCTGTGAAAGGGGGAGGCCAAGTGTCATATGTGTGGTGTCTGAGTATATGTGTTTGTTGGGAGGGTGAGTGTTGGCTGAGTACGAGAGTGTTGTGTGTGGAGGTGAGTCTTAAAGGGTTATTCGCTAAGGTGAGAATTTGAGTGAATTTACAAATGTCAAAATAGCCAGGTTAGAAAATGTATTATTTCTAATTGTAGTTTGGTGGTTTTGAAATTCACTTGTATTCCCTGCAATTTTCATTCAAAGTAACACCACTAATGTCAGGAATACAAATGTATTCCTGACATTAAATTGTTTAACTGTTTAGATGACCAGCCCGGCGGCCCCCACTCACTTTTCATGGGAAAAGTGAACTTACTCAACTTTTTCTCACTCTGCGCCAGTCTTGTTACCACTGGTCCCATTCAAAGCTGAAACGGCACTGGGAAGCTATTGTACATATGCGGCAATCCGCTGCGCTGTGCCAAATGGCATTTCCTATGGAGGAGGCGCTGATTACCAGTTCTGCACAGTGGGCTAGGAAGCACCTCTAGTGCGTTTTGTTTACCAGTGTGACTCCATTCAGGATTTATTCAAGTAATCATAAGTTAACATTTCTATCAAACTATGTAAAAACCTCCAATCGGTTACATGCTGCCATATGCACCACTTTATTTGAAAGGCATTTAACAAAAATTCAGAATTCAAAGCAAATTTGATACTAGTGTAGCCAGTGATGAGTGATTGTGAGAGGACCCCAGGGTTAACGGGAATGCATTATGGGGGAGGGATTAGAAGAATTCCCACCGTCTTATGGAAAATTTACCTTTATTGACAATTTTCCTGTTAACATATCAGTTTGTCTTTGTTTACATGGAAGTGCAGTTAGAATTTTACAGTAGGGGAAGGAAACCCTAAAACGTTTGTGAGTTTTCCTAATTGTTTTAGAATTGCCAAACATTCCAAGATGATAGCCAAACTTAATCCGGAGAACACTATAAAAAACATGTATGGCGTTAGGCATTGTCCACTCCAAGTGCCGTAATCATGGGGTAAAGAAGGGTGGGCAAATAACGTGAACCGCATCACTGGCGCCAACCAAAGGGAGTGGAAACACCTGGAAACAGAGAAGGCCCGTCTGACCAAATGCCATTCACACAGGTCACCCCCATGTAGGGCAGACCATTGCAGAGAGTACTGTTACGTTCTCTGCATGATCGTAGTGTGAGAGCATCTAGTGCTTTCTGGGGATAGCTCTCCTGGAAAGGCACCAGGGAACAAACCTGAGATGGTGGGAGTGGACCCTGAAATCAGGACTGTCCTGCCAAAATATCCAAGCACTCCTATATCGGCTGAAAGGTCAATTTGCTCATTGTCAGCATCCCACTCACATCTGGGACTTGACTTTTTGTTGTTCACACAATGGTGCTAAAGAATCCCCTTAATAAAAGTTTCATATGGGGGGTGGGGAACAAACATTGGCACAAAGGGGAATAAATGTCTCTATAGTTATTTTATTTTTGTTAGTTTCCATGTTATGTTTGACTTTTATGTATCTGTGGTTAGTCTGTAATATCTGTGTCTTGCCTTACATTTCATAAACTAACTCTGGGGCCTCCTTATAAGTAATACGGGCCATCATGGTGTGTTTTCATATAAAAGCTGTAAAACCTCATAAGTCATTGTCCTCTCCATTACTTCCTGCAAATGATATGCCATCCGTATACTTGTAAGTGCAGAGTATAGAGATCCAGCTCAGAGTTCCAGGCGTGTGGCTGGTTAGTCCTGGTTTGGGGTCCTGGGGAGAGGAGTGCCCTCAAGTCCTAGTTATTCCTGGATACTTATCACCTCCCCAACATCCCCTCCAAATAGCACCTTTATTGGTGGTTGGAGGACCGTGCGACTCCTGATCAAAGATTCACCAGCTCATGGCACAGTTCCGATCCAGTAGTTCAATAGCGAATTTGGGTATCTCCTGGTCAGGCACTTGGTGCGAGAATGGATTCAGGATATCCCGAGAGTTCATTCAGCTCCAGCTGGAGGGCAGGACAAAAATCAGGGGCCGTCCATACTCCATCCCCACAGTGAGAATAACCATCTGGGTAATTTAGAGGCTTCTGGGCAGGGTCCATAGTCTGTATGCCGTCTGCATGCCATCTGCATCCTCTCCCAGAGTCTACCTCTGCCTTTCGGGAAGGGGGTTGACGACTCCTTTCCTTGGCTCTGGTACTGCCACTAGGGAAAGATGCCACCTGCAATCTTTGCCTGAATCCCAATCGCCGGCTGGGGAGAGGGGCCGACTGCTGTCTCTCTCTGTAGTGCCTTCTGCCACTAGGGAGGGATGCCGTCTGCATTCTGTCCTTGACTCTGCTGCTGAAGCATCTACCTCCACTCCCAGGAACTCCTTATGCCACTAGGGAGAGAACTTGGCTCTCCACTGCTGCTTCACTTTCAAACCACTGCTGGGGAGACAAGTTTGCTACATTCTCTCCATTGGAGCTTCCACTGAGGAGAGAGGTCGAATACATTCTCTCCCTAGTGCTCTCTGCACGCCACCTTCATCCTTTATTCCTCAACCAGACCTCTGGGATATCCGCAACTCTTCCCTCTGTCTAGTTCATATGTCCAAGAACCGGGCACCCTCTCAACTCCCATAGCTTTCATCCAGTGCCATGGCTTACCCAGGTACCCGGGCCCACTGTGGAGAAAGCCCTTGATTGGGAAGTTGAGGTATTCATACCAAGCTCTGTATTATAAGGCCTCGCCAACTCCTCTAGCTCCCCTCCAAAGAGTGCCCTGGTAGGTGGTACTGGGACCGGAAGCTCTCTGTTTGAAGCTTCAGCGTGTAGCGGTGGAGCTGCGATCCGCTCCGGCGTTCCAGGGTGAAAGTGGCATTTGCCGGTTGAATACCTGAGCTCCTGCAGCTACATTAAAAAAAAAAAAAAGGGGGCTTTCTCGGTGGCTCTCTGGGAGTGATTTTACTCTAGGATCTGTAGTACCTTCCCTCTAAATACCCCTTTCTTGTCAGGTCGGGAAGTGGGGCAAAACAGTGAGCCAAAGTGACTGGTACTACGAGATGAGTTATAGTTCCAGGTGGCTTGCAGCCAAGTGCCGCTGGAGACCTTTTGGTACTTTGAGTGCGAATACCTGCCAGGCAACAGGAGAGTTCTGGAGAAGGGAAGGTACAGAACAGTTCTCTTGGGGAAGCAGTGTCGATTAGGGCCAAAACAGGGTCTCCAGGCCTGGCCCATAATTGGTAGGCAGGAGGCCAGCCTCCAGGAGCTTGTGACAAGGAAGCAAACAACCTCCTCTCCATGAAGCTCATTCTGCTGCTGCAGAGGAAGGTCGGCTACCTCCCCTCTCTATAAAATGATCTGTTGCTGAGGAGCTAACTGGGTGGCCAGGGTCCCCATGTCATTTTAAACGCATCTTTTTTTCTTTTTTCTTTCAGCATTCTTGAGGTCAGAGATGAGATTAGGTGCTGAGTACTCTTTCCCATTATCAAGCAAAGCTGTTATGATGTTGAGTGGCCCTTTAATAAAGCCATCAATAAAACTCAAAGGAACACACTGTTGAGCTCTACTTGGCTTCCAAATGTCAGTGTTTTTGTCAGGCCAATGTCTTTGTAACAACTCCATACCAGATTCTAATTTGATGGTTGGTGTCACAATAGCAATATTTGTATTTTTATTGCATTTACAGTTAAAACCTCGAACAAGGTGGAAGAGAATTTGACAGTCAATAATGAATCTTCAAAGGTCGAAGGCATCTACGGATGTCCGATGAAGAATGGAGGTGGCTGTATAATCGATGGAGAGGAGGAAGGTAAAGGGGTGGATTTCTGGAATCTGGGGAATATAGGTTAAATTAATCTAGAGGTCAAATTGAAGATGACATATTGTACCAATTTGTTCATTGATGGGTATCACACTATGAAAAGATTCCACTAATGGGGGGTGCACATAGCATTTATAAAACTGGCTTTGGTTTTCATATTTAAATGTTTAGATAAAAAGATTTAGAATAATATGTTCCTTTGAAACAAACTCAACGTTGGTAGTACAAACCCGTATTTCTAACAGTTTATGCCTATTGTTTTTTTGTTTGTTTTTTATATTGGGTCCCTCTTTATGATCTAAATAAAAAAAATCAAATCTCCTTTGTCCCACACAGTGCTGGTTTTGCCATAGACACCACTCTTCCGTTGGCTATATTAAATTGTAGTGGTTCTGGTGTACCCCTTTTTAATCAGGGTAAATTTGTGGGAATCATCAGCTATCATAAGCCAGTGACCCTAAGAAGCTGAAGGCTGATGATTTGAATAGTGTGCTCTTTATGTGAACATGTCTGACTGGTATTGTAACTTAGTCTATGTGTATGTTGAATATTACACTAGCCATTGTAACTTGTTAATTATATGATTCTGCAAAGATGCATAAGATGCCCTCGGAGCAGTAACCGTCTTTTGCACTACAATTACCGTGGACCCTTCTCCAACACACATGTGATGCTCTTTGTTGAACAGCAAGGAAAGTAAAAGTTTTAAACGTATGTAGCTAGTATATCTATGTTGCAAAGTTTTAAAAACATATTCCATAGATCTCTTCGTACAATCCACTCACACTGAAACAAAAACCTAAAAACTGTCAATGCCAGAGAGCTGGAGGTTCCTAAGCAGGGATGTTCATTATCTCTCCTGAGCCATGCCCTATAAGGCAAGGCTTAGCTCATTGGCTGATGGCAACTGCTGATGGTTATCATCCAATGGGTTGAAACCTGCATTCCAGTTCTTGGCACAAGAGAGCTTATGGTAGTTCCTGCTTAAGAAGACCCGGCATTACCGGGCATACAGTTCAGCGGACTCCAGATAAGAAGTCAAATAGTTAAAAAATAGTTTGACTTCTTACAATGGTAAGGCTCCTGGGCACTTCTATCCCCAACAAGCTGTAGTGGTTATGGTACTTGAAGTGTTCTTTTATTGGCCCACTTGCCAAGTTGCATTGGTGGATACGTTAAAAAGCCAAACACATTTATTTACTTTTTGCATCTTCCCCAGTGTACAGTCTTCTAGTGCACTAGCCTCCCACCCTTGCTCCAAAAACAAGCAAACTGTCAGTTGTACAGTCTCTTGAGGCATGTTCTGTTGGCAGAATGTAACATCTATGCACCAAAACTGATCCATTAAGATTTAGTGCTTGGTCTGGGACAGCAAATAGTCGTTGATCTTGAAAAATCTAACTTTCTCTCCATTGTCTCCAAGAATCCGATTTGGGCGAAATATCAAGGAGCCTCCGCAAAGCGGTGAAAACCTCGGATCGTGTTATGACTGTGATCCTTGAGCTGTGTCAACACAGTGGGGGTGAGATATGCGTGCGCAAAGTGAAATCTCCAGTGCACCGCTTAAACACTGTGCAAGCTGGTAAGTGCCAGACTGGGTAACGTAAAGCCAGGTCTAAATTCAAACCTAGTCAAATTGAACTTTTTAATTTATCTGCACAGGTCATTAGGTAAAACTGGATCATTGTAATGTTTTCTTAAAACATTAACATAAAGAAATTAAAGGATTGTATGTACTAGAATTGCATTATTTATTTTATTGTGAAACTCCCTCACTTTACTAACCCCATCTAGGTCATGTGGGTTTTACTCCCAAATTCTTTTTAGGAGGTACTGATATAAATATGTGTGTACATATATTTATATGTAAATGCACATATATTATAAAAGATTAGAAGCCAGTGGGTGGTGTTATGGCACTGAACAGTTTTAAGACGTCTACTAAAACCTTAACCACTGCAATAAGCTATAGTGTTCTGATGGACTGCCCCTCTAATTAAAGATACACTGTATGCAGCATAACCATTTTAGCTCATTGAAATGGTTATAGTGCCTGAAGTCCCTTCACTGTTCCTCCGTTGAATGTTAAATCATTTTTGAGCAGTGTAACTCTGAATGAGGTACCTGGCTACTGACAGCCTAGCTAGGAGTTATGGCTAAGGCAGAGATTACTTCCTTCTAGCTATACCAATTCATACCAGCAATTTGAGCTGTTATAGGGTGAAAGCTGTCAGCTCTCATTCCGAGCTGCCCACTGCAGTTCAGGCCAATGCCTTTTCATAACCCCAAGCAGCACGTGTGATTTTATTTTTTTTTTTAAATAGTTTTAATATGAAAAGTATATTCGTTTTCCCTAAAAATCCATACAGAGAAAGTGGTCATGGTGGGTGTAATTCTCCGTACCCTATGCTGTTCCTCCTCATGCCATCATATTCTCTGCTATACTTATTTAATTACGGACAGCTTCATCTGCTAGGATCCATTGTCTGCAATGTAATTTGCACATGCATGAGCGTAAACAGGGTCTTGGGAGGATCCTGGGTGACCACTGTTTCCCCCCCCCCATAATCTCATGCATGCGCAAGAAAGTGCAATGAGCATCTATTTGTGCATTTTGCTAGGTGATGCCTATTTACATCAAGCATCAACACCAGTGGCAGAAACTCTACTTTTCCCCAAAGATTGACCCTTACATGACACAGTAGACCAGCGTTTCCCAATTGGTGTTCCGCGGAACCATGGGGTTCTGCGGAACACCAACTGGGGTTACTTCAAAAGTTTAAAAAATAAAATGGATGCACGGGCGGCGAGGGAGCAGTGAGCAGTGATCTCCCTGCTCAGCTCCCTCGCGTGCACAGCAGTGATGCTGGAGCCGGAATATAACGTCACTCCGGCTCTGGCATCTCCGCCTGCACGTCAGTGCTCAGCAGCCCCACTGGACCCCAGGGACTGCACGCTAAGCACGCCAGCCACTCAGCAGTCCCACTGGAACCCAGGGACTCCATGCCAGTACTCCTAAAGGTAGGGGGGCTGGGTGGAGTAAAAAAAAAGAAAAAATAATCATTGTTTGTATGTGTTTGTGTGTCTCAAAGAGTAGTGTGTTTGTCGGTGAGTGTATGTGTGTCTGTAAAAGAGTCCACATCACATGATGTTGATACACTATGTCAAAGGGTTTCTCGGGGAAAAAATAATTGGGAACCCCTGCAGTAGACCAATGTATTTTAATTTAACTAGAATCTCAATGAAATTCCAACACAATTAAATCAGTTTTTCATAAAGATTCTGTGTTTAGGAGAATCTCCAAAGTGACAGTCTCTTTAGAACTTTTAGCCATTTGTTATGCAATGTTGTGATCAAAAATTACTTTTTTTTTTATTCTGTAAAATAGAAACTTATTTATTATAGGGTTTCACAAATACGAAAGTTTGTTTTAATGACTGCCTTACAAAAACATTCCATGCCATGACAAGTCAAGTGCATTCCTTACTTCTACAGAAAAGAACTGTAACTGTTTATTACCCCAGTAAAACATTTTATACCAAAGTGGAGTTCCCACATTAGTCAGTCTCCTGTTAAATGTTAATTTCTTTTACTCCAGTTGCAAACGTAAGAATCCAGTTTTACACTTGAACCCTTCCCCCACCAGAGAATTTTCACCCTGGGGATATATATTTAACTTACACACGTAAGAATCCTGGAGAGTTTTTCTCAAATTGGAAATTATTGTACGACTAAAATAACAAGTTTATCACAGGTTCTTATTTCATTGTCCATGTTTCGCTAAATCTTTCACCAAATTTTGCCCTGCAGCAAGCAAACACCAACCACGGGATGGACCTCTCCTGGCCCTTCTGGAATCACATCTGGAAAGCACCATCTCACAGGTTGATGTAGACCTCACACGACACGTGCCCACCTCTCCGGAAAGAGGTAAGATCCTTGCCTGCAAACAGGCTCATGCACAAAATTTTTGTATTCGATTCTTCACTATATAAATGGAGTCTCCAGTTGGGCATCGCATTGCTGCCACAATTAAAACAAATATCAGGCTGTTGCCCGGGGCCTGACAATTAAAATGCAAGCGGACCTAATTGTGTTCCTCAATATAAGGGTTAAGAACCACAATGTTAGCATGGATTGGATTAAAAGACCCTTTGGATAGAAACCTAATCCTTCGTAATAAATAATGTAATATTTATTTTGAATTATTTTCATATATTTAATCTTGAGGCACTGCATATTATGACCCTAATACTAACATTTTTCAGCAAGTCATTGCTTGGGTTTATAGAGCATTCGAAGTGCTATTGAACACTGCAATATTTGTTGTTTGTATATGGGGTGAGGTATATATATATATATATATATATATATATATATATATATATATATATATATATATATATATATATATATATATATATATATATATATATATATATCTCTATATATATATCTCTATATATATATATATATATATATCTATCTCTATATATATATATATATATATCTCTCTATATATATATATATCTATCTCTATCATAGAGAGGAATTTAGGATTGTTAAAAAAAAGAAAAAAAAAAGGTCTTGACAGTCTCTTATATACATGTACATTTTTTATTTTGGATTTTCATGCATACCATTTCGCTCTGCTTGCTTTTATTCACATAATGGCCTTGATGTAATATGTTTGTATAAGATATTTTCAAATGATCTAATATGTTTGGATACATTTATTTAAAAGTTTATTCCAAAAATGTTAAATCATTTGAAAATCGGGTCTACAAATATTAAATTGCGGACTATTTTTGCAGAGGGTACAGAGTTCCTACACTCCTTAATGGAGCATTCATACAGAGCACTGGTAGTTTTAAAATTGTACAGCTGCAAATAAAAAATCGTGTGTGCTCATCCACTTTGTTTTTCACTTTACACGAAGCCTGCATCATTCTGACTGCAAAATACTGCCATGGGGAGGGGGGGAGGTGTATGCTGGTCATATCAAAGGCAGCCCCAGCCTCTTTCAGTGTATAGTGAAAATATAAAAAAGTTAAAATTTTGGAATTTGTATTGTAAATCCCCTTAAGGACACCGCTTCAGAAGTAAAAGACCAGTATGACCGTCATGTGTCCTTAAAGGGTTAAATTTGGTATTTGACTATGAAACCTCCACCACTACATTCCATTCTATCCACAACCTTGTAATAGGGGTTACTTCCTCTGTTAGAGAATCAATGATGGATTTTAATAGAAAGGTATTCATATGTTTGTGCTATATTACTAGTAAAAATGTATACAGTTTCCATTGTATTGCTATATCTTCAGCACTCCTTACATTCTCATATAAACAAACCGGTTATTTGTATGCCTTCGGGTTACATATCGCATTGTGTGCATCTGTTCCAATATACGCACCGTATCTGTACACAAGGATGGAAATATATAGAGACAGAGGATAATCAAAGAGCGTAAAGTCAAAGTCTAGGGCTCCAGAATTACAGGGATTGGCCCAGTCGGTGCTTTAAATGATCTTGGCAATAGTGAGGAGATTCGGTGGACCATTGTTATGAAAGGTTTATAAATGACTGTGACCCATCTAAGAAGACTCTTTAAACCTTCCTAATAACCAGTATGAATGTGGAGGAGGTTGATATGACTTTCTTAAGGGTTGCGAAGCCGAACCGGGCCCCAGAGCAGAATTTCACATCAGGTGGCCCCAAGTATGAGGGCCACCTAATGGATGCCCCCCACGCTTGTGGGCCTTGGAATGGTTGCACCAGCTGCACTGCTGGTTGTTCTGCTGCTGCACAGACTTTCTCTTCCTCCCACACACTCGACGCTGAATTATTGTGAATTGAAAACTGTTTTTGCATCTGGATCAGGCAGATACCACTTACTCACCACCACCACGCAGAATAATCCCACCTCCCAAACGTTTTACACCCACATTTATGCAGCTTCTTGTATAAAATGAATGTGTACAGGCTAATGCTTCTTAATTAAGCCTAGTTCTTTAGCTTTGCAAATGTTCTGCCCAAAGAAGCTAGCCCAAGGGGGACTCTAAGCTCCGTAACCACTATAGCTTATCAGAATGCTTGTGGAGCAAAAGATCTTTTTAGGTGCAATTTTATTTTTTTCTTCCTTGTCAAATATTTGAATAGTTTAGCAACTTCCTCTGCCCCCCTCCCCCATTTAGAAATGAAAAAACTGAATTCGCCCAGATGTCCAAGACCAACACCTCTACTGCTGTGAGATACCTGTAAAAATTTCAACATCATTGATGAGTTGTGAGCACACAAGACCAAACTTGGCTCAGGCAAACCGTTGGACAGAAACCAGAGGGGCTGCATTCAGACTACTTGCATCATAACCAATACAATAAGCTGCAGTTGTTATGGTGCTTAGAGTGTAACTTTTTTGCTGACCTTTCTTACATTATATATTATAGTCTCTCGATAAATGATAATACTTTGTGCGTGTGTATGACTGTGCATGTTTTCAGACCATTCAGCAACATTTGCTAAAAACACCAAGCAGTGAATCCGAATACAGACAGAATGACAATCGTAAGATGCTCTAACTTATTATTATTTTCTTGTTCTTTCATTTACTCAATCTGTCATTATCTGTGTTATCGGAAATGCAGAGTTTCGGAACATTCCAACAGACAAGTCTTACAACTTTTACATGCAGGTTTAAATGTGTCTTTGTTGTGTACTGCTATTTCAGGTGATCAATGTGGATACGTTGTATTCTTTATATGCAAAAGGCAGAATGTGCTGGAGAGTATGGGAGAGGGGATGAGGTGAAAGTCACCAGAGGCTTGGTTTACCTCAGGATCTGAAAAATTATCTTATAGGAAATGACCGTTTCCTATTTCTTTTGCAGTCTGTGAAACAAAGCCACCCTACAGGGAGGAGAGGGGCCAGGAGGGAGAATATTCTGACATTCCTGCTCCACTGGGAACACTGCAAGAAGGAAGCCCCACTGTACAGCACAGAAGCCCCTCTTCCAGTACTCGGCCTGGCACAGCCTATCTCAAGCCGGGTAAGCAATAAATGTATACATCTTACAGGGGGACTTTATACTGACCAATAACCGGTACAGTGAAAGGTGTCATGAAGTAATTGGAGGGGTTATGTGGGGTAATTGGAGGGGTTGTAGGGAGAGAGGCTGTATATGGTAAAGCTATCCATATACAGATCAATATTAAACTCTAGGCTTTACTCTGACTTTGGTTTAATTAAGGTTCTTATTAGATTAAGGTGTCAATTTCTCCTGTTGCTCTGTATAAGCCAAGTTAAGCAATGCAGCTTTCCATTTATTGACGAATTATATTCCCACAATTCTTAGGACAGTAGAGGATTATAAAAGTTATCAGTCTGAGAGTACAGAGGTGCAGCTACCTACCCCAGAGGGGCAAAGATTTAAAAATATCAGGAAGTATTACTTTACTAAAAGGGTAGTGGGTGCATGGAATAGCCTTCCAGCTGAAGTGGTAGAGGTTAACACAGTGAGGGAGTTTAAGCATGCGTGGGATAGGCATAAGGCTATCCTAGAGACTGAGAATAATGCAGGTATTTAGAAAATTGAGCAGACTAGATGGGCCAAATGGCTCTGATTTGCTGACACATTCTATATGTTTCTATAAAATCACTACAAGTGCATTTACCTTTTAACATAAACATGCAGTTTTTCCAAAATGGCAATGTTTTACATTGAAGGGTTAAAGTGACAGGACCACTGCATCCAGGCGACTTCATTGAGATTAAGTGATCTGGGTGACTTTAGTGGTCCTTGAATATTCGTTTTAAAGGCAGACACTCTATATCGAGAGAAAGCAACAACAGAGAAACTGAACCACTGAAACATCAGTTAAAGAGTGCATCGGTATTCCAGCAACAGCCAGTTTAGCTCTTTTAACATGTCACAGTGCTGGGTAAAGTAATTACATTCTAGTACAAAGTGGCAGGACGAATTATATAACGTATTAAGTTTATTAAGGTGGGTTTGCGGTGCGGGTGCAAACACTACATCCCCATAATCAATGACCGGCATTAGAATTGTTGCACTGTTTCCTTAGTGTAGGGCTTAGACAGAATTTGTACTATGATAGAAGCTATTAAGAAATAATCAATCCCACCTTTCATCTACATAATCCGTTTTTATAAACATTTGTTCTCCCTGCGGCTGTATGTTACATGTATAGGCGCTGTCATAGACACCTGTTTTCATTTAATTACAGAATATTTATTTTTATAGTAGGTAATTATACCTGGTAATCTTCCACTTCAGAAAGAACAATAAACACTGTAAACAGCGATGTTTAGTTCATTTAATTGAAAACCGAATTGCAAAACTCACTCCACACTAGGTGAGAACCGTCTTTAATTTGTAAGCCTGAAGTTTGAATTTAATTAAATTTCTCAGTCCACTACGGTTTACCGTGAAGTACTTCAAAGTCTACGAATGCAAATTTTCTTAACTACGGGATTGTGGCCAGGAAATGGTTATCCATTCTGTTATTTAAATTGGTACCCGTTGGTAGGAACAGGCACATATTATCACGTTCCAGTTAACTGCCCTCAATAAGTTGTTTACTGTACTTTGTTACTGGGAAGAGTCTAATTAAGGGTTGTTGCGGTAATTCTAATATGTCTTATTACAGTTGAAGAATTTGATTCTGAGATTATTTTGAACGTAAAGAATGCGTTAAGAACCTCTCATTTTAAAACACATATCAATTGAAATGTATGCTAGGTGCATGTTGAAAAGTGCTCATATTTATTAGTGTCTCTGTCTTGATATCGCATTTTCACCATGGTGGGAGGATATGACACAACTGTTAATGATCTTGTCGGTTTTTTTTTATTTATTTATTTTACAAGTTCCTTTTTTATAAGTTAAGATTGGAGTAAGGGAACCTGCCGTAAGTTAAACTAACACTATGGTGTTGGGAATACAAACATGTCTTCCTAACTGTGACGATATGGCCCTGGTGTCTCTGGCATTAAAAGTCTGCTATCGTCCATGGGTTTCTTCGCCTAACCTGCACTGCTAACTGCTCAACAAAGCCCCAAGGTTACGTTTGCTTGGTAGCACACTGACTCACAACCTAGGACAGGCATTGGCAACCTTCGGCACTCCAGATGTTTTGGACTACACCTCCCATGACGCTTTGCGAGCATTATAGGATGTAATTCAAAACATCTGGAGTGCCGAAGGTTGCCTATCCCTGACCTAGGATATGCTGTGGTTGCATGTTCTGACTATTACAGAGTATACCCACCAGCTTGTTCCACTGGCAAAACACTTCAATGAATATGGTTCTTTAGAGAATCAGCACGACTTACACTTACCTGGATTCAAATACCTCTGAAGGAGACAAGGTAATACACTTTTTGTTGGCAACTTGTTGAATCGTGCAATTGTGTGATGATTTAAAGGGCTGTATGCGGCACATACCTTAAGCGCTGCATACATCTCTTAGTGAATCTGGGGCCACTAAAAATGGACCTAGGTGACAGAGGGGAGCCCCAGGTATCTATTTATACCTGGGTCTCTCTGGTGTAAGCAGGGCTTTAACCCTATGCACTTCATTGCAGCATATATTTTGATGATTTTTCAAAAATTGATCATGTATCCAAAATTGCTGGCTGACTGCATAACATATGGGCTTCACGTTGAATGTAGCTAACAAAACGTTATCATCCAATACGTTTTAAAGAGTTTTGTTGCCTGCTGCATTTTAAAGGGTAATGACCTGTAATGACAGAGGAACGGTAACACATGTTTGGAGCTTTCATCTCCCTGCTTAAGAGGAACGAGACAGGGCAAAAACGTTATTCACGCTACTGCCAATAACATCGAGAGCACATAAGAATAATGTCTCAACATTAACAAGTTAATTTACACATCTGGGAAAAAGTGGCTGCCAAACCACATGACTAAAAGTTTGTTTAGCAGTTTTGATTTTAAAGATATATGCCTAAATATACAGTACTGTTTTTAAACATTTCAAAATGGCTGCCCAACGACATGACTTGCTGATTTCTCAAAAAAAACTAAAAAAAAATCTGAATACAGGTCTTAACATGCTCTTCAAACAGAGCTTCGCCTCTAGTGCATAAGAGGTTTCAGAGCAGGTGGTTTTTAAAAATGTGCATTTATTTCACTATTGAATAATAACCGTAATTTGTTACATAGGATTACTCAACACCATAAGTATCAAAGGTAATAAAGGGCCTAAGGTCACGTTTGTTTTTAATTTTTTAATTTTTTTTTAAATTAAACTTTTTTAAATCCTTGAAACTTTACCAAAATTCAAAGGTTTATGGTTAGGTGCTGCGTATAAATTATGGAAGTAATTTGTCGCATTAGTGTGGGGGACATCTTTTATTTTAATTTTTTTTTTTTTTCTTCAAAAACACATTTTATGCATTGGACACGCATATTGTATGTCATTGGTTGGCAGTGGCCATCTTGAATTTCATGTCCACTTGCGATCATTGCTTATTTTGGCTGGCCATGCTGCTGCCGGGTTTTGGCTTTGAAAGGGGGCTTGGATTAATGTGCCCTGTGGAGTTTGGAGGGGCTTAGGGGCCTTGAGGCTGTTTCCTGCCAGCACTAATTTAGTGGCTCATCTGAGGTGTGGTGCTGCAGTAATGCTTGGATCCTGCTGTTGGCATTGTGGTGGACTTACTGGGAGGAGGTGAGCTTGGTGGATCCCTACTCTGCTGCACTACTGAGCCTGTTTTTGATTAGCCTCAATGATCGGAGGCTTGAGTTGAAGAATATATTCACTATACATTTTTGTAGTGGGATTTAGCATTTAGGATTTTCTTTTTGATTTTTGTTATTTAAGTAACAACTGTTTTTCCGAGCTCATCTATATTCTGCGTCTTGCAATTTTTATTGAGTTTAGCAGGCAAAGGTATAGCTATGATTGTATGCGATCTCTATTTGGCAGTAGTTGTGACTAGTTGTCACTGTGCATTAGTCTTGTGGCATTCCCCAGTGTTACTTGCCAGGATTCGTTACCATACCCACACAGAGGCTTCTCTAATTCTTTCATAGCTTGTTCGTTATGCCTCTCTAAGACTCTCTATGACATAAATCTGACTGTGGTGGATGCCAACTATTGATTCTTAATGCTGCTAACTGATTGGCAAAAAGAATGCAGAGAGCAGGTGGCATCCGCAGCCAATCCGAATCTTATGTTTGCTGTTAAGCAAAATCGCTTCCAGTATTCCACATTACATGGAATTGCGTCTTTGAACTCCCTGGTTCTTTATTCCAATGGTGCCCACAGATAACAGATTTTTTTTTTTATATATATTTTTTTAATACGGGAAAGAAACTTAATAGCAGAAATAAAATTATAAAAAAAAATAATCCAGGTAATACGTGATGAATAGTGCTTTAAGTTTACGCTTATTTTGCGCAAGGTGTATAATGTACTCGCTTCCGTTAGCGAACACTCCGCTGTGATTTTAAAACTCTCTGAAGCCAACATATCCCTTGCTGGATCTAACAGGCAAACCTAGTGGATTGGCCCGTAATTATGTATCCGCTTTGTATTGAATAGCTTCTAGGTTATAAAGATTTCCGTAAACAAACTCTCAGGTCATACGTAGCAGGTGTGTGTAGACTTTGTGCTTTGGAACCCAATATCTTCGGAAATGTCTGTACAGCATTCCTCTGCCGCCCCTCCCTTCACTGCACAGGTCCATTACACCATGAGAGAGTCTGATTTTATCTTTTCTTTTAGAATCTGTTTCACCTAAGAGGAAACCTCACAGATCTGGTAAGTTCACTTTGTATTTTATATATGTGTTTTGATTGATTTATTAACATGTTTACAAAGAAAAAAAAAACTTATCACATTCATCCATCTAAGCTTTAAGCATTCTTTTCCTAAAGAAAAAGATACACAACTTTATGTGTACGTTATTTTTTTTTTAAAGTAATTTCTGCATTTTTAAATTGTATTTTTAATTATTTAGAGTAGTGTTGTAATTTGAGGCTAAATGTTTTGCACTTGTTTTTGTGTTGTGTCCAAATTTGGACAATGTTTTCATGTATCATTGTATGTTACACCTGCTACGTTATTCTCGTTGCCTCTGTCACGGAACCCCATTCCAACATAGGACTAAAAAGGATTATTATCACTATGGAAAGGACATGGACTATTAGGGCTATTATCACTACGGAAAGGGGGGAGGAACATGGCTAACAAATACATTATACAAACCCTGCATCTATAATGGGCACAAGAGTAATGGGGGACCTACAGAAAGTGTCTATCTTCAGCCCCCAGTGATGGTGACCACAGTCCCAGCCTCTTTCCAAATAAAAGCAACAGAAAGTGGGGGAGCTCCAATACTCAACCAGAGTATCTTCCCCAAAGATTTTCATTTTTCATGCAGAGTTTTTAATGATATAGCCGCCCACCCAAACATCAGTCGAAACTTGCTGAAGGGTAAACATAGGAATGCTGTATGTTGGTCACAGCACACACACAGACACACTTACACAAGGCCGTCTTAAACGCGGGGGCCCATGGTGCGTGCGGCCCATGTGAAACTACCACCGCGGGCCACACAATGATGTGGCCCATCGGGTGGCCCATGATCTAAGGGCCACCCAATGGAAATGTATTTTCTGTGATGGTGTCTCAATGCTGGAAGTGCCTGCCAGCATTCACAGAGTGCCGCGTGGGAGGAGCAGGAGAAGAGGGAGTCAGAGATCACACTCATCAGCCTGAGACAGCCACTACACCCCAGGGGAGTCACCGTTCTGCACCTAAACGGTAGGACACAGGAGGGTGCCTAAAAAATGCACATTTTGTATGTGTCTGTATCTGTTGTGTGTGTCTGTATGTATATCTGTTTTGTGTGTCCATTTGTGTGTCTGTATGTATATCTGTTTTGTGTGTCTGTGTATCTGTCTGTGTTTGTGTGTCCATTTGTGTGTCTGTATGTCTTTTTGTGTGTCCGTATTAGGGATGCACTGAAACTTCGGCCAAAAACAGGTCATATTTGCTGGGGGGAGGTTTTTTTTTTGTTTTGCTTTGTTTTTGTGCATAGTTTAGCAGATATGCTTGCATTAACAATTTAGATGATTATCACAATGAAAGATAGTAATGATAACATTACAGGGGGGGGGGGAAGAACACTATGGGATGGGGGGGGACTAAAAACGAGGGAGGGGAGAGGAACATTCAGTGTTAGTGGGGGGGCCACTAAAACAGAAGGGATTTTTTTTTTTTATATCAGATTAATTAAATTCATTTAAAAAAATTAATATTAATAAAGCTTTCAGAAAAAAGTCATTTTCGGTTTCGGCACAGAATTTTCATTTCGGTGCCTCCCTAGTCTGTATTCCTATCTGTGTATCCGTGTGTTTGGATGCCTATCCGTCTCTGTATCTGTTTGTACTTATGTAGCTGTGTGTCTGTATGCCTATCTTTTGTCTGTATGTTTATCTGTTTGTGTATCTAAATGTGTCATTCTGTGTATGTATCTGTATGTTTATCTGTGTGTATCTGCATGTTTGTCAGTGCATTTGTCTGTTTATCTGCACGTTTGTCAGTGAGTGTATCTGGATGTGTTTGTGTATGCACTTGTGTGTGTGTGTATTTGTCTTTGTATGTCTGTACCTGTGTATGTCAGTGTCTCCATCTGTGTGTGTGTATTTTGTCTCCGTAAAAATGAGTGCGGCTAAGTGTGTGTTTATTTGTTGTTGTTTTTTTTGTGTGTGGGGGTGGAGTGCGTGATTGCATGCTAGGCCTAGGGGGCCCAAGCAAATGAATGCCCAGGGTCCAATCAGTATCAAAGATGGCCCTGGACCTACGTCAGGGATTCATTAACTAAAACAATACAGACCTCCACCCAGGCACCTCTGTGTCTGAGAGTTAAATAGATCAAGAACCACTAATCTTACAAAATACCCCAAAACCTATGTTTCTCCACCAGTAAACACCACATATCGGGTATCCCCAGATAGCTCAACCAATCAGCTGTGTACAATTCAAACCGTGCTCTGATCCTCGGCACGGTGCATATGATATCCGGTTAAAGGTTTGAGTTGGGTTGTCGGGCTGCTCCAGAGGACCAAGCCTACATAGATATGTTACCAGGTGATCGGATTTCAGGGTGTTTGGTTTGGTAGTGTCTTCTAGGGGAAGGCAAAAACAGTAAGGTGATTAGAAGTGATTCCCATTGAATTAGGATCATATCGTAACAGAGAATTTGTCATAATTTACCATGGCACAGAAATGTCTTTGTTTTTCGTTAAGACGGAGTAAATGTGGTCACCGTGTTCATGTGTCTATGTACTTCCCAGTATTTCTAACCAAGACATGCCGCTCCTGATAGGTGACTTATATAGAGACATTAGAACTAGCATCTTTCTACTTTAACTTCCACTTTCTATATGTCGAAGTATCCTTTTAAGCCCAGTGGCAAAACTAATGTAGAAAAGACATGTGGGGAGGGCATGTGGCCAAAAGATAGATTCTCAGCTGTCCTACAACACCCATAATGCTTTGCCAGGTGGGGGTTCTATGATTTGCCCATCCTTGCAGAGTAGTATTTGTAACCAGTGTCTGTGTGTTTGAATGTTGGCAGGTTTTTATATGGAGTATGTGTGTGTGAATGATGGGGTGTGTGTGTGTGTGTGTGTGTGTGTGTGTGTGTGCAGTTTTGGTATTTTAATGCAAGGGTGTATTTGTGTGTAGTGTTAGCATTTGAATTCAGTTGTGTGTTTGTGTGTAGCATTGGCATTTACTAGCAGGTGTGTTTGTGTGTAGTGTTGGTGTTTGTGTGCAATGTGTGCATTTTAATGCTGGGATGTCTACACATATCTGCATACACTGCCACATTATTATTATTATATTTATAGAGCGCCATCAAATTCCGCATCGCTTTACAATGGGTGGACGAACAGACATGTAGTTGTAACCAGACAAGTTGGACACACAGGAACAGAGGGGTTGAGGGTCCTGCTCAATGAGCTTACATGCTAGAGGGGGTGGGGTAAAATGACACATAAAGGCAAGGATTGGATATATATACACAAATACGCATACATACACATGTCATAGATACGCATGCGCATTTACATACAGATATTCATATAGACACAGACACGTCATAATCTTTTACATCTTCTTCTCTTCCTCCCCCTTGGCTCTCCATATGCTGGAAGGAAGGGAAACCAACTCACGTCCTCCCTGCACCATAGTCACAGGGGCTTGATCTGTGGTTCCTGTTCAGAACCTGATCAGAGGTGCCAATCGGGTGGCCCTAATTATGAGGGCAACCCAATGGCCATTCCAGCTTGTGGGCACTAGTTGTTCCACCACTGTTAATGCCTGTAGTGGATACAGTAGGTCTGGTCTTTATCCTTTAAAAAAAAAAAAAAAAAATATATATATATATATATATATATATATATATATATATATATTTTATACATTTTTGTCTGTACAGTAAATACGTCAATCAATAGCAGCCTTGACTTGGGATAAGCAACTAATCACACAACAAAGCTTAATTAAATTACAATCCATGAGAATGGAACCCTGTGTTTACAAGCGGCTTCTTCGATAAGGACTGTAGACCACGTGGGAGAATGTCACAGCAGCCAGTTGGAACTGGACTTGAAGTGTCCCTGGAACAATGGGACAACACCCTACTAGAAAAACATCAAGACTGGAAAGGCACATACAACCTGGACAATCAATACATTCGATTTAGTTCGAAGTACACAATAAAGAAAATCCCCACCATTTTTTAAACCAGCTGATAAGCACCAGAAGGGTGGGGAAGAACCTGTTACGATGTCCATCCTGCATGTTTTGTTTACTTTCAAGGTTCATCGTTTCATATTTAACTGCCTTGACTTAATTCATCTGGTCTGCTGCCACAGCCACTGTCTTGATTGTTCCATCAGTTGTAAAGAGTAATGGCATCTGGGCATGTGCAGTGCGAGCTTTGCTGTGAACTGTCCACTCAACATGCCCAACATGAGGGTATTCAACATACTCCTCATTCTCTGAAGCTGAGGAAGTAATGCCCATATATTGTCATTTGCATTGCTAACAAGCACTTGGATAAAAATAATTTTCCTCCTTGCCCCTCTATGATATCTGACTTAAAGGGGCAAACTATTTTTCATTGCATTGAGGTTCCTCAAGTAGCTCATTGTGCGATTTTAAGGACATGCACCCTGTTCACAAGAAAGGATTTAGTCCTGTTTCATTCTAGATCAGAATTCTAATCAGGTCAACTCCTATTAATGTTTGCAGGTGATACCTTGAAACTATTCGACTGTGTATCTAATGTGGAGGCGAAGAAAGGAGAAAAAGTGGAACTGCGTTGTGGGATTCGTGGTACACCTCCTCTGGCTGCCTCTTGGGTGAAATCCAAAAAGCCGGTAAGTAGAGTGGGAAGTGTACACTTATTAAGAGTAATAACTCACTTTAAATTTGGCAACAGTTCTTGAGAAAGAAATGCAAGGTGGGAAAAAAAGTACCTTGGCAACACTAGTGGCCAAAATAACAGATTACGCTTAACAAATTCGATGCACGATTCCCAATGATTACAATGCAGTGGCATATTTAAGCATATAAAGGACATGGTATAGCTAGAAATATTGCTTAACCCCTTAAGGACCAAACTTCTGGAATAAAAGGGAATCCTGACATGTCACACATGTCATGTGTCCTTAAGGGGCTAAAGGACCACTATAGGCACACAGACCACTTCAGCTTAATGAAGTGGTCTGGGTGCCAGGTCCACCTCGCATTAACCCTTTCAGCTGATGATGGGAAAGGAGGAGGAGAGTCCCAGCGCTGAGGGAGCCCGGCGCTGGAGAAAGGTAAATGATTTAACCCCTTCCTCTCCATCCAGCCCAGCGGGTGTGGGACCCTGAGGGTGGGGGCACCCTCAGGGCACTATAGTGGTCCTTTAAATACTTTAACACATGGCAAATGTTGAATATTAAATAACAAAATAAGTTAGAATGTCACTACAAGGGGTCAAATAAATTAGGCCCAGGCACTCAGGATTGCTGCAGGAAGGCAGGTTTATTGGAACAAAAAGTGCAACGTTTCGGCCTACACAGAGGCCTTTATCAAGCCGAAACATTGCACTTTTTGTTCCACTTCATACACAGGAAAAAGTCCTTCATAATAAGTGTCCACTGCAGCAGCAGTTACCTATTTTGGTTTTACGAAAAATATTTTCCACCAATTCAGTACCACATGCAATCATATGTGGAAAAGAAGAAATAAATCCATTTACAGTGTATGGCGGACCTCTTGTAGATAGTCGGAGTATCGCTGCCAGGGATTCCCTTTTCCACTCCATAAAAGCCGCAGGGTGATTAAAGCTCCCCCCTAATCATGAGCCGAGGCTTGATGTAAGGGTACAGGACAAAACATTTATTGAGCGACAGCCCTCTTTTTATACCGATGTCCCCAACAAGGGGTCATTGAGAGAACAAAGCATTGCACAACATATTTCACAATCCTGGTGTCTGGGACACAAGATAACTTTAATAACATTCAGACACCTAACAATAAAGTCCCCTAGAACAATACTTTCCCTTGTGTATAGAACTATGTCTAAAAAGATTTTAATCACTGTGACAGAAGCTCCCATGCCATGCCATTTTGGAGAGGCTTGAAGGCCAGCCTCTTACCCACAGACTATGGACCTCGTCCCAGGAGTCCCTAAAAGAAGTGTGGACATTTGCATAATGCTGGTATACAAATGAGGGCAAACACATACAGCATTAAATGTATATATTATTTGTATCTTAAATGTCACCACATGTTTAAGGACCATTCCCCAAATGCTATTCCTAAACGTAAAATAAAGTTTTGTATGTTCGTTCCTTTTGGAACTGTGTGTCCTGTGTGGATTTTTATCTGGCTGCATGAGCCCTCTAGCCAGCTGCAAATATCTTTGTAAAGACAGGAGCAATTACTAAAGGCAGTGTTGCAGAGGGACGCTAACCTGCCTAGAAGAAGAGTCTGGTCGAGTGGAAGAGTTCCAGAGAGACAACATTCGAACTTCTGACTCTGGCTGAAGTGTTCCAGGCTCTCTTCCCAACAGCTAGGATGTTCGGTCAGAGTACAGGAGTTCCGTTACAACTTGCCAGTATTCCCAAACATTTGTCTCCCACGGGAAGCTGACCTCTGAGAACAAGTCCAAAGAGCGCCCGGATCGGAAGTGTCAAACCCGAGTAGTGTCAGGGAGAAGTTTAACTGGGCCACAAACCTCCTCTGATCTGGCGTAGAGCTCTAGAGCGCTGGGTGGAAGGTTCCGGTCACATTTGAGGACTGTTTGCAAAGCTGGTACATGGAGCTTCCTCAAGTCCTGGATGTCTTTGAATGCCAGATCACCTCCTCAAACACCTGTCCAATTAGTGATCTTTTTGGTGGTTCTGGAAACCGAGCGCTACATGGATGAAGCTTGACCGGACCTCAGCAATCCAATCTATAGTCTGCCATGCTATGGTTATGAGAGTCTCCCGCTGGTCCTTGGGACTCTCTCTGGTAGATTTTTGGGCTCTTCTAGCCTGGAGGCATGATGGGAAGGAGTTCAGTCGAGTGGTTAAAGTTCCTTTGAGGTGGTGGCTGGGAGACTTATATTAGTCCATGGTGACTGGGTGGTCTGTCACACAGTGTAAATGTGGTTTTCAAGGTTTTGTTTATATGACCGCATTCAGGGAGATAGGAGCAAAATAGATACATTTACCTGAGCTTCCTTAACCTCTGATCAGCCATCTTCTTCATGCTCCTGTTCATTTGCCAGTAGTCCTGTCACTTTTACAAAACTGGCTCTCTGGAAGCCCTCACAAAACAGCAGAATCTATCACAGATGATCTTGAGCATGTGGAATGGGAAGTCATAGGCAATGCTACAGAGAGTGAAGTGTGATGGGAAACCGAAAGATATGGCCGTAGAATACCTTCTTGTTTTGCCAAAATTAAAGTTCTGCTTAAGACAAAATAGTCCCTATTTTGTCTTGATACATTTGAATTATTTTTTGTTTCAGTATATATGGCATATATATTTAGCAATATAGCAAATGGATAGTCGGCACAAACAAGTGTAGGAAAAATCTAAAAATTATCTTGAAAGAAACAGCTGTGTATATTCATGTGATGTGCGAATGTCACATCTTTTGACCGTCCCTACATTTTTTGTAAACCAACCATCTGGAACCATTGCTCTATAGAACCTTGCTGGAGGCAATGCAAACATCTTTTTAATTTTTAACATACATAGTAAAAGGTAAAATGCATTGTTTTTAAAGCACTTACTTATCTTCATGAAATATCTTAAATGCCATAATGCAACCCTGCCACTGATGGAGCACGTTGAACCTTTTTTTTCAGATGTTCTGCTTTACTGGTGTTTTGTTTTTTCCCTTTTTATCAAGTTTGTTAAAAATTAAGAATGGATTTTTGAATGTGTGACAGAGCCTGCACCGATCACGCTTTACCTGTTGCAGGACTCTGTATAACTCCCCCTTAAAAGAGCTTTATCACTCCCTGGCTTTGTCCCCTGTTCCATCCACACTCATGCAGCGGAATTCTCTAATTGCCATCTGCGGGACTGGGGCAACCGCAACTTCTTCAGAGGGATTGGTCCTTAATTGCCTTTAGTTCTATGTTTGACAGGTGCAAGTTGACTTCTCAGTACAATATACAACTATTGCCGCTGTGTTACCCAGTCCCCCAGGAGAGCACTAATTGGAGGGGAGATGAAGATCAAGAGCAATTAACATGCACCGGGAACCAGTAGAAGCCCCCTTTTTTTTCCATAGTAAGTAGGGCTCCTTTTCAGGGACCAGCCCTTAGCCGGTAGCAGCCTGGAACACTGCACTTTTGGACATCTGCACATGGTAATTGGTTCTGTCCAGGGATGTATAATTTGTCAATATACTGTTGAAGTAATGTTTTTGGAATTACTGTTTAAGGCGCCCTGTTGTCTGGAAATTATTAAAAACTATCCCAGTTAATTGAATTGAACTTTGAAGGAGGTAGACAGCCTGAGTACTGAAGCTCCATCACAACATGGACTTTGTAGACCGAGTGCCAGCTCACATGACTAAGTTAATCCTATCGGAGTTCTTGACCAAGAAATAGTCAACTTTGAACACCAACACCACAAGGAGAGAATTTTAATCCCCAATGTTTCAGAATTAAAAAGGGAAATAGTTATATATTAAAGAGCAAAAAATGGGTCGCAAGAGTATTCTGAGGACGGACAGCAGCTAAAATAGCCTGCCCTTCGGTGGGTCCCCGCTCAGAACTCAAGCTGGTTTTAGCTCAACTTGTGCCATTACAGAGAGAACATATCTGAAGTATATCAGACTGGTCCCACCCATACGGGCAGTCCAGATCCGAAATGCCAGCAAGTTCTCTCTGCACGAGAGATAGCAACCCCAGACGATCGCTTGCCTTGGGCATCGCGTGCCTAGGGAGATATCAGCTATGCCTCACTGATGATGCCTAACAGGGCTGAAACGATCGTCTGGGGTTGCTGTATCTCTCGTGCAGAGAGAACTTGCTGGCATTTCGGATCTGGACTGCCCGTATGGGTGGGACCAGTCTGATATGCTTCAGATATGTTCTCTCTGTAATGGCACAAGATGAGCAAAAATCAGCTTGAGAACTGAGCGGGGACCGACCGAAGGGCAGGCTATTTCAGCTGCTGCCCGTTCTCAGTATTCTCTTGCGACCCATTTTTGACTCTCCAGTTATATATTAAACCAACTTGTAGGGTGTGTTTTTTATTTATTTTATTTTTTTCAGAGGGGCAAGTCCATTCCAACCCCAAACACTCTGAATGATATGGAGTATCTGACCAGTACATGTTTTGGAAAGTACCATGCATACCTTGCTAATAAAGTTATGGATATCATACTGAAAATATACGTAATATAGCATCAGTGTACATTATTCTGTAATGAATGTGTATAAGTTTTTAAAAACTCGTTTTAGTGCTATTTTTGGATTATCCTTGCTCCATGGCAGGAGCAATTTTTTGCAAGGTAAAACTACTTATGTGCTAAGAACGCTGTTAATTTTGAGATTAACTGAACTAAATGCATTAAAAAGAAAAGAATGTAATCTTTTATTAATAATTTAAAAAAAAATATGAATATATCCTTCAATCGTAAATAACACTGGAGTAGTTTTACATATTTTTATTTTTTTTTTGTTTTACAAAAAGGTTTTTTTTCATGGTTTTTTTTTGTGTTTTTTTTTTAAACGGTTTGTTATTCTGAGCCCTTTTTGTTTGTTTGTTTTTTTCGTTATGATCACGCAGGTAGTGAATGGACCCCGGATATCTGTCCACACATCAGATACTGAGAGTCGCCTTGTGATTCAGCAAGTGTGTGAAGAAGATGCTGGCTGTTATACTTTGTGTGTGCAAGACCAGGCTGGAAGCATACAGCATCAAACAAGCCTGGCGGTTGTAGGTAAGCAGGGTGAAACGTGACTAATCTAATGCATCTATTTGGAATACAGACACCGCTGTCCTGTGCACTTAACAAAAACATGCTAAAGAGAGACACAATGCACCAAAACAATGTTAGGTTAATAAAGTGACTTTTGTGTGTAGATTGTGTCGTTGGAGTCTCAATGTTCTATTCTCCATCATTTAGGACTTTGATTTATGCAGCCTTAGTCACACCTCCCTTGGCCGAGACTCCGTCTCCCTACACACCTCCTGAAAAATAGTCTACATTTATCTTCCCTTATTGCACAGTGTGTTTAATTTAAGGCTGTTAATTGCCTGTTTGATCATGCACGGGAAACCGCTGTACACTCAAAGTTCAATTAACATGGCAAGGGATAAGCATATCTATTGTAAACATACTGTTCTGTAAGATCTGCTTAAAAATGTAACCATTTTTTCATGGAGGCAGTGTGAGTAACAACCATGGGAGGTGTAGCTAGGGCTACACAAGAAGAAACAAAGTTATTTAACTCCGGAATGAGATTGGAACAGTAAGTCTGCTAATGCATGATCTATACACTGCTTCGTTAAGCTAAAAAAAAATGTTTTGGTACGTAGTTTCCATTTAAGCTTTTGTGTGTGTTTGTTTCACTATACCCTGTTGCTACTTTCTTCTTAATGCATAATTATGCAACTTTCTGTGTGGAATTCAGGTGGTAAAATAACCTATATCAGGTGTTCTTGTTAGAGGAACTTTCCTTTTGCCATGTCTCGGAGAAGAGGCTTCCATTGTCCATTCTAACCCATGGAAGAGTGCTTTAGCAATGCCATGGATATGGGCAGCCATTAAATGGCTCCACAGACTAGATGCTTGTTATCCTGGTGTACATGCCAGTTCAGGGACATACGAATCAGTGGCACCACACCACCTTACTCCATCTCTAGAGATCTAGTCTTGGGATGAGACTTACCTAAGACATACAGACATTCCGGAATATTTTTTTTTTTCAATTAAAGCAAGGGATAGCTACATGGTCAAACCTCTTCTAAAGTAAGTAATTATTAATTGGTTTTGGTTAGAATAACCGTTTCTGAGGTAGTCCATCGTAAATTAAACGTAAAGTAAACTGTACCACCTTTTCGTAGCCTAGTCAAAGTTTCTCTGCAGCCTGATCCTCCTCGACTGACGTCACTCAGCCGAGGATCATCAGGGAGGTTGGAGTGAAGGGAGGGCATGCTCTGGTGCCAGATGCCAATTTTGCACAGATTTCACAATAGCTAACCCTGAAGTTTGTTCAGGGCTGGTTACATGCTGCACATGTCATGTGCCCTTAAGGGGTTAAAGCAAGTATAAAAGCCATTTGAAGGATCGCCTCTTGACCCATATAGACCTTTGCATATTCTGGCTTCTATTATTAGGTCCGTAACCTTAACAGTTTCCATACGTGGATGTAAAATTGTTAGCACTTCATTCTATTGGACTTCTCCTTCCCAAATATAGTACCATCTTCTTTCATATCCTTCTTTCTTACCTTTCATAAGGCATACAACTTCTACTTTTTCCTCATTTTGGTTTCATGTAAACTTGTGACTTTAAATTTCAGTGTCTACAGGAGGGATCTTAACAAGAAATCTATAAATGGCAATCATGGTCTATTGCATGATCTTATTAGCAGAATTGCAATCGCTATTGAATATACGTGTGAAATCTGTCCTTTCTATATGTGGAGGAAAGCCATAGCTCATTGGGCATTTTTTAACATTGATTTAATATAGCTTTTCAAGCCTTGACATAACATATGGCTATTTTAAATGTAATTGTCACAGTTCTTTTTATTGCCCAGGTTATTACACAGCCTGGTAAGGCCCATATGGTGGAGAGGGATACTTTCACAGTCCCTCTCCTCTTCTCAGTGTCGTCACGGCCTGCCAAAACCTTCGAATTTTGGGAGCGTTGCTATAGAATTCAAGTTACCGACTATATAAAGGCACCATAGAGCAAGGATCATTGCCCTGTTGTGGTTCTAGTTTTGGTGCCCAATAATGCTCTGTGTTTCTGGTATATAGATCTTGGCTATTCTGACATTTCTCCATCCTGTAATACTGTGACTCGACTTTTTTTGTTTTTGTTTTTTGTTTTTCCTACCTGATTTCTGTTTTCCCTGACTCTGCTTGTCCGTGACCATTCTCTAGCTAACCATGTTAAACCCGGCCACTCTAGAACCGGTATGCATTGTCACATCTGTTATCATATAAACACTGCGTGATATCGTGACAGTAGTATACAGCTAATTTAGTCTTCCTTTTCAGCTTCAAATGTTGAGGCATTGCTCCAAGTTTTTAATTTACATTTTTTTTAAAATCTATGTAAACTTTACATATGTACCTGCAACTGTGACTTTATATACTGTTTTATTTATTTTTTTGTCTTTAAGATAAAATGTGCAAGAGTTTTACTATATCTACTCATGTACGTGTCATTTCAAAATGTTAAAGAACCACTGTAACCTCAATTTTAATTTTTAATGTTTTTAGTGTAATGATCAGGATTGAAAAGAAATGTGTAAATATAGATTTTTAAAATTAAGTATATGTAAAAAAAAATAAAGAAGTTATGCCTACCTTATATGCCAGTATATGACCGGATCCCTCAGCCATATACATGCATCTTTGGTCAGACTGTGTATACAAACCAACAGTTAGTCTCTATGGTCTTCCCCACTACTGTGCACGGAGTGAAGCTGGCAAAACCATAGAGACTAACCATTTTAAAACACTGTCTGACCAAAGGTGTATGTATATGGCTGAAGGATCCTGTCCTATACTAAAAGCAGGAAGGATTTTTTTTTCTTCTATTTTCCATATACTTCATTTAAAAATAAATACTCACATTTCCTTCCAATACCTGATGAAACAATTGTTATATTAAAAATATTTTTGAGGTGACCGTTGTCCTTTAAAACCACAATACCACATGTCAGTAACTCTTGGTCAAAAATGTTCTCGTTATATGCAGCTGTCTTGATTGAGGCAAAACTTTAGTATTTCTGTGGAAAAATTTATGATTTTCAAACAGTTGTCTTGTAAACGAAGGCATTTTTTACTCACTGTTACATTTTGGCACTTTGCTATGATTCTGCATTAATATTATTAGCTTGTTGACTTGAATATAATTTCTGAAATGTTATTTTAAATAAACATTTTCTTGCTTGCTCACAGAGCCACCCTCACCTCCATTGGGGAAGCCAATAATTTCAGCTCTAAATTCCACCTCTCTTACACTATCGTGGTCAGGACCATGTTATGATGGTGGCAGTGCAGTGCTGAATTATTGGGTTGAAGTGAAAGCTATTGGTCTGAAGGCGGAAGATTGGCAAGTTCTTGCAGACCATTGTGTGGACACCACCTATCAAGTCACTAAGGGACTGGAGTCTGGCATTCAATACAAGTTCCGTGTACGGGCTGCAAATATCTACGGAGTGAGCAAGGAAGGAGAAGAGTCTGACGTGGTCACCATGGCCTGCAATGGAGGTTAACTCATGAAGATTATATCAAACTGAGGGTTCTAAAATGTGTTTCGAATTTCAGATAAAGTGATATTTGGATTTAAAGGTTTAAAAGGGATTTAAAGATATAAAGGAGATGATATTGTGTATTGACTAGGCCAAGGATGGCTGATTGTGGCACTCCATAAAGTTTGTGGACTGCAATTTTTTTAATGATGCGGTCAAAATCATGGCCAAAACTAGCCAGAAAGGGGGTTGTGAGTGATCCAGAACCTTATGGAAAATAACAATAAATTAACTCCAGGGAGTGGCCCATTTTGTGTTCAGAATGTGACTTCTTGTCCATTTTCCTTTTACAGATGTGGAGTCAGATTATGAGGAACCCATAAAGTACACTAAAGTCTCCATCAACTCCACAGGCCGTGTGAGCGATTTCTACAGTCAGCTGGAGAAGCTGGGAGTGTGAGTGCTCTCTCAAGCTGGGTGTTTGGGGTTTACTAATTTGTGATGAATTAAGTTCTGGGTCTGTGAGTGAGAGTGATCCCGCAATGAATGACCATAGATCTCTTACAGTATTACTGATATAAGTATTAAAGGGGCACTCTAAACACCATAATGACTACATTTTATAGTTCAGTCTGTAGGTGCAGTGTCTTTGATTTGTATGACGTTGTTTAAGAGCAGTTTGACAAAAACTGCTGGGCCCCAATAATATAGCAATGAATGTACACATGTTCAACTTTGGGCAACCCTCGAGGAAAACCCACATTAGCAGAGTCAAAGAAAACTGACTGGGCTGTTGACATGAACTAGGGGGTGGTGTATTCTGGTTTTGTGCTGCCCTAGGCATGACAACTCAGGTGTCCCCCCCTTCCTGACAGACACACACCCTCACTGATGCATGCACTGACATACTCACAGTCATTGTCACACATTGTTAAACACACACTTTCGCTGAGACATACACACTCGCTCATTCAGTTACACACACCCTCACATTCACGGACAGACACACACACATATGCACTCGCCAACAGATACTTGCCATTATTTAAAAAAAAAAGAAAATTAAGTTTCAATCCACCCAGCCTCCTACCTTTGGGAGTGCTGGAATGGGTTTTTCCCTGTGGTCCAGTTTGGCTGGCTGCAGCGTGGCAGGCAGGCGGTCTGGCAGACAGGTGAGCTGTGGAGGCGGGTGACGAGGTAACTCTGATCCTCTGCTCAGCTCCCTCACGCACCTCTTAGTGATCCCGGAGTGACGTCATACTCCTGGTCCGGCATCACTGCTGTGTGTGCGAGAGCTCAGAGGAGAGTGCTCCATCGCCGCCCACAACATCAGTGCATGCCAGCCTCGGGGGGGGGGGGGCCTGAGGTGGCCAGCCGGCCAGCTCCTGGGCCCCCTAGAACAAGAGGCTGGCAAGGCATTTGCCATGGTGATTGGGGGGCGGCTTCTTTTGACACCCCCCCCTGAAAGTGTCGCCCAAGGCATATGCCTTGTCAGCCTTGCGGTAAATACACTGCTGACTGGGGGGGTATTTCATATACAGACTCTGTGTACCAAATCCATACAGTTAGATGTAGTGGTTATGGTCAACAATTGGTAACTATAAACCCATCATTATTTGTATTTATTTTTTTATGGCATTGCCATACCTTGCCAACTATTGCTCTGTTCATTCTTTTGTAACATTGGAATGTATTAAATGAAGTTAGAAACAGTTGGGAGTTTTATGACTGTCATATAGCTTCCTGCCCCCTGGTGTAACAGAAAATGTTAGGTTTATATCTGGGGTCAATATCTATCTAGAGATTGCTAGTGCCCAGCGAAGTTACTGCAATGAAGCACACACTGTCGTTCCGTTCAGAGAATGCACCTTAATAAAACTCTTATATGTAAATATGTGGATGCTTTGTTCAAACAAATTGAAACATTTAGGCAAAAATAGCTTGCACAAATTCTTCAACTTGTTTACAGTCACAACTTGCTAATTTTAGCCTGAATTTTGCAATTTCTGAGTGAATAGCAGGTGCCTTCTGTGCTGTGTCCAGAGGGGGGAGTGTGTGTGTGTGTGTGTGTGTGTGTGTGTTATATTATTTTTTACTTTTATACTTCAGATTAATAGTTCATACACTTGTCCTTATATACATAATATTCACATTTTGTCATATTTATTTTTTTAAATATTCTTTACTACATTTTAATAAGTCCTGTTCTCCCATATGAAATCAACTTAAATTTCAGTGTATACGCATTTCATTTGGAATTTAAATCAAATCATGAAATTTCTTTTTCAAAGCAGGGGTACTTGGGGATTTTTTAATTTTAATTTTATAAAAAAAATTTTTTATTCATTTATTTATTTTTTAATCCTGCAGAGGTACTTCTCCTTAATAGTTTGAGAAACCGTCCTATAGAGTACAAGAAATGTGTTCACTTTGTTTTCAGATATTGTATACTGCCACCATGTGGCAAGTCCATATATCCATTGTCTCGTACTTTAAAGTGACAATTTCCTTCTAAAAACAAAAATGTATAAAATGCCCCCAATATATTGTAATGCATTTTTCCCCCTTTTCTTAACATTCTCCCCTGTTTTTGTCAATATTATATGCTTTTCCCTGCATCTCCCGGATTCCTTTTTGGGTCACTTCAACCTCACCCTGTAATTGTTTTTTTTTTCTTTTTCTTTTTTTTTAAAACCTTTTTCTTTATTTCAACCCCTTAAGGACACATGACATGTGTGACATGTCATGATTCCCTTTTATTCCAGAAGTTTGGTCCTTAAGGGGTTAAGGAATGTATTTTTTCAATTTTAATTAATTTTTTCTAAGCCTTGAGGATTAGAACAAAGTCTGATCTGTGCTTCTTTCTCCATTTCCAATCTATGTTCCATTTTCTCACAGGGGTAAGTTTGGACAGGTGTACAAGCTACAAGAGAAGGCTACTGGTAAAATACTGGCTGGAAAATTCTACAAGACACGGTCAAAGAAAGACTTGGAGAATGCTAAAGCAGAAGTAGAGCTGATGAACAAGCTCCATCACCCCCGTTTGGTGCACTGCGTGGATGCATTCTTAGAGCCTGGTCGTGTGGTCATGGTAATGGAATTGTGAGTGTTTCCAGTTCAAGCAATATACGTGTGTGCTCACTCCTCCTGTGTTCGTTTACAGTATACCTACAAATGCATTCTGTTGGTAACCCTTGATTTTCTACCTGCTTCCATCTGTCTCCTGTTCTCTTCACTTCCGTTTTGCTTGCTATATCCTTTAACGATTATATCCTTATATTCTTTTTCTACTGTATCTTTTCCCCTGCTCGCTTTCCATTCCATTGCTGGACTATCTTTTTATTCCCACTTTTCTGTAGTCGGGTTCTCAATCTGTTTCCTCTGTTTTGTAGTTTGGATCTATTACTGCCCCTATATTCTGTAGCTAAACTTTGTTTTCATTAGAATTCCAGTTTCCCCTATGCATGCTTTCTTTGTGCTCCCCCTATTGCCTCGATTTTCCTCCTCCATTTAATCTCTTATGTCTCTGCATTTTTTACATCATTCCATTGCTGTTTTTCTGTCTTTTATCTTTGTTTTGTTTTTTACCCATATACTTTTCTAAACTGCATACTTCATTCTTTCTCTAAATTCTGTTATCTTCGTAACATCAACACATTCCCATCAACCTTGCCTCTTATTTGTTTTTTTTGCTATTTTTTTTTTTTTTTACTGCTATAGCTCCTAAATTAATTTCTCTCCCTTGACTTGACTTGTCTTTGCAGTATCGCAGGAGGAGAACTGTTTGAGCGGATTGTTGCAGATGATTTTGAGCACACCGAGGTCATGTGTGTTCAGTACATGTCCCAGATTCTATCCGGAGTGGGGTACATGCACAAGCAGAGAATAGTCCACTTGGATCTCAAACCCGAAAACATAGTCTGTGTCAACAAATCCACCACTAGAGTGAAGATCATAGACTTCGGCCTGGCAAAGGAACTAGGTTAGACAGAAGCAAAGTATTTCTTCTGAATCATTTTATTGTCCTTGCTGAGATAAAAAAAAAAAAGCTGTACATTCTCGTTGGAGGCAGATAGGTCTGCATATCAGTCCAATATGTTATCCGGTATCAAAAAATGGTTCTCAAACCAAGACTGATCTATATCATAGAGAGCTAACCATGCCACATCCCTCGGTATCGATCAAGAGAGGTGCCTGTCTATAGTAACATTAGAAAACGCAGTATTCTAATCATATGCAGTATTTATACTGTGCATTCATTGGGAAATTCAAAAGGTAGGCTTTAATGCTAAACAAGTTGCAGGTCCAAGTTAACCTTTGTAGCACAGATTGAACATCCTATAAAGATGATTGCTAATTGATATGGAACCTTCACGTTCTATCTTAGTTCATAAAGTCTATCCTAAGTGTGGGCAATAAGTTGAGTTTCTTAAAGGGATACTCTAGGCACCAGAAACACAACCGCTTAAAGGACCACTATAGTGGCAGGAAAACAAACTTGTTTTCCTGGCACTATAGGGTCATTAGGTCCTCCCCACCATCAGGATCCCCTTTGGCCACTTACCTGTCTCCAGCGCCGGGCTCCCTTGGCGCTGGTGACATCTCCTCCCCCTGCCGACGTCTGGTGACATCTCCTCCCCCTGCCGAATGTGCATGTGCGGCAAGAGAGGCGTGCGCATTCAAACCGCCCATAGGAAAGCATTACTCAATGCTTTCCTATGGACGTTGAGCGTCTTCTTACTGTGATTTTTCACAGTGAGAATCGAGGAAGCGCCTCTAGCGGTGGTCAGTGAGACAGCCACTAGAGGCTGGATTAACACTCAGTGAAACATAGCAGTTTTTCTGAAACTGCTATGTTTTCAGCTGCAGGGTTAAAACTAGAGGGACCTGGCACCCAGACCACTTCACTAAAAATGAAGTGGTCAGGGTGCCTATAGTGGTGCTTTAACATAGTGGTTTTATGGCAAAGAGTCTACACTACTGAGCTTGCAGGGACAAACACTGCCTTTTTCTGAGAATAGGGAGTGTTTACATTGCTGCCTGACACCAACTCTAATGGCTAGAACTCGAACAGCCACAAGTGGCTTCCTTTTTACAGTCCTGCAATTCTTACATTCTGCATATTCACTCTCTGCTTGGAGAGAGACAGAGTGCTTTCCATAGAGATGCAGTGATTCAATGCATCTCTGAGAAGATACTGAGTGGCAAAGTACGTCTATTGCTGTACATATGCACTTCCTTATGGCAAAGTATTGGATTGGGTGAGATCATCAGTAACCATGATCTCAACCAGAGGAGGAGTGACAGCTGCAACAAGACTGCTACACCAGGGGACTAAAGGTAAGCTATAAACATATTTTCTTACTTCTTGGAGGGACCAGTACTCTTACTGGTCATATCACACTCTGACATTAGAAATACGTGACTGCATTTCTAACATTAGAGTGTTCCTTTACGAAGAAATCTTTGAACCTTTTTTTCCAAAAGCAAGTATATTGTTATTATTTTTTGGGGGGGGAGGGGTTGCGCAGTTTATGGTATTTATGCTGCATATTCACACTGAAACTTCATTATGCTCAGAAATAATCTTTGTTTTCCTTTCCACCTTAGCCTCTGGCATTCCCTTGACTGTATTATATGGCACCCCTGAGTTTGTGGCCCCGGAGGTTATCGCCTTTGAACCTGTGGGATTCACCACTGACATGTGGAGTCTGGGAGTTATCTGCTACATCCTGTACGTGAGATTTAAAACCAGTAAATTTATTAGCCATTTATTATTATTATTATTATTATTATTATTGACATTTATATAGCGCCAACAGATTCCGTAGCGCTTTACAATATTATGAGAGGGGAGAATTAATTATAAATAGGACAATTACAAGAAAACTTACAGGAACGCTAGGTGGAAGAGGACCCTGCTCAAATGAGCTTACAGTCTGTAGGAGGTGGGGTATAAAACACGTTCTGACAGGAGATAGCAATTAAATAAGGTGGAGTGAAGCAGAGATGGAGGAGAGAGTAGAGTGCTGCCCTTTTAGGAGAGAGCAAGAGACAAGTATGTAAAGTAGAGGTCACTCTGGGAGGCTGTAAGCTTTCCTAAAGAGATGGGTTTTAAGGCACTTCTTAAACGATTGAAGACTAGTTGAGAGTCTGATGGCGGTGGGCAGGCTATTCCAAGCATGAGAAGGCCGTATGGGTGCAAGCAGCGGACAGGAAAAGGTCACGGGCAGAGCGGAGAGACAGAGAAGGGGCATACTTATGGATCTGTGAAGAGATATGAGGGGCTAGAGTTGGTCAGTGCTTTATATGTATGGGTTAGCAGTTTGAATCGACTTATATAGGATACAGGAAGCCAATGTAAGGACTGACAGAGGGGTGAGGTGTGAGAGACTGACTAGAGAGGAAAATCAGTCTGGCAGCAGCATTCATTAGACTGTAGCGGAGCAGTACGGTTTTTGGGAAGACTAATTAGGAGCAATAATCCATGCAGGAAATTACTAGAGCATGGACAAGCTCCTTGGTAGCAACTTGCGTAAGAAAGAGACGTAAGTGGGCTATGTTTTTAAGATGGAATCTACAGGATTTGGCAACATAATGGATGTGAGGCTCAAAGGTGAGGCCAGAATAAAGTTTGATGCCAAGACAGCGTGCTTGCAAGGATGGACTTATGTGGATACCACTAACTTAAAGGGAGAGCGAAAAAGGAGGATACGTTTTAGAGAGATTGTTTCAGAAAGCGGGAGGACATCCAGTCATAGATGGAAGAAAATCAAGCAGTGACACGTTGCAGGATGGCAGGGGAGAGGTCCGGGGAGGAGATGTATATTTGAGTGTCATCAGCGTACAGATGGTAGTGGAATCCAAATGAGGTAATAAGTTTGCCAAAAGAGGCAGTATAAAGAGAAGATAGAAGGGGACCAAGGACAGAGCCTTGGGGGACTCTAACCGAGACAGGGTGAAAATGAGACACTAAATGAGTGTTGGGAGAGAGAAGCTGAAAACTACGAGAGGACAGAGTCACAGAGACCGAGTGATTGAAGAGTTTGAAGAAGGAGAGCATGATCAATGGTGTCAAAGGCAGCAGAGGTCAAGAATTAGTATGGAGTAGTGGCCTTTGAATTTAGCTGCATTAGTAACTTTGATCAGAGCAGTCTCAATAGAGTGGAGAGGGTGGAAGCCAGGTTGAAGAGGGTTAAGGAGAGAGAGTTGGTATTGAGGAAGTGAAACATACGGGTTAAGACAAATCTTTCGAGAAGCTTTGAGGAAAAAGGGAGCAGGGATATGGGATGATAGTTCGAGGGGGAGGAGGGGTCAAGAGATGTTATTTTCAAAATAGGTACTACAGTGGCATGTTTAAGGTCAGCAGGGACAACGCCAGGAGAGAGAGAGCAGTTGAAGAGGTGTGTTAAGGAAGGCACAAGACGGGGGGGGGGATAGCGATCTGATAAGGTGAGATGGAACAGGATCGAGCGGGCAAAAGGAAAGGAGACGCGCCGCCACCTCTTGTTCAGTAACCGGGAAGAAAGTCTGAAGGGTAGGAAAGGCATGATCAACATGTGGTTGAGAAGGAGAATTCTTTCCTTAGCTGTTCAATCTTGTCGGTAAAGTAGCATGCAAAGCTATCGGCTGTAAGGTTAGTTTGGGGAGTGGCCACAGCAGGGTGAAGAAGAGAGTTAAAGGTGCCAAAGGGATGCCTGAGATTGCGGTAGCATGAGCTAATGAGAGAGGGAAAAGTATGACTGTTTGGCTAGGGCTGCGCTGTATGAACACAATCTGAATCTATAATGGAGATAGTCTGCCTGAGTGCTAGACTTCCTCCAGGAGCATTCAGCACAACGGGAGCATCTTTGCAGGTAGTGTGTTGATTTAGTATGCCATAGTTGGAGGCGTGTCCTCTTCGAGGTGCATGTTTCTAGCGGGGCTGCAACATTCAAGACAGAGGTGAGGGTAGTGTTATATGCGGTGACTGCCAGTGAGGGACAGGAGATGGAAGGAATGGATAGCAGTTGTGAATCAATATCAGCTGACCGCTGCTGGAGGTTAATAGAATTAAGGTTCCTCCTGAGTTGAGGAGGATTAGGCTGAGGTTGTTGGGTGAAGGGGTACTTGTGAGCAAACGATAAGAGATGCTGATCAGAGAGAGGAAATGGAGTGTTGCAGATATTAGATACTGTACATGCATAAGAGAAAATGAGGTCAAGGGTATTGCCAGCTACATGGGTGGGAGAATTAACCCACTGCTATAGCCCAAGGGAGGAAGTAATTGAAAGTAGTTTAGAGGCTGCTGAGGTCAAAGGTGGGTTAATGGGAATATTGAAGCCCCCCGAGAATTAGGGATGGAATATTAGAAGAGAGGAAGTATAGTAGCCAGGCAGCAAATTGGTCAAGGAAGAGGAGAGAGGGAAGGGTGAGGGGGGTAGAGGTTTGAAGGCGCAGCACAGTGAGAGGAGAAACACTACACCACCACCTTTACATTCAGTGTCTTGGGCTGTGGGTAATTTGTTGACCACCAAAAGATAAAGATGCAGAGGTCGTGGACAGCAGTGGATTTTGTAATATTGCAAACGGAGTGTGCTTTCCAGAGGGCAGTATTGAAGGAGGATTTAGAGGGAGAGTAACATGAGATTAAAGTGGTTCCTTGAGTTAGTAATTGGCGGGTTTGCTGAGATGGGACCGGGGTTTGGAGAGACCTCTCCAGCTGCTAGGCGCAGAAGGATAAAGGAAGTGAAGGTGGGAGTAGGATTTGAAAGTTTTTGTTGGAGAGAAAATAAAAATAAAAAATATATATATTATTATTTTTTTTTTATATGTGTGTGTATGTATATGATTTGGGAGGAGTTGGAGGAGATAGGCTGGAAATGTATACTTAGAGTGCATGGGATGAATAGAGAGGGGAGTAAAGTGGAAGCAATGAAGATGGTGTTGCCAGAGACAGGTGGGCAGAAGGATAGGGATATTTTAGTAATGAGAGAAGTTAGTGTGAAAGTGAAAAATAGAAGGGAGAACCTTATTTAGAGGAAAATGTGTTTTTGTTATATAGATATGAATATTATACATATGCACATATATACACACATACCTATGAGTGTTTAAACCAGGTTTAAGGATGCAGTTTGTTAACAGAGGATTTCAAGTGAGGAGAGGTTTAGTGACTTGATTGTGCAGATCAGCTGCTTTTCAAAACACACCAATCTATAAGTATGGTAATGATGGTGGGTGGGCAGCCTTCCAGAGATGATACCTCTGCTTAGGCATTTCTGCAAAGCTACTGGGTGTTGATAATCAATGCTGTTATTAGGGTTATAATATAAGGTTTGGGGCTAGAAGAAAAAAACACCATTATGGGTGGGGAGACATGAGGGAGATATTGAGGTAATTGGGATGAAAAACCAGAGTGTATAACATTTGGGATAAAAAGATACGAAGGATCAGCTAGGTGAAAGTCATAAACAGTGAACATAAATTTACAAGACTATCTGTGAAAGAAGTAACACTAGCAAAACAAACAATTGACAAAGTCATGCAGAATGAACATGAAACAACAAGACTATAAATGCACCAACTGTAAAAAAAAAAAACAGAAGATCAGGATGGGAGATATAATGGTTATCAATTAAGTAGTGAGAACATATGGAGGGAGTTGGAATAGAACGTTAATAGAATGTTAAATTAAGAAATAAAGGGAAACAAGTAGTACATGGAATTTTCCCAAGTTTATAAAAGCTATACAAGTTTTTAAAATCCATAAGCCAAGGTTCTGAGGACAGGTGTTGGATACAGGTATATGTATATATCATTTTTTTAGCTGTATACGCTACTATCCTCCTTGTCTGCATCCTTTGGTATTGAATTCTTTCAAACAAATGTGCAAATTATATCGCACTGATTCACACATATGCATGTTTCCTATGCAAAGCACAGAGGCATGCATGGTAGCACTCACAAGGAGCATTCACATGGAAGTTGATGCAAGTTCTAATGGGTATGGGAATAGCTCTTGCAAACAGAAGGTGGAAGTGAAGCAACATTCTGTAGATCTTGGCAGGTCCAGGTGCTCTTTAAGGTGTTCTTTAAATCCGATAACAAGCTGTTTTTGGAAGAATAGTTAAAGTATTGAGCATATATCGTTTGTTTGCCGTATTTGTTGGTTTTTCAGTACCATGTTTCTCATACTTGCTGTAAGTACATATTTTAGACCATTCTCCTGGAACCAGACACCACACCATTGGCATAATACCCACACAGTGATATGGACGTGTGTGGGGGTTTTTTTGTTTGTTTTTTAACACCTTTTATTTGACGTTCTTCTTTATTCCATGTTTTAAACTCTCATATTTTCTCTTACTCCACAGAGTAAGTGGGGATTCACCATTTCAGGGTTCCAATGACACAGAGACTTTGCAGAATGTTACATCTGCCTGTTGGGATTTCGATGACGAAACAGATGCTATACTGTCTGAGTCAGCAAAGGACTTTATCAGGCGACTGTTAAAGAAAAATATGAGGTGAGCAAAGTGACTTTGGGAGGTTGAGAAAACCGGAGAAGGTTTCTGTTTATTTTTTCAAAGGAAAACTGTTCTTCTAAATCACTCTTACTCAATAGGTCTCGTCTCACCGTTGACCAGGCACTGGATCATCCCTGGCTCAAGGACCAAGATGTTTCTAACACCACGAAGTTGTCAAAGGAACGTATGAAAAAGTTCCTGGCAAGACAAAAATGGCAGGTCTGTCTAAGCAAATCTCCCTGGAAAATGAATCAAACAGACTTGGGAACATATGTCTTGTAATTTCGCGTAGATTGGACTGTGGGCATCTTTCAAATTCCCAATTTTCCAAGTTACTAAAAATAATGCCAATGTCTCAAAAATGGAGTCTCTGTTAGTGGACTTTTCTGAGTTTGTGGTGATGGGGATTATTTGTTGCAAAACCCTGGGACCTTTAGCTGCTCTAGTGAACGACCTACATCCTTTCTGGATTCAACTGAACAAAATGTTTTGTCCATACTGCTTTCTTCCGGTAATCCTTGTGTCACACATTTAAAGGGACACAATAGGTACTATAACCATTTAGTCTCATTGAATTGGTTATAGTGCCATTCTTGGTGCCCCTGGTGCCATTCTTCCATTCAAGGTTGAATCATTTTTAGGAATTAACACTGAATTAAGTTTCTGTGGGGTGAACCATAACTTGATTAAAAAAAAACAAAAAAAAACACCACTTAACATCCTTAATTAGAGTAATACATGTTCATCACCTCTCTTAGCAATAAGGTAACATTTTCATCAAACTTCTGCCTTTTAGAGCATTTTTTTCATGTTTGTGGTGGGTTAAACAATCACCACTTTTCTCACAATATCCTCTTTCGTTACCATGGTACTGTAGTGAATCACCACAATCTGATCCAAATCTTTCTCTCTCTCTGTCACTCCTGAACAGAAAACTGGTAAAGCTGTACTGGCTCTAAAACGGATGGCACATCTCCGCTCGAAGTCGGACACAAGTGCATCTCCGTCCCGCACAGAAGGTATAGCAAACTTATGTGGGAAATTAGCTTTCATTTCTGGCAAATATAACATAAACTACTTTGCAAAAATCTCTCCGTATTTTGTATAACTTAATAGAAATTGAAATTACCACCCTCTGCCAGGGTAACCATCTTGACTGTAGTCCTTGATAGCTCAGGAAGTTGTCCAGTTGTAACTTGTCAGATCACAGCAAGTTTGCATCCCTGGTAGTGTGGCATAGGGAGTACCATGCATCTGAGTTACATAACATAATGGGAAGCGTATGATATATACATATATAATCCCAAATCCTAATCGCACGGAAGAAAATAACAGAAATAACTGTTTATATCCTTAGGTGCAAAACCTCATAAGGCATTCCCTCAACTGCACTAAATAATAAATAAATAAATAAATAAATAAAAAAAATATATATATATATATATATATATATATATATATATATATATATATATATATATATATATATATATATATATATACGAATATACTAGAAAGTATAATTTACTTATAAATCCTTTATTAAATACACTATAAAAGATACAAAAACAAACTTACAATAACAAATGCGACCAAAAAAAGGCACATGAACAAATATGGTCAGTTTATCAAGGAGGCAGCAGGAGTATTGCCGAAACGTTGGGGGGGATTGGTGACTCATGTTCTGTCCCATGAGGCTTGTTGTAAGACTGGTGGTAATTATATTTGGACATGTGCCTATTTTTAAAAAAAATTATTTTTATTTTTGTCGCTTTATTGTATGTTTGTTTTTTTATTTTATTTTTTTGTGTGTATTTAATAAAGGATTTATAAGTAAATTATACTTGCTATCCTTATCTTGGGGTGTGTGTGTGTATATATATTGTAATTTTTATTGGTACTGTATTAGCCAGTTAAATAATCATAAGTAATAGCTTTTATTGGCTTGTGAAAAAGGGATATTTTCAAGTTTACAGGTCACTAGGTCCCTTTGTGAGAAGATATCGCAGCTTTTACAATTCTATTACCACTGGTTAAAACACTTCCATGCCTCGCCTGTGATCGCCTGAGACTTAACACCGAAAATAAATGTTGTTTCTTAAAACAAAATGTTTGTGTTTTTGTGTGTTGAAAATGTGTGATTTAATATGTGCATTGTGTACTGATATTACAGTATAAAAGAGAAGTTTAATAAGGGCAATGCCTTGGAGAAACATCTCCACTACATGTTTTGGTTTGGGGGGTTTTTCTGTTTGGGAAGACTGTTCACTTTGGTCTTGATAAACATTTGGTGTTTTGTTTTTTTTCCCCATTTCAGGTGTAAGTGATAGTCAAGACGTCTTTAATCTCCTGCAAGAACAACTCCAGAGGCCTCCTATCTTCTCTCTCCCTTTGAAGGACCAAGCAGAGGTTGTGGGCAGTAGCGCTTTCCTCCAGTGTAACATTGAAGGTGAACATTTAGCATATAAGCTACAGTATGGTATGCCGACTTTCTAATAAACATTTGATATGTAATGGAGCCTTTAGCTCCTCTTTCTGAGAAGTGAATTGTTACACATTCAATCAAAATAGGAAGTTGTCTCATCATCAGTTTAACTCTTTCGTGCTTTGTGACACAAAATACAAGTCCGGAAATGTGCCAGGCTGCTGTTGCAGGAACAGATATCAAGAGTGTTGAACGTTTAGCTAACTACCAAGCTTATCTGTGCCTGAGTTGAACTGATATGCCATCTGTAGCATGAGCCTGTAAATGGGCAAACCGGGACAAGGGAAACACACGTGCGAGTGATTGTATTTGGTAATCTCTATAACTGTCCTTAGAAATCTAGATTCCAAAAAGAATCCAAATGAACACGGATTGTGATGAGTAAAACCCGAGAGAAGTCTCTAACCTGTGCTAATTCTCCGTGGTTTAAATGAGCACAATGAATATTAATTGAGTACAGCTAGGTTCGTCCTATGTCTAACCAGGAAAGGTGAAGATAAAAATCCCTTGTGCATATTGGAAAGTGTCTCTCTCTATCCTGCCTCTAAATATTGTCCAGGGACAAATTTCACAGTGAATTGTTCTAGTAAACACGATTGCAGTTCGGATTAAAAAAATAAATAAAAAAAATTAAAATAAAATATATATATATATATATATATATATATATATATATATAATTTTTTTTATTTTTATTTTTTTTTATCCAAACTACAATCGTGTGTGTGTGTATGTATGTAGATATATATATATATATATATATAATCTCTCTCTCGTGTTAAGGTCTGTTAATATACTGTTCCAGACAAGTAGATATTTTTATAAAAGCAGAACTATATAATTTCTGCATGAAAAGTACTAAAGTAGAATCAGTCACTGTGAAACCAGAAGAATGTGCCTATCAATTGCAAACACTTTGCAATGTATAGAGATTTTCTCCAGAAAGTGAAATCTTGGTAACTCGATTAAACTATTAAAAAATATATAATTTTTTTTAAATGTTGTCCTTATCTACCCTTCTTTCCTGTCTTCCTCCTTCCATCCCAACTTGCTCTTACTGATCCATATATGACTTTCTTCTAAATGTTGTGTGTTTAGCGTTTTCCTTTGACCACTTTTTATGTCCTTTTAATTACTCATATAAGGAAAAGTCTTCATTTTAATATAATTGCTTTAGAAGCCATGCCATATGTTGCACAATTGTCAGGGTCATAGAAAATAACATGGAACATGTATCTGTTTTGAGGCTGCAATGTATGACAACATTCGTGAGTAGAGCGAAAAAATGAAGACCATACAAAGGACATATTAGGTATTTATCTTTTGTGTTCCTTAAGAAGGGATCTAAATCGGAATAATCCACATGAATGTATATGCCCATAAAAACAAGGTGAAGCTGATCATAAGCTGTGCTTCCAAAAAAAACATTGGCAAAACCAATAAACCCTCTCCTCTCCCTTTCTTGGCTTGGCTGGGAGCCCATTAGTTAGTTTGAATATAAGGGTGGTAAAACCACATTGTAACATTAGGAACTTAAATTCAAGAATTGGAATGCATAGGGTTGTTGTTGGGCTCAAAGAAAAAGCTACAAACGTCAATATACTGACAAAATTCGTTTTTTGTTTTTGTTTGTTTTGTTTTTTTGTTTTTTTTTAAAGATTTTTTTTATTTTTTATTTCCATGTATTTATTTATTATTCCTTGACAGGATTTCCAGATCCTGAAGTCCTCTGGTTTCACGATGATTCTCCAGTCCAGGAGTCCAGTCGCTTCCAGATTGATTATGAAGATACAGGAAGTTGCTCCCTTGTCATATCGAACGTGTCTCCATCAGATTCAGGAATCTATACATGTCGGGCGTTGAACTCGCATGGGGAAGCAGAGTGCTCCGCTAAACTGACTGTCCATACCTTGCTTGCAGAACGTCAGAGGAGAACGAGCACTGACCAGGCTTTTACAACAGGCTGATAAAATGGAGCCATTGCTTTAGTTAGTACAAGGACTTTACTCCAATAAGCTTCCAGTATTCTTTTTCCAAATGCTGGAGACTATCTTAACAATGGCTCACCTCTTATTTTGCTTGACCAAACCATTCACCCCTATCAGATTGTAAAGGTTTACTGAATTGTTTTTCCCATTTCATAAAAAATGTTATCAATTATAAAATTCTAAGTTGGGTGCCAAGGTTAGGGTTTTTTAGGGAATAGTCTATGTCAAAGTGAAGAAACCAGTTACAGGCGTACATAAATCCTCTTTTCATGATCACAAAAGTTAAAAATGTAATTCTTGTCTTCCATTCATTGTTGGCCATAAGCAATTTTCTTGATTAGCTTAACTTCATATTTGGCGACAATTAGCAATATATTTGCTTGCACTTGCTGATATGAGACCATATTTTCAGGAGATACGCATGTGTTCCTTCATGTGAAATAGATATTGAAAGTTATAGAGAAATAACACAAAGCCACTTTTCCCGTAAGAAACAGTGTTTTCAAAATATACCAATGCCAAAACGCAAACCAAGTAGAATGAGTCTTCCTCAATGGCACACACTAATGGAGATAAGTATATTCTATCCATATTCTTTTTTAGCCAAAGTGCTTCTGGAAGCATTTTCTAAACTAAAGTGTCAAATTCCTACATCCGCTACCCATCATGAGGTGCATTAAACTGTGACTATTCCGTCACTTCTTTGACTTTCATTGTGTTCTTAAACCATTATACAAACGGCTAAAATTTTGAAGGCGCCCAACTTGGTCCTCAAGTTTAATATTTTAGGTAAACCTTTCAAATGTTTTATTCAAAATATGAAAATTCAAAAAAATACAATATGTAAAACAAAATATATTAAATTATCAAATTCATAAAATATTTAATAAAATATTAATCATTTTTAAAAGTTTATCCAGAAATATGAAATAATTTGAAAAGCTTACCCAAAAATATTAAATTTAGGTGGTTGTTGTTTGTCTAAAGTCCCATTGTTTTAAAACTGTCCCTCAGGGCACAATAGCAACTTAATTTCAACAGAGTTATGGTGCGAGGAGGTCCTGAGAGCCATATTACCTGAAGGCGACTGTTAGTGAGTGGTTTAACTCCAAAATCTGCAAGTCAATTACAGTGACGGAACTTTTTTTATTCACTTTTTTTATAATGGGAGAATCCCAGTCCAAGACTTTCTGATCGAAACCTTGCACATTGCATTTCCACTCAAAGACAGAGTGATCTGGCGATGGCTTGCAGATTTTAGAGTTAAGCTATTAAACTAGACCTTCTTGCACCATAACAATCTAATTGTGGTGAAGTTGTTATGGTACCCATAGTGGTTGTTTAATAATTAGAAGGAATGATACGTTGACGACAAAGGAAAGTCAAGGCATGAGATTTCTGAAGATCACTTTTTATTATTTTCAGTGGTTATATTTAAAGTGAGGATATCATGAATACACTACTTAAAAATGGACGATAAAATAAGAACTGTAACTTATCACTCAGAGGAAAGTATAAACAAAGTTCCCCAGTTTCACCACACTTGGCCAATATCCTTTGCAGCTGTGACATCATGCAATTTAGCAAACTATTTAAGAAGATCCACGTGACTTTGCCAGAGTCAATCTCACACAGTCAAAATTGCAATGATTGAAAATCTGTTACCATGTGATATTAGCATCTGGCAGAGGCAAGAGTTCCTAAATGGTCTTTAACCGCATGCAAAACATTAACTAAACATACAATGACTTATGCAAAGCAGAAATAAAGGCATAGACCATTGGTATAAACCTTAGTTTAAAAATGGGGGGGAAATGGTGGTTGGGGGTATCTACCAAGGGGTTGAGGACAGTCAAATCAGGGGTTGAAGTAGAGTTAAACACCAATTTCTCCTATCAGACTGGGCAATTGGCTTCCAAACCAGGAGGCTACGGCACAGAGCTGGCAAGTTTTTCAAATCTGGATTTGAGTAGGCTGGTGACTGCATCCTGTTTCAAGCATTCCATCCTTAATTTTGTAACGACGTGCTATTTTGGTGAAAGGACTTTTTCTATCTTTGTACAATTTTTGCATTTTTTTCAAAGTAAATAAAGTCATTAAAATGTTGTATTGGTTATAAATATATTTTTTTTATTCATAATATGTGTTATGCTAGAGTGTTGCCAAAGGTGATCATTCTCATCGAAGCATTTTAATGTCACATATTTCTGGAATTGTGGCTGAGATATCCCTATTGTTCCTTCTCCAGTGTCTGCGTCTTCTTTGCGTCATTGTTGCATGATCCCGCAGGTACTTTTCACAGTCCCTTATCTCAAGATACTGGCAATGTCCTGCATGGAGTATTCTGTCTATTGATATACAATTTTACCTATGTGCAACTACCATATCTGTAGAACCTACACAATGCTTGTGTCTACAACCTGTCTTGTTTATATCTCCTTCATAGATCTTTTATTGTGTTTTTACATTCTATGTTTAATTGTGCTATACAGTGACGTGTTGGTTTAAACCGTCATTTAGATGACTATATTATATCTTTGTATTTCATGGTGTCGCTTACATTTTATGCTTTCTCTTTCCTGTTTGAAACCTCAGTGGTATCCTGTCTGTAACAAGCTCCACCTAATTAGCCCATGAAACTCTTTTATAATTTGTAGAATTCTGTACGTTAAGGGTTAAAAGATCCTGCAACATTCAGGGCTGTGGATCTTATAACAAGGCTGCTGGATACTATTTCAATATATGCATCAACGCTTCCCATCCTTCTACTCACCGTTGCTATAACCGTCCACCTATTTTTCCACCCCTGGGTGCCCGCGCAAAATTAACACAGCACCAGTTCCTCTCCTGCATATGGGAAATACACCTTTTTGCTAAGTTAGAATACCGCAGATCTTGCACACAAAATCCAGAGTAGTTTCCGGACCCCCCTGCTTCCTCCCCCATCTGATTTTGAAATCCAACTTCCTTCTTTCTGTTACTTTTGAGATTCAAAAGGATACACTGACATAGCTAAAAGACCATTTCATTGCTAACAGAGAAGAAGCTGATTGGAGAACGATGGTGCAATAGTTTTTCTATTTTATTTTTTTGGGATGGACCTCTTTCACTACGAAAAAAGCCAGAAATATTTTTTTCAAACCATTTAAGCGATACTTTTTATTTATTTATTTTTTGTTTGATTTTTTTTATGTTGTCATATCCTGTCTACTAATTGTGTGTAACTATATTTGAGGTGGCAAGTGTTGGTTGTTAAGAAGAAATCAGGCGTTGGGTGTGTCACCTACTAACTGCCCTGATACATTACACCACCTCTGACTTTGCTCACATTACTTTTTAGCTCTTTCAATTCTGCCACCCATAGTACTTTTGGAGCTTTCAGCCTGGATCTGAGTGCGTGGAAACGTGGAACTGCCCGGATCATGGGGAATGCCGCAGGGAGCATGGATATGTTCCAGCTCCGAGATACAAAGACACAGCCGGGGTCTGGGACACCCCCTCAAAAACAAAAAGAGACAACACCTCAAAAATTGCCAAGACCAAATTCAGTGGAGCTGGAGGAGAAATTCAACGTGGTTTTGGTAAGTAGACATCAAAACGTGACTTGAGCAAAAATCACACTGTTTAAAAGACTTACAGACACACTTTAATTAGATGATATCTCAGGAATTGTTGTAGTGTTCCGATCGAAGGTGACATGGGCTTGAAGTTTGTACCAAAATTGGTACTTCTGTTTTTAGACTGTAATATTCAAAATTTTGTACAGAAGACCATGCATTGTACAGATATAAAGGATGTTTATGAACAAGTGGCATAAAGCTCGGTTGTTGTGATCTTTTCAAATTGAGTTCGAGCCAAAGAAGTCTTGTAAAACATTTGTTTGTTTTTTTTGTTTTGTTTTACATAGAATGTGACGGCAGATAAGAACCGGCCCATTTACTCTGCTCAATTTTCTAAATACTCTCATTAATCCCTGGCCTTATTTTATAGTTAGGATAGCCTTATGCCTATCCCATGCATCCCCATGTATTTGGTTTTTAAGTTAAGATACAAAAATGTAAAGCTATCCAGATGTTTTTGGAAAGAAATTAGAGGACCGTGGGTGGGGGCATAAAAAGATAAAACAAAAAAAGATAAAACAGAAATGTAGATTTGAAAGGCATGTAAGAAGCAATTGACCCATCTAGTTAGCCCTTATGCTGCTGTTACGGATTCGATCTAATAGAAAGCTGTATGCTTGTCTTCATGACTTTAATTACTTTGACAGCTGATATTTCCACTGGAAGGCAACTTCTGGAATCTACTACCCCTTTTGCAAGCTGATCGTTTTGTGCTTTAGTCCATTGTATTCGGTCTTCTAACTTTAATAGTTTGATCTCTATGAAGACATTTCCTTCAAACATTTAATTAAGGAATGGATTATCTGTTAGCCATGACTCACATAATTGGGTATTATACCAGTGGTTGCAAACACTTACAACACTTGTTGTCAGGCATTTCAGCCATATGCAGTTGGCCGTATGTATCTGCATATATCAAATGTGTTTTTATTTATGTTAATCTTAAATAAACCACATATGGAGATTTCTAGATTAGTCCAATCTGTGGCCGAGTTTTCAAACATCTGAAATATAAGATTTCTTTTAAAACATTATTCCAGTAGGCAGACGTACAAAAACTAAAATATTACGCTTTAAATGAGTTTGAACATAGGAGCTCAGGACAAACAGCCCCAAGTGTGTCCATGATCGAGAAGAAAGTACTAATACCAACGGAGCTTCTCACAAGAGACATCCTCACCGTCACGAACATGTGCTTTTATTAACATTGCAGCTATTGTGTGAAAATACCAGTCAGTACTCAAATTACATTAAAGGGCTTGCTGACAAGTGTGAAAGCTAGCAAGCACTAAAAGTATTGTTTGTATAACTGCCCATTTCTGATCCTTCATCAAGGTGACCATTAAAAGGGGACGGTAAATTACCTGGATATTTAATATTCTGTTTACTTATCACTATGTTAAGTTAATGTTTTTGTGAGGTATTAAAATTAAACTTAGCCACACCTTTGTATCCTGCAACAGTGCACCTCCTCCTTACTTCCCTTGTTAATCATTATTATAAGCTCTGCCCTTTGCCCCCTCGGAGAGTCTACATGGAGGAAAAAATGTTTCTATTTCATTAGCAAAGGTTGTCCTGTCTAGATTGGATTATGATGCAATTTGCTAAATTTTTTAAAAATTAATTTTAGAAAAACTGAGAAAATCATGAAAAAGATAAACCCGAGTCATAGGAAATTTTTATTTTATTATTCAATTATGTAAATTTCAGAGAAGTTACTGTCCTGTTTTAGAAGAGGTCTGTCTGTATATTGTGTGGTTTTATGTTCTGTTTTGTTTGGGGGGAGTGGTTGTGGTGCTGATATCTGTACACTGACCGTCACAATATTTAAACCGCTGACATGAATAATAACATTCATTCTATAATTACAATGGTACTTGTCTAGGGGTGGGATATATTGGCCAGCAAGTTAACAGTCTGTTCTTGAATTCCATGTGTTAGAAGCAAGAAAAATGAGGCAGATCTGAGTGACTTCAACAAGGACCAAATCATCGTGGCTAGACAACTGGGTCAGAGAATCTCCAAAACAAGTCTTGTGGGGTGGCCCTGGTATACTGGGGTTAGTACTTTCCAAAAGTGGTGCAAGGAAGGACAACTATGAACCAGCATTAGGGCCGTGGGTGTCCAAGGCTCATGGAGTCATGTTGGGAGAGTAGGCTAGCCCATCTGCTCTAATCACACCAAAAAGCTACCTTAGCTAAAATTGCTGAAGAACATAATGCTGATTATGACTCAAAGGTGTCATAACACACAGTGCATCTCAATTTGCTTTGTATGGGGCTGCATAGCCACAGACAGAGTGCCATGATGACTCCTATACACTGTCAAAAAGTGTCTACAGTGGAAACGTGGATATCAGAACTGGACTGTGGAGCAACGGAAGATGGTGGCATGACCTTGGGTCCTGGCATCATGTGGTTGTTACTTTGACACCTACCTAGAGATTGCTGCAGACTATGTACATTCCTTCATGGCACATGTTCCCTGATGGCAGTGGCTACTTTCAGCAGGATACTGCATCCTGCCACACTGCAAAAAAATGTTCAGGAATGATTTTAGGAACATGATAGAGAGTTCTAGGTGTTGCTTTGGCCTCCTAATTCCTCAGATTTCAATTAACACACTAATGCTGGTAACAGAATAGCAGTACCCCTCATTGACATAATTAGCAAAATTGCTAATCTGATATACTAAGCAATAAAATCGTTAGATTGACTGACTTTCTTAACGTTTTTTCCTGGAATCTTCAAAGATTCTGATAGGAAATTATACTCCTTCCTCTAATCTGTGCACAGCAGGTTGCTGTCTGTATCTGACCTGCTTTATTGTTTAGAACACTCTGTATAAGATTTCAAGTTGAGAGTTTCACTGGAGGCAATTTTGCAGTTAAACTGTTCGAGAGCTGTTTAAGCCCTCGAGGTAAGAGAGCGCCCACAGGCCTCCTGGCACCATAACTTTATTATGAACTTGTTATGGTGTCCTAAATGCCCATTTAATTAGATCAGTTCAGAGTAAATGATTCTGAGCCCTGAAAGTCTCTTTTCCGAACCTGTAACCCCCAAATGTTATATATCCCCATATAGCTCGCAATATCAGCTATCAACTGTCCCAGATCGGAGGTACCCAGCCTAAGTGACAATACTTTAAAGTTCCACCAGGTCGTGACTATCCTCCTATCCAGTGCAGAGTTAGTTTCGTAGTAGCTTTAGGTCTTGTTTCGAAGGGTTCCTGGAGTCTTGATGAAGGTAGCACCCTCAATCATGAGTAACCCTAAATGCCTCTTCACCTCCCCAAAATTCTATTCAAAGAGCACTGTGATTTATGTGACCGAGTGACACCTGGTCAAAGATTCACCGGATAGTGGTACAGTTCTGTTCCGGTAAATAGTTCCATAGCAATTCAGGTTATTTCCCAATCAGGTGCTCTGTGTGAGACTGGGATCAGCTCCACCTGGAGTGTATAATAGGAGCCCCTGTTTACCCCTTCACTACATTGACAATAGCCATTTTGTGCGCTTTCAGAGTGTTCAGGGACAGGGTTCATAGGCTGGGTGGAGGAGGCTAGCCTCCAAACCCTTCCCCAATTCTTAGGACCAGAGGCATCTGTTGCAGAGTGGGTGGTCCATTACAAATGTTCTGCATACATGGAAGGGTGGTTGTGCAGCCAGGGCAGGCACTACCATACTGCAGCACCAACCAACAGGCGTGCACCAACCCGAGAGGCCTATGTCCAGGTGACCAACAGGGGGGGAGAAATCCCCTTACTGCCAGTCACTCCATGTAGAATGGCTTCCTTGACCAAGGTAGAGGACTTAATTATTTTTCTACCTGCTCTGACAGGAACTTGCTCACTGGAGCCCTGTCAGACTGAGTAGAGAATAAATAAGACCTCTACCACAGTCTTTGAGGCTACACTACAACAAGAGGTAAGCAGGCATGAAGGGAGGGAGAGAAAGATGCCCCATGGGAATATGGGGGTGGGGAGGCACAGAAACATACACCCAAAGGGAATGGAGGGGAGAAAAATACACCAAAGTTGAATGGAGATGTGAAACGGAGGAAGAGACACCCAAAGAAAATGGAGAGCAGAAAGAAACACCCAAAGGGAATTGGGAGGGGGAAAGATGGCAAAATGCATCTTCGCCTGTGTAGCCAAAATTCCTGTGTTAGGTGTACTCAGGACCGCCATCAGGGTTGACAACCATGACGGTTGTCATGGGCCCGGCCACCCGGGCCCCACGTGTAGTGGCGAAACTGCCGCCGGTGCAGTTGCACCGGGGCCCGCACGCTGTTGGGGCCCATCGGGTGGCCCACGCACTTAGGGCCACCCGATGGGCCCTGTGTCTTCAGGGGCCCGGTCAGCGCTGCAGCCGTGCAAGTGCGCGACCGGGCCCCTTTAAAAAAACCTCAGCTGCAAAGTACTGCTGGGAGGAAGTGGCCGCGCGGGAAGGAGGAAAGCCAGGCCACGGGAGCCACGCTGACTCCCATCAGCCACAGCCTTCCACCTGTATGTATGTATGTCTGTATATATGCCGGTATGAATGTATGTCTTTATGAATGTATGTATGTGTGTATGGATGTGTAAGTCCTCATGCATGTGTGTCTGTATGTATGTGTATGTCTCAGTATGTGTGTGTCCGTATGTATGCCTATATGCGTGTTTCAGTATGTGTGTCTGTTAGTATCTATCTGTGTGTATATGTGTCCTTTTGTATCAGTGTGTGTTTTTGTGTCTGTGTGTGTATTCCTGTGGGTGGGATTTGGAGGCGGACCCGGTGGGCGGGATTGGAGGCGGGCCCCTGGGGGTCCCAGACCCTGAGCTGAGTTAGGGGCCCCAAAATTTCTGGTGGCGGCCCTGGGTGTACTCAAATCCTCCAGCTAGGACCAGAACCAGATGGAAACGGGGGCTGTAACTGAATTGTTCCTACATTGATTTTACAACTCAAACATAAACCAGGTTAATTCCCCAAATTCATAATTCCCGAAATGAAAACATAGCCAACTTGTAAAGTTTTTTTTCAATTTGTCTATCGTGGCCTAAATTTTAAAATCACACTGAATTAGTGACAATTCACACTTCTAGCAAATAACCATGGTTTTTGTACACTGGTCTCTTTCAGCGTCAGATGGGCCAATCAGCTATTAAAGGAACACTATAGTCACCTAAATTACTTTAGCTAAATAAAGCAGTTTTAGTGTATAGATCATTCCCCTGCAATTTCACTGCTCAATTCACTGTCATTTAGGAGTTAAATCACTTTGTTTCTGTTTATGCAGCCCTAGCCACACCTCCCCTGGCTATGATTGACAGAGCCTGCATGAAAAAAAAAACTGGTTTCACTTTCAGACAGATGTAATTTACCTTAAATAATTGTATCTCAATCTCTAAATTGAACTTTAATCACATACAGGAGGCTCTTGCAGGGTCTAGCAAGCTATTAACATAGCAGGGGATAAGAAAATCTTAATTAAACAGAACTTGCAATAAAGAAAGCCTAAATAGGGCTCTCTTTACAGGAAGTTTTATGGAAGGCTGTGCAAGTCACATGCAGGGAGGTGTGACTAGGGTTCATAAACAAAGGGATTTAACTCCTAAATGGCAGAGGATTGAGCAGTGAGGCTGCAGGGGCATGTTCTATACACCAAAACTGCTTCATTAAGATAAAGTTGTTCAGGTGACTATAGTGTCCCTTTAAGTAAGTTGTGGTAGGAGGTTTAAAGTCCATTTTGATAGCCCACGTCACGTTGTATTATATACATCAGCAGTGTATCTTTGTACATGTAGTTCTTGCTGAATGCTGAGGCTTCTTTCTTAGCTGTGCTGAGTTGGCGTGCAAAGCGAAACATTTAAAGGAATAAAAACTGGACAAATAGCTGTGTGAGAATTTTTCGAGCCATGCCAGTTTGGCATAACTTTGTGCAATTGAATTGCCAATTTATTGTTTTGTAAATATATAGATATTGGAGAAATAGGCTCTCTTCGCAGCCTAAACTGTCACATACCTGCCAAGTGTCCCTATTTAGGAGGGGCAGTCCCGATTTTGGGTGCAAATCCCTCATGTCCCTCTTTTCTATGCTAATATTCCTCTTTTCTAGGAGCTCCATGTTGTTGGTGTGTCTGAGTGTATAACAGAGCTCCACAGGATTAATACTCCCAGTACTGTGTCTTTAAACTACAATAAGTGTGGTTGGAAATCAGTCTGTGGTCTGTGGACTGGAGGTGCACTTTGTTTGCATATGCTCTCGTGAGCTCCAGTGTTCAGAGAGTTGCCATGGTAAACCACAGCAACACTCGGCTCACTGGAGTCATGCTTGCCACTTTACAGGTATAAAGATGTCTGCTGCAATGTGTGACAGCAATCTTTAGCAAGGAAGCTTGGTGGCTGCCCTGCACGCAGAGGCCCTGTCATGCCCCCTCTTTGGTCATTCTGCTCCAGGGAGAAAAGGACAGCTCCTGGGTGCCCTTGTAAATTATGGCGCCCTGCGCTAAAGGCAGCCCTAGGTAGACTATGTGTTCAATATATAGCTTAGGGGGCTAATTAGCCAAGCTGTGCATCTCTGTGCAAATCTAACAACTTTTACAAATAAATTGAGGGGAACACAAACATCTATTCCTGACCCTATAGTGTTAAAACACCATCTAGCCCTCCTGGCTACCCTTTGCACCCCTAAATATAATACAATCTTTAGTTTTATTCCAGGCTGCTGTTGGCTCTGTCCTTGACCTGCCTGCTTGGCTGATATCATCAGGATTGGTGATCTGAGCCAATCACAATGCATTCCCATAGGAAGACTGTCAAGGAGGCAGATCAGGGGCAGAGCTTGCACAAACCAAACACATCCCTGGCCAATCAGCATCTCTTCATAGAGATGAATTGAATCAATGCATCTCTATCAGGAAAGTTCAGTGTCTACATTTGAGGAGGGGTCAGTGGAAGTATCCCTGGGCTGTAATTTAAACACTGCCTTCTCTCTGAAAAGACAGTGTTTACTGCAAAAAGCCTGAAGGGATTGATTATACTCACCAGAACAAATACAATACGCTGTAGTTGTTCTGGTGACTGTAGTGTCCCTTTAAACATTTATATTAGCTCTGTGTTCAAACTCCCGTCACTCCTAAGACACCTACATGGTTTATTGTATTAAACACCAATACACAAACAGAGCAAACATTACCTGCTCCCCATCCTAAACGCCAATGCACACTGTTGAAAAAGGGACCACTCTATGCCCTCCTCCTTATTTATAGTATTCAGGGTTTTATATTTGAGAGGAAAGCGATAATAGTGTGCAGGTCACTTTTTCTTTTTGACTTATGAATAATTAATGCAACAGAGGAAGATTGCCAGAAGGGACCCAGCCCTACATATATTTAATTACATCCATGACCATGTGTATTGAGTCACACTGTATTGGAACTGTGTGACTGGAGCATTTGAACCAATCACTATGGACACTCGTTCTGTTTGCTGACACTGGATATGGAGGTTAGAAGAAGGTCACATAGAAATAACTTGTGTATTATTTAGGATCTCATTCACCTGCTGTTATCCGAGAGGTAGGTGTGTGTGTGTGTGTGTGTGTGTGTGTGTGTGTGTGTGTATCGAATGAGCAATGTTTGTGAGAGAGGTGTATTGATTGTAGAATAAAGCTAACATATCATTGGTGAGTCCATGTAGGCTTGCTTCCAACAGGTGGAGCTCTAGAAGACCCATCACGTAATATTTAGAGGTCTTCTTACCATCGATGGCCTGGCAACGTTATAGCGTGTGCATGACCCATGGGTCGGAATGTATGATGCATATACATGATGTTGGGTCAGTGGCGCACATAGGTGAAATAAAAACACTATAGATGTGGCAATTCAACTCGTCAGAGTATCGTCTATGCAAAATAGTAGGAGAAAAGAATCAGATGAGCCAAAGGGACGAGGAAAAAGCACCAATTAGTGTGCTGCATGCAAAATGGCTACAATATTGCTAGCCTAATGGCTAGGCAATATCAAGCATTTTTCCAATCCTAATTGTGAGTTGTTATAATTATATTATCTATGTAAAACAAAATTCGAGAGAGCAAAGTTTTATAATGATTATTTTTCCTTTTACAATCTTGCATTAATGAAAAATGGGTAGCAGCAGGAGATGTTTTCAAAGATTTCCCACATATCACGTTTGTAGCGGCACTGAGAGTCCTTCGGTTATTGAGTGGAAAAAAAAGCGTTGTAGCAGCAACAGGAGGTATATAATTTGAAAAAAGGGTAAAAAGGTATTTTACAAAAAAATTAAAGGGTGGAATGTGTTAGTGGGTCCACTGACTTTCCCTTTCATTTTCTGTAACATACCCTTTTTTCAAATTAAATTATTTCTGCTGCTGCACCCTCTTTCATTGTAGTGGTTTCATCCTGCCTGGCTGAGTCTTGTAATGTGACTACACCTGCTACCTCCACACACGCAGTTCGTAGAAGCTGCAAGGGAACTGTTTTTTCCCCACACTGAAGAATGGTCACTCATGATATAGATCGGACACGTTTCATCCTGAGAAGAACAAACCTTTCCCACACATCCAGTCTGTAACGTGAGTGACCGTCCTTCAGTTTGAAGAAAGAACAGTGCCCTCTCAACTTCTACCAATCTCATCTGTGGAGGTAGCAGACATCTGGAAGACTGGAAGTGCGAGACCCCTACAATAAAAAATCACTACAACCAACATCACCACATTTTAGAATACTATTTTTCCCCCCAACAAATTAAAAGAATACCTTTCATACTCAGTGCAGGCAGGGTTTACTTGTGTAGTAAACGGCCACACTGTACATTACTGAGGGGAAAAGCTTGCAATTTGCAAAACACAAGCAGTGGCTCTGAAGCACACTACAAAACAAATAATCTGTCTCTCACAAATCACAAATCGGTAAAACTATTCTAAATCAAGGAACCAAAGATGATGAAAGTGGCAGTGGCAGGGCAAGAGGAACGTAATTATATTGGTTTCTTTTTTTTCCCTGGCCTATAAGGCAGAGCAATGGTAAAACGAAGCAAACCCTTTCTGCTGGTGTGACTCCCTCTCTGTAGCTGAAATCAAAGTGTCTAGAAGAAATCTGCTATAGTGTTTTATTACCCCTCTGTTGGTCACTTTGATTGATCTGTGAATGAAATAAACAATTAGTGGCTGTGCCCCAATAGTTTTTCTACCACTAGATTGGACAGGAGATACTGACCTCTTGTCCGTCATGTCAATCTTAGTTGCTTATTTGCCCACCCTCCACCCCAGAAAAAGCTTCTTCTCCATTCCTATCTCTTTAATTTAAAATTGTAGGCATGGTTTTATAATAATTAATATTGTCATATTACGGTTCATATTAATATTCATATTCAATAATATTTTAATATTTATAAAATTATCATAATTTTAACATATTATTTGTAATATTTTGTCCCACAATTAGCACTACAGTCCCCTTTTGACCGGTGGAAATCCGACACAAACAAAACTGTTGTCCTTTGTGTGGGTTTATTTTTATATTTTTTTGTACCACTTTGAAGTTAAGGAATTCAGATGACCCCCAGATCTCCAAAATTCGGACGAATTGCAAATCAGCCAAAACGAAATGCACAAGTCTAGGGATTACTATAAAATAAAATGTATCCTGCATAGCTTAACTGGGTAATGAAAGCTTTGGTACCCCCTTTATGTGAGGAGTAAAATTTGATGATCCTGTTTACACAAAGATTCTATACATTCTAATATTTTCTACATTATGCATGTGGTGGGGCATTTTTTGCTTTTATTTTTCTCTACCACCGTGATTACATAGTCAAATTAAGTATGATAAACAACATTAAAAACTTGAATCGTGCTGAATAAAGCTTGATTAAAACTGTAAACAAGAGGGAGATTAAGACTAGCAGATTCTGATAGAGTTCAAGCATTAATGGAAAATATAATTTGGATAAGTGAGTGACGTGGTGCGTTTGGGATGATAAGGTGACTGTGGTGTCCATAGGCGGAGGGTGGTAAAATAAGGGCTTATGAACAGGTGAGTTCAGAAAAGAGGTGGCTGTCTTAAAATAGATAAGGCCTATATACAGAAAATGTAGAACCTGCAAAAGAAATCTGAAAACCCTGAATAAAGAAATGTATACAGTTTTATGTGTACTTGGAAACTATGCTATATCTGCGAGCTTGAAGGAGTAGTGTTTAGAAAGGGCAGAAATGAGAGATTTACACATAGGTAGGGTGTATGCCAAACACAATGAATTTCATTTCAGTGATTATTGGCTTTGGTTTGGATGTCTGAGAAGCAAATTAAAGGAACACTATAGTCATCTAATTTACTTTAGCTAAATAAAGCAGTTTTAGTGTATAGATCATTCCCCTGTAATTTCACTGCTCAGTTCACTGTCATTTAGGAGTTAAATCACTTTGTTTCTGTTTATGCAGCCCTAGCCACACCTCCCCTGGCTATGATTGACAGAGCCTGCATGGAAAAAAAAATGGTTTCACTTTCAAACAGATGTAATTTACCTTAAATAATTGTATCTCAATCTCTAAATTGAACTGTAATCACATACAGGAGGCTCTTGCAGGGTCTAGCAAGCTATTAATATAGCAGGGGATAAGACAATCTTAATTAAATAGAACTTACAATAAAGAAAGCCTAAATAGGGCTCTCTTTACAGGAAGTGTTTATGGAAGGCTGTGCAAGTCACATGCAGGGAGGTGTGACAAGGGTTCATAAACAAAAGGATTTAACTCCTAAATGGCAGAGGATTGAGCAGTGAGGCTGCACGGGCATGTTCTATACACCAAAACTGTCTCATTAAGCTAAGGTTGTTCAGGTGACTATAGTGTCCCTTTAATGTCCTCTACATTTGATTCTGAAATGTGTCACAGAACACTGTGTTTAAGAGAGTATTAACACTTGTTCCCCTGATAAATATCCTGTTTGCACGTCAATGATCTATTTGATATTCCTCAACGTAAATTCAGTTCTTAATAAATATGTTCCTCTACCTGCCTTCAATATGTTTCCCTGCTGACTATACCAACATTCTAGGACACATTCCATGCAGAGGTGTGAAAGTCCACTTACAAGCACTTACACCAATATTATCGTCTGTATCCATGTGTATAGATTTATTACACCAAAAAAATGATGCCACAGTTTCATCAAGAAAATAGAGCTTACTACTTGACTGCTTTACAATATATTATTGGAGTGTGTAGCATAGTGTTTTTTTAACTACTGGTTCATCATTTCATAATACTCCAGGTGAGTTAATCAGTAGCTCAGTCCTTTTTATTGATGCATGTCTTAAATGCTGGCCTGCTGATGGGTTCAAAATCTATTTTTAAGAATACCATTGTCGAGAGAGAGGAATGTGTGCTGCTAAAAGCCAAAAGAATATGCATGAAGAAGAAAACTGAATATTGATTGAGTATTGGGATGGGAGCCCTTGGTCAGAATAGGCAGAATGATAAGAAATATGTGTACCTTACCTTGGCCCTTGATTGTTGATGACCAATATTTTAACAGAATTATCTGCTAAACTGAAATTGAATAAATATGGTCTAACACCTGAGGATCAAGATTATGGCACCTGTACTCCAGAAGTAAAAAAAGGCTGGCTTTTTTTCGTGGACTTTCAGGATTGCTTACTTTTCATCCAAATCCGCCGGCGTTTTCTGCGACGCTGAATGCTCGTGTACCACAGGGTTTTATGGGCAGCTGAATTCAGGTCCGAATGGCGAGTTTGCCAGACCGAATTCAGTGCACAAAGATTATGTAGAGCAGTCTAATGCAGTTTTCTATCGCCCATGAATCATAAGAAAGTCAACTATGATGTAAGGCAATAGAAAGTACGTACTGCCTATATATACGTGCTTCTCCCACTCCACTATCCACGTTGCTCTTTTGGGGTTTTTCCTGTTCCTGGTTGCTGATTCTGTCTGATTACACAATTCTCCTGAGCTCTGGAACCTTTGGCCTTGGCTTGTAGTAACGTTTATCTGAATCTCTCCTGTCTTTGGCCTTGGCATTTTCTCTGATTCCTCTAATGTTAGCATGTGCACTCCATGGACCGGTATACGGCTTGTCTATTTATTGTGTTATAGTATGTATGTTTTGTCTCCACGCCATTTACTGCGATGCTGACAAGGCATTTGCCTTGGGCGGCACTTAAAGATGCCTTGCCAGCCTCTTGTCCTGGGGGGCCCAGTTGCTGGCCGGCCACCTTAGGGCCCCGAGGCTGGCATGCTCTGATGTTGTCGGCGGCGAGGGAGCACTCTCACCCCCGCAGTGATGCTGGAGCCGGAATATAAGTCACTCCGACCCCGGCAGGCGTGCAAGGGAGCTAAGCAGGAGGATCAGAGCTTTCTCGCCACCCGCCTCCACCGTTCACCTGTCTGCCAGACCTTCCGACCGCCCGCCAAGCTGAGTTTTGTCATTCCTAGGGCAGCACAAAACCAGAATACACCACTGTCCACGCCGATCCTGACATGGACATAGTGGGGTGTATATAATGTCATCCTTGGCCAATATTCTAAAGGTGGAACATTTGCTAAAGAAACCAACTGAATGTTCCTGCTGATAGCACGACTTTCTTCAACTTTGCAGATTGCATGTGATTGTGAATAAAAAACATTTCTGATACAATCAGATTTCGACATTCAAACAACTGATTTTATGCCTCTGTTTCTGTGCATAGTAGGTGTAGAAGAATGCAGATGGGTTGTGGTTAGGAGAATGAGGTCTGTTTGTGTATGGTGATCCGTCTGATGGTGGTGAAGTCATTGTTGGTGAAACTGTAGTGAATTATATTTATTGAATTTGTTTGTGGAAACCAACTTGCTTGTTGTGGTGATGAGTTCTTGAATCTAAGAAACCGGAAGGGAAGTATAGTTATTTTTTTAAATTTTTTTTTTTTTTTTTTAATAATAGTCATGCCAGTAGTTTAAATGCATGCATGAATAAACCATACCCAGTATTTAAAGGGACAATCCGGACCCTTAAGTACTTTAGCTTGCTGTAATGTTTTGAGTGAAAAGTGTGTCCTTTCTTTTTCCTATTACAAAAATTGCAGTTTTCAACAGATATTGGCACTTTTATAAATGAAAGTGGAGTGTTCCTATAAGTTATATACATTTTAGTGGTCTTCATTGCTCTACCCCCATGTTGCCTTTTAAAAAAATATAAAGTGGACAGCTTATTCACAAAAAGTCTCCATCTTTCTGTAATCGCTCGCTTTGAGATTTCCAGTTTTGTTGACTCATCACTTACTAAGCACACAACCTCTGGAGTACCAAGGTATAGATATCATAAAGGGAATCAACACAGTAAAGGAGGAGACTTTATTTAAAAGAAGAAAAACTACCACAACACGAGGACATAGTCTTAAATTAGAGGGACAAAGGTTTAAAAATAATATCCGTAAGTATTACTTTACTGAGAGGGTAGTGGATACATGGAATAGCCTTCCAGCTGAAGTGGTAGAGGTTAACACAGTGAGGGAGTTTAAGCATGCGTGGGATAGGCATAAGGCAATCCTAACTATAAGATAAGGCCAGGGACTAATGAAAGTATTTAGAAAATTGGGCAGACTAGATGGGCCGAATGGTTCTTATCTGCCGTCACATTCTATGTTTCTATGCCCTATGATCTTTCAGCAAGTGCTTCCAAAGACAGTTTAGGCTAGAGAGAGGGGCACTGATTAGCAATGCATCATGGGAGCACGTGACCCTGCATGACCAGAGCGAAGTAAGGACAGGAAATTTGTGATGTCATCCAATATAATGTCTGTTTTGAGCCTGATCCTGTGGATATACATGTGTACAAAGTTATACATCTTCTTCCTGTCTACTTGTAGCGCTCCTCTTTCGCCACCACGCCCCACCCCACTAAACGTATTCTTTGCTGCAAGAGCAAGCTTAAAAACAGAAGCAGGAAACCCACAGGGAGGGGAAGTACTAACAGACACCTGCAGATCATCGTAGAACTAACCGAACAAGTTAAAATCTCTGCAGCGATTAAAAACCCCATGCCTTCCTAGCAGCAAGGTTTTTCCACAATAATGACATGTTTCTTGGGAGATACCATTCTTGAAACATTGAAACAAAGTACAAGTGTGAGGTGTCTTGTTCAGGTGGTCAAATACTCCTTTTAGCCTGATATAATTTAGAAATGTCTATTCACAGGCCAAAGCAATACAATGAAAATGCTTATAGAAGTTCATTCAACCCCTCTTTCACTTTTTGATGTCTAACCTTACTACCTCAACAAACAAGGATTAAAGGAAAACTCAAATCACCACAACCACTACAGTGCTTTGTAATGGTTACGGTATGCCTCCCAACAATCATCATTGGAGCAAAGGGACGGGATGGGCTGTCCTGATGGAGTTGGGGCCAGTGATGTAGCATTCGTTCTGTTCAGTCCAGGGAAAGTTCCCAGGTGATCCATATTGGGGGACACTGAGGAACTAAAGGAGAACAGCGGCACATGACCCTGAAATCAGGACTGTCCTACCAAAAGCAGGACTGTTGGGAGGCATGTTGTGGTGCCAGCCAGGCACCACTCCCTACCTTTCTTGTTCTGGTGTGCGCGAAGGAAGTTCCTGCTAGGTAGAAGCTCCCATTAGTTCTCCTAGGCAAAGCCCTGCCATTTAGTACCAGCTCGTTGGCTGAGATTGTCAACTGGTTGCCCTCTGCACCTTCAGGCTTAGCTCAATGTAGACAGATGCCGCTACAGAGAGAAAGGGAACAAGCTGTTCCTATCTACCTACAGCAAACGTTTTTAAAAATCCTACCGTCCAAGAAAAGCACACTTGTTTTCAAGGTCTATAACAGCACACAGGAAGCAAAAGAAGACAAGTAAGATGGGTGTCAATCTGCAGCACCTTCTAAAATGTATCTGAGACGATTTCTCCTGGCAGCATTACTGTATATGTAAAGTTATATCATTCAGAAATCTCTGGCTTCGCAGAGCAAATCCGGTGACATAAACCAGTTTGCAAATAGTTATGATCCAAGGTATTGTTTTTATTTCTGTGGACAAACAGGGCATTTGGTGAGTTTGTGTTCTGGGTACCTATCCCTCTTTGCCCCAGCAATTTTCCCCAAGAGAATACTTTAATACATACTTTAGATACAGTATCCATACAAATGGGTATTATTATTATTGCCATTTATATAGCGCCAACAGATTCCGTAGTGCTTTACAATATTATAAGAGGGGAGATTTAACTATAAATAGGACAATTACAAGAAAACTTACAGGAACAATAGGTTGAAGAGGACCCTGCTCAAACAAGCTTACAGTCTATAGGTACATTATAAAATGTACACAGGACATTGCATTCTACCAGATAGATACACATAGGGATAGATTAAATGGCCTATTATTATGACCTTACAAATTATCTTATGATTGCTTATAAAATTGCCAATGAGCTGTATATGCTGGGCATATGTAATTACATCTGTATTTGTAAAAAAATTTAAATGTTTTGTTTATAGACGTTTGCTTTGGATAGCTGTAGAATAAGTGATGCTTAGTGACATCATTGTGGCATAAGCTGCCAAACCGTGGTTTTGCAATGAATGCAGATAATGATTACTGGAGTTTAGGTAACACTGTCAGGTCCACTGTCCACAGCTGGACCCTTCTGGCTGATTACTAGAATCTAAGATTATGAATTGCTGTGTTTGTATTGTCAACATCATTCACTTAAGTCTTAATTATTGGGAATTCATAATGAATTTAAACTTTAAATTGTCCAAAAAACTATGACATATGCATAGTCGCCTAAGGATACTCAGACACCTCATGTTTGGGAAAATTATCACAGCTTTATTAATAAATAAAATATATAAATTATTAAAGGTCATTGTCAACATATTTTACATAACATAGAAACATAGAATGTGACGGCAGATAGGAACCATTCGGCCGATCTAGTCTGCCAAATTTTCTAAATACTTTCATTAGTCCCTGGCCTTATCTTATAGCTAGGATAGCCTTATGCCTATCCCAAGCATGCTTAAACTCCTTTACTGTGTTAAGCTCTACAACTTCAGCTGGAAGGCTATTCCATGCATCCACTACCCTCTCAGTACAGTAATACTTCCTGATATTAATTTTAAACCTTTGTCCCTCTAATTTAAGACTATGTCCTTTTGTTGTGGTAGTTTTTCTTCTTTTAAATATGGTCTCCTCCTTTACTGTGTTGATTCCCTTTATATATTTAAATGTTTCTATCATATCCCCCCTGTCTCGTCTTTCCTCCAAGCTATACATGTTAAGATCCTTTAACCTTTCCTGGTAAGTTTTATCCCACAATCCTCTGAACCCTCTCTAAGGTATCAATAACATCTCAGCACCAACTCTTTTAACAATTTGACCCTGACAATGACCCCCATAACAAACAATATTAACATATATTAACATAAATAACATCTAACCACTTAAACCATTGCCACCGAGGGTATGATTTACCATGTTCCACCATGTAGGGGTATACCAAGATACATCCTACACACACCAGGTTCGGAGCTACCGACGAGCTTGAACCAACCAAATTCTATCCAAACCTAACAGTTCTAAGCAAACTAATCTATGCTACATCTGGACAAACAACCTACACCCCAACTTGTTTATCCATCCCCCACCGCTGTGACCAAACGGGATCCAGAACCTGTCTAAAGGGAGGGAGGGTGGGACAAAACAGGTAAGTGACGAGTAATTAAGATGGCCCTTAATCTAAAATGGCTGTTATTTATATTCCCATAATCTAAAACCCCACCCCCACTTTCTATAGCCAAACCCCCACATTGACACCTCCTGTGCCTGTCTCCTAGCCATGTCAAGGCCCATTCCACTTAGCTGCGCTGCTCCTTGGGATACAAACTGACATGATCAAATCAGTCTACTAGTAGATGAGACATTTGCATAATTAAATTCACTACAAAAATTGGGATCTCTCCTTTTATTGACCCTTGTTAGCCATCTACATTATATATTTTATGAGGAGTTAATGGACTTATTTTACATTAATTCCTTTAAAAAAATAAAATAAAAATGTATTGTTCAAAAGAAGCAATCACATACATTATCTGAATAGGTGCTCCAGGATTGCATTTCATTGTAGAGTAGTATAGCCATGGCAAGAATTAACCATTGCTGAATATACAAGAGATCAAAAATACAAGAAGTGCAGTGTCTCCCCAGTCGCAATTTCGAGATCATTGTTTTTTTATATATTGTGCCCCTGCGGACAAACAGACAATTGGAGACATCACGATATCAGTGCATACATATGTGATACATGAAGTATAGCCCAATGGTATTCCAGGGGTCTTACCAAAGACAAGGTAATATGTAAGGGATGCCATAGGGGGTGTTACAGTGTAAACAAATAGGAACCTGACTTTGCCGCCTGGGGTCTCCATACATTAAAACAAGCACATAAAAAGCTATAATTTGGCACGGGATGTCTGTGTGAATATGGCATGTGGTTAAAGGAAAGAGATCCATGGGCTACAAGTGCTTAAATATTCTGGGTGGCAAATGTGCCTATGCCACAAGCTCCTGATTTTCGACAGGTCCCTTTGAGGGTTATATTGAAGGCGTTTATATAGAATAGAGAATAGTTTTTTTAATTACGTTGTGAGATGAGCAATATTGTTAATATTTTGTTCCTTATTGCCGGAATAAGCTTGGGGTTTTTCCTTTTCTACACATTTTTTTATTTCATAGTTTTATTCATATTTTTGTGTAATCCTTTTTCTTTGTATCATTTTGTTACATCACATTCTTGGTGTATTACCGCATAGCCAGTGATTTCCCAACTCTTTGTTTACAACACAAGTCACAAATCACAAGAAGGCCACATCATAATTTATAGTCATCAGCTCACATTCACGTTGACTCATGGACTGTGTTTTAATAAACCTTTCTGAGATACTCTCAAGAAAAAGTATTACAAAAATGTTAGAATACAAAAGTGATATATGTCTTCTAACCTTTATTCATATAAGGATGAAAAAAAAATATTGTTCAAAGCATATGTTTTTCAAATTCCTTTCACCCAATATGTGGTGGAGAGTTTAGCAATTATAATTGCTCACATTTCTTCGTTACAATTTGTAATATTGAATTCTGAACTGTCAGTCACATGGATCAGTACAGTGGTACACTTTGAATTTGTCCTGTAAGCCAACAGGATCGGAAGAATACACTCTAGTATAGTGATGATCTATAGCAAGGGTGCCCAATAGGTAGATCCCCAGATGTTTTCAAACTACAACTCCCACGATTCTTTGCTCGCCTTTAGAATGGCAAAGCATCATGGAATCTGTAGTTTGAAAACATCTGGGGATCTACCTTTTGGGCACCGCTGATCTATAGCATGTATGGCACATCTTGCACCTAGAGTCCTCTGAGGTGGCCCTCCATGTCTGCTTGCAGACACTGAATACACACATGAAGAACTTAAGTGATTCAGTATCAGGCAGTAAAGTAATAAGGAGAACTTTACTTGGGTTTAAAAAGAAAAGATAGGAGAAAGTACAGGACGTACAACTGCTATGAAATCTCTAACTTTTGGCATTTGACCTGACCTGACTTTTTGCAGTGAAGTGGCTTGTATCTTGACTTTATGTGCCTCTGTAGACCTGACCTGGCTAGTTTACTCGTTCTCCCGTACTTTTGTTATCCCTACCTTGACATGTTATGCCGTATCCGATTTACCTCTTTGTTCGTGTTAGGCGAAGGAAGTTTATACTTAGCTGAATCTGTCCGTTGTGTGCGCCATCATCCTCTTCTGTCTGGTAAACTTCAGCTCCTGGAGCTTCAGCTCTCGTGTATGTGCGTCTAAGGGGGATCCCGCAAGGCCTTCGGGATCCTACATAGAAAATGCTTTTTTTTTTTTTTTTTTCTACAGCCGTCATTGGTGACAGCGGGGGGGGGAATGACAAGCTTGACAATAGGTAACTCTTAAAAAGTTATAGTTTAGATTTGTTTTGATATGCTTTTAAAATACGTTTTAGTTGAAATGGAATATACTCAGATTTCTTTAAAAAATAAAAAACCTAAATAAAACTTTCCAGTGGAGTTTTGTGTATTTCTCCATCAAAATCTTCATACATCTAAAAATGCAGAGGTCCAGTGTACGTCACTGACTTTCAGTTACTATTATTTTATTATTTATATAGCGCCAGCAAATTCCGTAGCGCTGTACAATGTTCAAAGACAATAATAATATACAGAAGTAATCAACATTTAAATAGGAAAAAAAATGTTTATACGACTTTAGTTCATTTTATTCTAGTCTATTGTGTTTATTTCAAAATCGATGACAAATTCACTAAAATGCGAAAAATCAGCTAAACAGACAGACTTCTTGGTGTCAAAACAGGGACAGTTGAATTCACACCAGTCACTTCCTTTTCGTCTGATTACTCCATATCTTTCGCAAACGTGTGCACACACACAGATCACATCATGCTGTCTATGATAAGAACACAAAAGATGTTGCAATCTTATCAGAGGTCTTGGAGAATTATATATAATATAGATATCTGGGTCCTGTCAACTTGTTGTTTATTGTAAATATAACTTTTGTATTAACAGATCAAAAGAGTTAATTGTGTGCTCTGTAGAAATTTCAGATTACTATCCATGCCTAGCTGATATCACAGTTGTATTTTAACCTAGAAATTCAACTCTTCGTCTTCCAGCCCTCCAGAGCCTTTATTTCTGTCTGCACAAAGTTTGTCTGAAGGGCATGTCAAATTGTCCTCTCTGTGTCCCTTTTTAGGTCTCTGTGGCTTCTATTGAATGAGCTTTGGTTAGCATGGTTTTTAAGTAAAAAATACTGGCTATCTTTGTATACATCGAGCTTGTAGGAATAAAACAAGAGCGTTTTAATGCTTTTTTTAGAAGCAGGATACAAGATACAGATAAGTCATGGGTATATGATCCAGACTCAGTAATTAACAGTAGGTCAACAATTTCTATTCCAATTTTTATCTATATATAATTTATAACAATATATAGAAAAACGGAAGAAAAAAAAGCAACGGTGTAGGTGAGTCCATTTCTTAAAGCAAATCCGAATAGGGGATAAAAGTATACAATAATCTTAATTATGGTTTGAACTTCATTTTTTAAGTGTAGCTTTTTAAAAGTAAAGTTTACATGGTAATTTTTTTTACTATCAAATATGTTTTCTCAACGTTAGATTCAAATTCAAGTATGTATTCCTAATTTAGATTCAGACCCCCAGTATCTATAAAATAAGTAGCTTATACTAATTTTTTGGCCCACATTACCCTGCTCTTTTTGCAGCTACTGCTCTTCCCCAAAATTAGTGATTGTGAACTCAGCTAATCCAATTTTCTGCGATATGGGGGCAGAGTAGAAGACACCGAACATTGGTCCTGAGACAGCCACTATAATTGTTCTTATGGACAAATGTAAACAGTGCCTTTTCTCAGAAAAGACAGTGTTTAAAATTATTGGGCTGCAGGGATGAGCCCATTGCACCAGGACTACTATATTCAGCTGTAGTGTTTCTGTTGTTTAGAGTGTCACTTGGCTACGCAGACTGTATGGCACCACCCAGGTTAGTTTTTTTCTTCTCGTATTTGAAATCTCTAATTTTGTACATCTAATGTGTCATTTAGTTCTGTCCTGCAACTGTTTCTCAATCCTTTATTCAATTTTCTTTTAGAAAACCATGAACCTTCCTCCAGATAAGATAAATGTTCTCCGTCAGTACGACCAAGACAAGAAATGGGAACTGGTGTGTGATCAGGTAAGAACCTACTGCCGAGTGATGAATTGGGACATTTTCTTATAGAGAGGTTGGTCAAGTTAAGGGGCCTTTTATCGGGGACATACACATCATTTCTGAACATGAGGTTGTATTAAATTAGTGTTAAAATTGGTTAAATTTAAAAAATTATACAAAAGGCAAAAGAGGAGCAGGAAAAAGTAGGATTATGATAAAATATCCTGAAGAGTGGGTTTCCCTACTAGTTTTGGAGAAGGGGAAAATAAACCAAAAAAAGGAGGGGCGGGAGGGACGGGGGAAAGTGTATAACAAAACAAGTGAAACCTCAATAAATGTATTAAAACGTAACTTTTAATAGAAACAAATATAAATGAGGTGAAAAAACCTTGCAGGTGAAAAGTTACAAATATGCGTGGGTGGAGGGAGCCACCCACCAGGTCTGTCTGAGACTAGTAACAAGATATCCTAATTGACTGTCAATGCAAAAGCCCACCAAGATACAAAACAGCAGTCTCAATAAGTTGGATTTTAACTTAAAGGAGCACTATAGGGTCAGGAACACAAACATGTATTCCTGACCCTATAGGGTTAAAACACCATCTAGCCCCCCTGTCCCACTCATGCCTCCCTAAATATAGTAAAATCTTATTTGTATGGGTCACATAGCATAACCCGTTTTTAGCATTTGATATCGTGCCATGGGTTGCAAAGTGTACAGGGACATGAACTAATTAAAGAAGCTTTCTCCAGTACTAAGTATGTACAGGAAATTGTTAACCTGTTCGTGAAATAATGGTTTAAATCACGTGAATGTGGGGGTTATTGTCTAAGTAGTGAGTCTGGTGACCTAGCCTGGAGCGAGTAGCAATGGGTAATTAGATTGCTAAGATTTAAGCATATATAAGTCACTGTTGGTGCAGAGACATGTGGATAGCGCCGGTGTGTTCCCCTGAGGCGCATTTCGCCGCCCTGGCTCATCTGATAAGCCAGAGCGGCGAAACGCGCATCAGGGGAACACACCTATTGCTACTTGCTCCAGGCTAGGTTAACAGCCGCCGCAGCAATAATCGCGGCTCAGCCTGGATGAGTGGGTTTGAAAACTCTGACACATAACATTGTGTGAACATGCTGCTTATAACCTGAGCGCTCTCACGAAGCAGCAGTTGAGTGTTAAAAACACTTGGACCTCCACGATAGCTTTCCTTTGCAGGGTTTTGGTGGGAGGTACTCTTTTCCAGAGTGTGAGGGCTTAGTCAGGCTTTTATTAATGGGTGTTCCCCTCGAAGGCACTAGTGCATAGGGCAGCACTGGATATAGGACATGGGAATTCCATCGTAGTCCTTCCTCTACACACCGGCTGAGCTATTGTGTAACATTTTTCAGGCAGTATATATACTATAACTCCCCCTATCACTATACAACGTTTACCGACTATAATGTACTTAGATGCATAGTCGGAAACTAGACATACATTCTCTATATGTATCTAAGGGCTCCTGCTAGGGAACTGCATTGTAACTGCACTATATCCGCTACCCTGCCCAGACCTTCCTCTCTACTATTAAATTAGCGGACACAGTACCTATGTATGGTTAAGATTGCCCTCTCAACCGCAACAAGTAAACTTTGTCTTTCACAGTCACTATTCATCATCATTGTGACTCACTACTTAGACAATAACCCCCATATTCACGTGATCTAAACCGTTATTTCACGAACAGGTTAACAATTTCCTGTACATACTTAGTACTGGAGCAAGCATCTTTAATTAGTTCATGTCCCTGTACACTTTGCAACCCTGGCACGATATCAAATGCTAAAAACAGGTTATGCTATGTGACCCATTTGCATATATGATTAAATATATATATATTGTAGCCAGCTGAGACTCTGCTTTAATTCCTAGTCTCAGAAAGACTTGGTGGGTGACTCCCTACACCCACGCATATTTTTAACTTTTCGTCTCCAAGGTTTTTTTCACCTCATTTATATTTGTTTCTATTAAAAGTTAAGTTTTAATACATTTATTGAGGTTGCACTTGTTTAGTTATATACACTTTCCCCCGTCCCCCTATTTTTTCAGTTTATTTTCCCCTTCTCCGAAACTAGTAGGGAAACCCAATCTTCAGGATATTTTATCATAATCCTACTTTATCCTGCTCCCCCTTTGCCTTTATATATCTTTGGTGAAATTATTTTCACTAGGGGTTAACCCCCATTCAGGAGACAATAATCTATTTGGCGCCATTCTCGCTTTGAAGATTTAAAAATTATAACACACCTTGAGGATAAAAAAACAAGTTATGCTCTTTTGTTTCCCCCCCAAAAGGCAATGAGTATTGTATTACTTAAACAAGCACGCTTTAGACTCTAAAAGGAACTCCTATCTCACTTGTTGTCCAATCCACTACCACCCATGGTGGAAATGTTATGGGGTGAGATTTATCAAGACAAAACTGAATGATTTCAGAACACATTTTATTGGTTTACATGACGATTGATCCTTATTTAGCCCTTTGACCCAGAATAGGACCTGCTTTCTCTTTAATAAATCTACCCCGATCTCTTCAACATTATAATAAGTTGGGTAGTTGAATTTAAACATGTGGTGGGTAGTAAGCAGGTAGGCAAGACTGAGTGGCTTGCGTGGGACCCGGAGAGTGTGAACAAGAATAGGGGAGGCTACATTCTAGGGGTGGCCACCAGTGTAATTATATGACATTTATCTCAGAGTCCAGTCAATCTTTTAAGCATGACTTTTCCTCAGCTGTACGTAATGGCTCTAATTCAAACCATTGCTAATCATTGGTGCAATAATCTGTCACGTAATAAAATTATAAGTGAAACTTGTTGGGCTTAGGATCGGGTTAGCCCACTGTACATCTATGATTGCTGTTTGTAAAACGTTGACACCTCAAACCTTTATTCTTCTTAGGAGCGATTTCAAGTTAAAAACCCGCCGGAAACATATATACAGAAGTTGAGGACCTACGTAGATACAGGAGGGATCAGTCGAAAGGTAATTCCCTGTATACATTATTCAAGTATACAAGTATTCATATTCACAAAAACTCCTGCTACAATACATGTCAAGGTATACATTTCAATGTGTGCTGTTTTGTATTTCAAATGTTAGTCCAACATAGCCAAAGTGGAAAAATTCCACAAAACCAGCTGTTTATAGAAGGCCATTTTAGCCTAATGTTTAAAATGTAAGATAAATTTACTATCAATTACCCACAATTCCCATTTTAGTAGGTAGCCTTGCATGTCACTAACAGACGACTGAAATACTAAACAAAAGTTTTAGATAACTCACGAATGCAATTCAAGCAGTAGGGCAGAAACCAGTCAGTATTGTTATTTATAAAGTGCCAACAAATTCCATATAGCTGTGCAATAGGTGGACTTACATGTATTTTCAACAAGACGAATTGGACCCACAGCTCAAATGAGCTTACATTCTAACGAAATCTACAAGTATCTATAGAGTTCATCCTTAAAAACTGAACAGAGGTTTTAAAAGAAACCTCTTGCAATTCCATGCCTTGAGACACGTTCCGGTGGTGGCAATATATTTGGCATAACATATATTGTGGCGAACGTGACCTCGCAACGGAGCCTGCTTGCCAGCCTCCTACCCACAGACTATGCAGGGGAACCTGTAAAAGACAGTTTAAAAGTCTTGGTTCATGTAATTTCCCTATGCTGTTTGTGAACCGAACAACTGCACGAACCAGAGACCACCCATGTGCTTCTTAAGCTCAATTGGCACCTGGTAACGATTTCCACCTCAGTGTTCTACTTGGTCGTCTGGGTGGCCGCAGTTGGTATTAATGACCAGGAGGTGACAACCATCTTGTTCCCGCGAACACAGGCAACGGTGTTTGGACGTTGAGCTCATGGAACTAAAATCGGACACTGAACCACCCAAACACCGCTGGACTTCCATCATCGCCTGCGTTCGTTTCTATACAACCTGGAGGGGCACTGTTTGGTGGATTCTTTCACATGGATTAGATGAACAAGCTGCACATTGTAATTATGGATTATGCTCGGTATTTTATTCGTTATTATGTTACCAAAGTTGAACGACTGTTAGCACTGATTTCATGGAACTATTTTGGGCTTAAGCCACATGTGCGGTCGGTCAAAAAAAGGACTTCCATGGAAAACCCGAACCCCTGAACTGATCTGGGTGATTTTTGGATATGTTGGTCACCCAGATCGGGGCTATCAGGGGATGTGACTTTTGTGGGGTTTTCATGTATTTTATGTGTATTTTGGGGTGTTTTATAAATTGTTATATTTTCTTTCCCTGAGAGATAATTAAACTATAAGTGTTTGCTCAGGTAATTATCTCACAGGCACAGAGGATCCTGGGAGGGATTTCCCTGTAATTTTGTATTGGAAACCCCTTGCAGGTGCTTTTGCATAAAATGCCGTGAGTGGCCTCCAATAAACCAGACTACTCCCAGCATTAAGCCTTGGCCTTATGTGTGGGGGGAACAGCTATACTGCAATAATCACTGCTATACCTGCTATACGCTTTTGGAGGAGAGGTCTTCCCACTGGGAGCTGGATCCGGGTGTTGGTCCAGGGTGGGAAAGGACGGCGAGACCCCAGCCAAGCTGCAGCGGTGAAGGGGGGGCTACAGTGCTTATTGTATCCGGTACGGTGATTATGGTACTCAGCGACTACTAGGAAGCACTATTGGTGGTGGTACCCAGTCGGGGTACCAGGTAGTCCGCCACATATATGTTTCACAGTAATGAAAAAAAGAAATTCATTGCCAATGTATTTTACCGTAGGCCACCTTCTCAAAGCAGAGGGAAGACTCAAACAGACTGTTTTACTATCCAGCAATACAAAAGTTTTCATGCAGAGGTAGGCAACCTCTGACTCTCTAAAGATTGTTTACTTCAACTCCAAACATTCTTAACCCTTCATAGATTACTAAAACATAACCCTGTGTGTTTGCTCCATTAAATGGTACTCTTTTATTATAGGAATTATTGTACCGACAATGGTTCTATGTAAACTACATAATTTGCACAGACTTACACTGATCACACACAACCACATACATAAAAAAAAGAAAATTACATAAACTGTTTATAAACCTTCTTTGGTTTTGTATTGGGAGAAATATGAACGATGAGTAGTGGAGTTACATCGACATATATCACTGGGTGACGGAACTCACCTCTTTCAACTTGAACTGGCCGTGAAGTGGTGAATATGTTATCTGCTAATGCTGAGTTATTGTTCATTTTAGTTCAAGAGACAGACGCAAGAGTCCACTCAGGTCCTTCGAGAGCTGGAGACCTCACTTCGGACAAATCATATCGGGTAAGGCTGCCATTAAATTAAGTATATCATTAAGAATGCCCTTTTCAACTCGAGTTAAAGCATCAACACACAGAAGGTCACTCTGAAACATATGTTAAAGTTAAAGTTAACAAAGTTAAAGTAAAATGGCTGCTCAGGGATATAGCATCCATCTACCAACTTCAACATGTGACATGGTGACAAAAAATGGCTGCTGTGGAACATACCCCCCAACATTACAAATGGTCAAAGAGGGGCATTTTAATTTAGTGGTGTGAGTCGGGGTGTGGTCAGGGGTTGGCTGTACTGATATTTTGTCTAAAGTAGCTCTGATAAGTTGGTTGTTTTTTTTAACACATTTTTCCCTATAATACTTTCATTTTAAAGGTGGGTGGAAGAGTTTCTGAGCAAGGAAGTCGGTGGCCTTGATGTGCTGGTGGATTATCTTGCCTTCGCACAATGTTCCTTCACGCAAGTATTGCCCAGGTTATTGTGTGATCTGTACATATATGTTTATCTTAGGGCACTAACCCTGTCTAGTATGGCTTTGAGACATCTCTTTTCACACTTTTCACACAAAATAACTGAGTAATTGCGAACTCAACTAGCAGAAGAGATGACTATACAGAAGCACAACATGTGGATGGACCTGTAACTAAATACACTCCAACATAAAATGTACGAAGAGCCTATGACTAAGGCTATAACATATATGGAGTTTGTAACCTCCTCTTGTAATATTTTATTTTTTATTTATATGATTTACCACTTTACCTTCCTGAAAGTCTGCACTAGGTAACTAGTTTCACACCAAGAGCGACTGATATTTATCTGTCATTTCCCCTCAAGAACACTATCTGAGTCAGAAAGCTGCTGAAAATAAGGTAGAAGCTGTTGAGATAAAAGAGGAAATGGCAATGGTTTTAACATACATGAAGTGCTTTTATTTTAGACATAGTTTCACTTTAAGTGTACTGTAAGGGATGTTTGTGGGTGGTGCATCAACATAACAACTAGAATTATTTGTAGACCTTCTTAACATGCATTATTTAAAGGAAAACGATCGCATTAGGAATACAAACACTATAGGTTCCTTCTAACTATTTAGATTATTGGCCCCTCTGCAAGGGTTAAAAATAGCCTTTTACTTAAGTTATATACTGCGACGCACTTCTGTCTGTGGACCAGTCCTTCCTGCTTGGCTGACATTACCAGTCTTGAAAATTTCAGCCAATCCTATGCTTTCCTATATGAACGCATTGGGAGGCTAGTGCGCATGCACGGAAAAATTCCATTCTGCACTAATCTGCACCTTGACGTGGGTTCTTGCAATGCATCTCTATGAGTAGCATTCAGCGTCTGTATGCAGAGAGATGCTGAAGTAGGTCCTGCAAACATTACAGGACATAAACCAGGAAGCATCTGGGTCATAATGTTACTAGGCAGTAATATAAACACAGCCATTAGGTTTCAGTGATTCTGGTGACCATAACAAGAAAAAATCCTATAATTTCTAACTACATTGTCCTTTTTATACGATCATCATTCGTGCAACCTTGTCTTGTCTCTGACACTCTCAAAAAAGTCTCCCATCCCAATATCTGCATTTTCCTCCATCTGTCATTGTCTACTTCTTTCTTCCTCCTTAGCGTCCTTGTTCTCTGTGACTTTCTATCCACTGCTTCCTTCTCTTCCAATATCCTTCCACCATCTATGCGTATTTCTGCTCTAGGAATGATGCAGAAGGCTCGGAGAATGGAACAGTTGAGAGAAAAAAAGTTTTGCATAGATCCTTGGAGGACATCCGCAAGTCTTCTGCCTCTTCAAGTCCCTCAAGTACCCCCTCCCGTTTACGGAACCTGACCACCAGGTAAATTTGTCTACCAATAAGCTGATGATTTATTACAGATACCCTGTTAGCAGTACTGTATTCCATGCATTACCTAGCCTTGGTAATATCAGACCCTCATATATGATGGTTAACTATTATATTTCCCAGGTACATCATTTTAATTCTCAATGTTTAAATACTGCTTATTCTATAAGTATCCCTAATCCTCAAAATACCTATCATCATATTCCATAAATGATTTCAACTAGCCTGTGAGGTTCCTTATCCAATATACCTAATGCCACCCATTACTGGATTTCCCAAGCAAGGAATCTTATTCACTACTAGACTATTGATTTCAAAACTACAATGCTTGGTCCAACCCAGTACTATAGGCTCCTATTCCATTGTATTTATCCTGAGCAGACATACTAATATAGCAACATCTTAAGTACATACAATGATAGAGGTCACTGACTTTCTGCCTTAATAGATTCGTACATGGCCGGGCAACACTGAAGAACTCCAAACATTTCAACGCAAAGGATGATGTCCACATTTGTATCATGTGTCTCCGGGCAATCATGAACTACCAGGTATGTGGCGAAAGTAGCTCTGAATATAATGTGTACTGTGTTTGTCTGGAAGTATTAGTCATAAATTAGTAGTCTAAAATTTAAATTATTATATATCAATTTACTGAAGTATTAAGTGTTGTCTTCTAATTTATCTTCTAAAAGCTATAATTCTGTGTGATGCTTTACTTGTGTGGAGGTGGTGAACTTATATAAATATATTTCTCCTTATGTTCAGATGTCAGTTTAAGCCTGATGATCACTTAGTGTTCTACAGCCAGTGGAAAATTGAATTGGTCTATCCCTAACTCATCTTCAAATCAGTTTTGAGCCAACACCAATCACTTCTGTTCTTCAGCTAGTGAAATTTTTCTTTGGTCAATCCACATTTCTCCCTACAGTCCTGATTCAGTATGATTATCCATTTTGTTCTCAAAGTAGAACACAAACGTGTTCTAAAGCTAGTAAGCCATTCCGATGACCATTCTTTCTGCCTCTCCCTACTGCCATGTCCTGTTCAATATACAACCTATTTTATAGAGAACATGGAAATTTTCAGCATTTTTTCTTTTTGCCTCTGATGACACACAGGGCTCAGTACAATTGTTTTGAGAATAGCTAGATTATTTCAGTGTTCTTTCGTTTTCTTTCTTTGCAGTCGGGATTCAGCATGGTCATGTCTCATCCCTCCTGTGTTAACCAAATCACCCTGAGCCTCAGCATTAAAAACGCCCGGTGAGTAACCAAGTATTTCAGATATGGGAAATCTAGTGAGATTGATAGGTGACTCTTTGCATATGCAGAAAGGACAAACAATCTGCAATCTCTCACGTTTTCACCATTTCTTCCCGCCATCATACTAAAGCTTTATTCTGGTTGCTTCTCCTTTTTCGTCATTCTCGTAAATCTTCCACTTATGTTGACTTTTTTCATCTCTCTATTTACATCATTCGTCCAATAATGCTTACTTTCATCTCTCTTCCCCTTGATCTTCTCTGTTTCTAAAACACTCTTCATCTTGCATCTCTCTCTAACTCCACACATTACCTCTCACCATCTCATTCTCCACCCTTCTTTTTCTTGGCCTCCATGTCTCAACCAGGACAAAAGCCCTTGTCTTGGAACTTCTTGCAGCTGTTTGTCTGGTTCGAGGTGGACATGAACTAATTCTCTCAGCTTTCAACTATTTCAAGGAGGTGAGAACACAAGTAAAACTTAAATATTTCTAATGGTTGTACGCTTGGTTATCATTTTGCTTATCAAATTTGCTTATCATTGTTGTCCTAGTTTGGATGGAATTGCACTTGATAATGTAGAACTGTAATTTCCTCATTCTCAATGAAGCTAAACAGGGGACTGGATATAGGTGCCATGGAGAGCCCCAGTTCTCCATGAAATGCTTCAAAGCACCATAATCACTGTATTGAGCCTTAGAACTAGAATGATCCTTTAAAGCAGCATTGTCATGGCGAATCCTGTTTTTTTTAACCCACCCCTCCCGACTCCACTACATCTAATTCTCCCCCTAGTTACCACCAAATGCCCCTAAGCCCCCCATATTACCTATTTTTGCATAACACTGTGATTGGTTGATTGAAAGCAACCAGAGTGTTGCTATGAGTCAAATTACACAGCATGGGAAAATTCCAAAGAACTTTCCCACGCTGTGTAAAATGACACAGAGCACTATGATTGGTTGGATTTTAAGCCAATCAATCAGAGTGCTGTGACAGGTAAATGTAGAAACTTACCTGTTAGTCTCTTCATTTACCTGTCATAGCACTATGATTGGTTGGCTTAAACCAACCAATCAGAGTGCTCTAAGCCTAATTACAGGGCGTAGAAAGGCTTTATAAGCCTTTCCCCGCCCTGGGGAGCTCAGTCTGCACCGTGCCCTCCATGGGTGAAGATGGATTACTTTTCTAGCATCAGGGGTTTTTTTCGGCTGAATTTTTTTTTTGCGCTCAGGTTTTTTCTTTTATTTTCAAAGTTCAACGGGTGTTATGGATTTTTATTTGCCCTTTTTGGGGGCTAAAAAAAGATTTTAGAAAAAAGAAGACATCAAATGGTAAGTTATTTTTTATTTACAGGGATTTAGTTTTATTGTTTCCCCCTCACTATTTTTTGGGTGGAGGGGTGACTAGGGGACCCCTAGTCACCTGGGGGGGTATTTACACTTAGTCCCTACCCGTCGCCCATGGGTGGGGGCCCGGGGGAGAGGACAATAGGTCTCCCCCACATTTTCATTTAGGGCCCCCACCCGTCACTCAGGGGTGGGGGCCGAGGGGAGGGCAATAGGTTGTCCCCCTTATTATTATTATTATTATTATTATTATTATTTAGGGCCCCCACCCAATCCAACCCCCAACAAAGTCCCGAAATTGCGTCCTAACATGAATGAACAAACTGTTCTCATTCTGTTAGAACGCAATTCGGCAGTTTCGCCGGCGTTCTGTCTACGTGACAGGACGTTCGGGAATACTGACAGGAAGCAACTAACTGGATACAGCCAAACAAGGTACACTAGGAGCAGGGGGTAACCCCTAGTAGAAATGAACAAGAAACTAGAGAGTAGGGTACCAAGAAAGTATTGGGAGGAAGCAACTACTGCCAGTGCTACATAATAACCAAAAATTATATAAGAAGCACGAGTTAAAAAGACCAAAGGTCAAAAGACAAAAAATAGTTTATTAGATTCTAAATAATATACAGAGTGAGAAAACCAAAAAAGAAATAAACAAAATATTGTTATAATACATATATCAGTGAGACACAATACTGAGTTATTTAAGATACATGTATCAACAAGCCTCAATATAATGGAATGTATCAATAAGTCTCAGAGTAATTCGATAAATGTATCAAGAGATCAATCTAATGAGGCAGTGTGATAATCTGCAAAGTTAACTCTAACGTCCTAAAAATATAAGAGTAATGAAGTAGCAGCACACGTCTGTGCTAATGGGAAGACATTAGCTAATGATAGCCATAATAGTAATAGTGGAGTAGATGGAGAGCAGAAGAATTATCGGGGTAGCATGTAGTGCAAACATTTTATTGCTAGATACTGCCAAGAGTCGAAAAGAATTACCTCTACTAGGAGCTAAAATGACGATGTAGAGACTATAGGTCTAGGCATATAATTATGACAAGTAAAATCAATCCTGCTAAATATGACCGTATAAGCTACGAGCGTATGAATATTTGTAGCTCGTAAAAACTGTCAATGGTTATCGGTGTATAGACTGCCGGTCCTAGCATGAAGTTGTTAAATGTGATACCTATCGGTATATAGTAATTGACATATAAGTAATAGATATTAAACTAAGCCAAATACTATAGAAGCTACTGAAATAATAATTACGGCATTTGATGGTCTGTGCCGTAATAATTAGCGATGCTGATGGTAAGCGGTCTACTGGCGTACTGAAATTCTAATAGAAAAGGCTTAATTAGAAAATGGCAGGTACAGGCTATACTCAGCTGATAAGACCTGTAGCCTACACCAGAGAATATAACGGTGGGAGAGATAATAGTAAGAAAGATAATATGAGAAGAATAGAAAATGCTAATTATGATAAATTCCACACTAACAGCTTGCCCTCGTGCCTTCAAGGGCACCTAAGTGTTCCCAAGCAAATGCAGTCTTAGTAAATGGTTACGATAGTATAGAGAAACATAGAATGTGACGGCGGATAAGAACCATTCGGCCCATCTAGTCCGCCCAATTTTCTAAATACTTTCATTAGTCCCTGGCCTTATTTTATAGTTAGGATAGCCTTATGCCTATCCCACGCATGCTTAAACGTCTTTACTGTGTTAACCTCTACCACTTCAGTTGGAAGGCTATTCCATGCATCCACTACCCTCTCAGTAAAGTAATACTTCCTGATATTATTTTTAAACCTTTGTCCCTCTAATTTAAGACTATGTCCTCTTGTTGTGGTAGTTTTTCTTCTTTTAAATATAGTCTCCTCCTTTACTGTGTTGATTCCCTTTATGTATTTAAATGTTTCTATCATATCCCCCCTGTCTCGTCTTTCCTCCAAGCTGTACATGTTAAGATCCTTTAACCTTTCCTGGTAAGTTTTATCCCGCAATCCATGAACCAGTTTAGTAGCCCTTCTCTGAACCCTCTCTAAGGTATCAATATCCTTCTGAAGATACGGTCTCCAGTACTGTGTACAATACTCCAAGTGAGGTCTCACCAGTGTTCTGTACAATGGCATGAGCACTTCCCTCTTTCTACTGCTAATACCTCTCCCTATACAACCAAGCATTCTGCTGGCATTTCCTGCTGCACTATTACATTGTCTGCCTACCTTTAAGTCATCAGAAATAATCACCCCTAAATCCCTTTCCTCATATGTTGAGGTTAGGACTCTATCAAATATTCTGTACTCTGCCCTTGGGAGGGTACTAAAAAACAACTAAATACACTTAGCACTATCAACTCTCCCCCCGTGCCTTCAAGGGCACCTAAGTCTTCCCATGATATAATATAATCTAAATAGAAAAGAGGACAGGTAGAGTTACTGTCATTCTCTGATAAGAGACAGTATGTACGAAGCCCCTTACTGACAGGAAGCATCGCGAGAGGAAAGGTGAGAATTGTGGGAATATTGCTTTGACCACAGGAAACGGAGCACACTTTGTTCCTCTGCTGGTCAAAGCTGGTCAAGCGTAGGGAACCTCCATAAGACAAATAGTCCCTACTTTTTCCTATGTTTTAAAGAAAACTAGAGCAGAAAAGAAGAAATGAAGAACAGATCCTGAGAGAGGGAGAGAAGATGAATAAATTAAAGAAATGTAAGGTCACTATAGGTAACTGCCCATAATGTTTTATGAAAAAACAACAACATATTTTCTGTTTTTGGGTACAGTCAATTTCTTGTGACTGTACTTAAATAGTGCAGTTTCCTCCAAAGCCACAAGCTTCCTACCACACTCTTCATGTACTGGAATCATCTAACATAATTTTTAAATATAGTAGCATGCAAGTAGCTACAATAAAACACACCCAAACAAGTTCAATGTAAGTAAATGCTGGTATTTGCTTCTCACACATTTCACCGCTATAAGCTCAGCATTATGTAGAGAGGCAACGCTGAGAGAGAGGGGAGAAAAAAACACAACTGACTGTCTCATTTGAAATCATATGACTGCTGATTGGTTCTTTGGTGAATCAAAATACAGCTGGAATTCCAATGATGGTCAGTGACCAGAAAATAGTAACACAAGGACACTTGGCAGCCCCCCTACTTGCTATAAATTACAGTCTTGCAGGGACAGTGAAAAACTGCTTAAAGGTCAGCTGTCATGCCCCAAAGAACTTATGCTCATCAGACTGAGCATAAGGTTCTATCTATGGTGCTAACAGTGTTGCTAGTAAATATACAGATTAGGGGAAAAACCTAAGTCTAGGTGCTGAGGCATAGACTGACAAGACAGAGCAGAAATTATCTCCTATAAGAGATCCATGTGCTCTGCTCTGATAGTAACCATAGTGCATGTGCTGTGGTTGATATGGAAACTTCCTAGCCGGAGCTAATATAGGCACGGATTGACGTGACATCACTTTGTTCGGACGCTGGCAACTGACAAGATTTGACAAGACGGAGCAGAAGATGGCCAGGACATGGGTGTTACACGAAGGGGGTTGAGGATGCCTATCCACCAGGGGAGGGAGATCATGCTATTATTTGAGGGGATGGAAAATGGCATAGTTACCCCTTATTTTATAATGAACATGGCATTGGTTAAGGCAAAACAGTTGCTATTTTGGGACAAAGTGCTAAATTAATAGCAATCACCATGGAAACAAACAGAATGTCTCTCAACATTTAGCACTTTGCACCCCAAATAATATTTTTTTTACCTTGAAAAATGATTCCTGTAATTAGAATTTTTTTTATATTATAATCCTATAATATTGTTTTACCACTATAAATTTAATGCAGGTTAGTGCCAAGTTCTCGTTGTGTAAGCCTGCATAGTGGTATGAGTTGTACCTTTGTGTCTCACTGTACCCATTACAGAGTTTTGCATCAACCAAAACTACTGACATCATGTAGAGCAAGGTACAGTCTGGCTGGGAATAATAGTGGTCACTTTCCATCTGTCCTAACTATAACTCCGTTAACCTTAAAGCGACAGATTTGCTCTATATAGTTGTCACACCTCTTGTATGTTTCTATACTATTATCTCAAGATTCGCATGAAAAGTTAAAGTATGGAATAATAATACATTTTATCCCCCCAATTTCTGTAAATGATAAACACATACAATTTTTTATACCGTTGATACCGTTTATACCGTGTGTACATGTTAGCTAATAATCCCATATTTCATAAAAACTAGACCAAATTAACAGTCTATTGCCTTCTAATGATTGTGATCTGTGCAGGTCTGTGGTGAAAAATCCCGATTCGAGAAGCTCATGGAATATTTCCGAACAGAAGATTCAAACATTGACTTTATGGTAAGAAGGGCAGTATGTGAGTCTATGTGTATATATACATACATGCATGTGGGACATGAAAGATAATGTGATATCAGAAAAAGGATAAACCATTCAGTGTCCTTTCTAACCAATCAGTGTCCTATCCCTAGGAATGCTGCAAAAGTGCATTGGGAATTCCTGACAGTCACACATGTGCAGTAGGAAGATCTCTTCAACTGCACATGTGTATGTACTCCTAATGTGTATGTATTCCTAATGTGTATTATTAACTTTTTATTAGGTTTAAACACGTCTGTGCATTTTTAATACCTTATATAAGTCCATTGTTTCTCTATTTTCCTATAGGTGGCCTGCATGCAGTTCATCAATATAGTGGTTCATTCTGTGAAGAACATGAACTTTCGAGTCTTCCTTCAATATGAGTTCTCCCTTCTAGGGCTGGATGAGTATCTGGAGGTTGGTATATTATCAGGGACATTGCTTTGTTCTAGAAACACCTGGGCCTATAGTCCGAAGGAAAACTCAATGTTACCTACACTAACAGAGAGTTTGTCCAGATAGTCTAATACCCAACACACAGAACTTAAGTTAACAAATATAAAATAAATCAAAAAGCCCTAAAACGTATTGCCGGACATTAGAATGACCGGATTTAACGTTAATATAGAAAGGTATAGAGCAAGCTGAGGTCAGGGAAACAGAAGGTACATAAACGATTGACAAGCCAAAGTTCAAGTGATACAGAAGTCAGAATAGTCAAAGAACAAGCAACGGTCAAATACACAAGAATCAATCAAAACAACGCCCTCTTAGATAACCAAACTGGAAACCACAACAGGGCACTGAAATTAAATAGTAATGAGTTTAAATACCTTAATAACTATTCTGATTGGGTATTAATGGTCAAGTAACGATGGGACGTGCATGTGTGATCTCAGCATGACGTCACACGCACATTTGTGGGAGACTTATGCATGAGACCTTGTGCAGTGGCCGGCGTCACTACACTTCAAGACGTGGCCGATGCGGAGCTTAGACCAGGTACACTCGGTAGATATGTCACATCCCATGAACATGCTACCTGATAGAGTTGTGCTCAGTAAGATTTGGTTCCCTAACACAGTCAGTTTGGGGGAACAACCCCTCTTCCCAAGTAGGCTGATGAGCACTATACCACTGATTTTTCTTTTTATAATAGTTGGCTGCTTTGAGAAGCATCTGCCTTAATAATTTGTAAATTGAAAAAAAACCTCCATCAACTGTAGAGATTCAGGGCTAAAGAGCAACACCACTGTTTATTACCTTACTAAAATTGCAGCAAAATTATATGACATATTGTAGAGGAATAAGCTTTGCATGACAGGTTTTTTTGATCAAGAACTCATATTTATATTTGTATTTCATGTTCTCCCTGGTGTTTAGACCCTAAAAAGTACAGAAAGTGAACGTCTGCAGGTACAGATACAGGCCTATCTGGATAATATATTCGATGTGAATAACCTCTTGGAGGACTCAGACACCAAGCATGAGATGCTGGACCATGTTGAAGACCTGCAGGGGCATTTGGCTCACGTATGTACCACACAAAAAATTGAAACTCTTCATACAGTGCGCCTCGTGCAGTGCAGATTAAACGGGAATGCATCACTTTTAGACAACTGTCTCATTCTAAAGCTTTAGTTTTGAATGAGGCAGTTGCGTTACTTTGCAGGGTGAAAAAAAGGAGGCAAATATGTTTTTTTCCATAATTACCTGCTTATTTCTCATGATTTCCACACTCACTCCAGGAGGCACTGATCTAACCAATCAGTGTCCTATCCCTAGGAATGCTGCAAAAGTGAATTGGGTGTGACTGACAGAGTCACACATGTGCAGCTGGAAGATCTCTTCGCCTTGCTACATCCTGACAGAAAGAGAAGAGAGGGGGTCTGATTAGTGTGATTCATGGGTTGGGTTTCTCATGCATGTGACTTGCACAGCCTTCCATAAACACTTCCTGTAAAGAGAGCCCTATTTAGGCTTTCTTTATTGCAAGTTCTGTTTAATTGAGATTTTCTTATCCCCTGATATGTTAATAGCTTGCTAGACCCTGCAAGAGCCTCCTGTATGTGATTAAAGTTCAATTTAGAGATTGAGATACAATTATTTAGGGTAAATTACATCTGTTTGAAAGTGAAACCAGTTTTTTTTTTTTCATGCAGGCTCTGTCAATCATAGCCGGGGGAGGTGTGGCTAGGGCTGCATAAACAGAAACAAAGTGATTTAACTCCTAAATGACAGTGAATTTGCAGGGGCATGATCTATACACTAAAACTGCTTTATTTATCTAAAGTAATTTAGGTGACTATAGTGTTCCTTTAAAGCTGCAACATTATTTACCACCATCCAGGAAATGTATTGTTTATCCACTTCCAACCAGGAACTAACTTACTGCTCAGTCAAGTCCAGCCAGTAACTAATGTTTTGCTCACCCACTTTCTTAATTAATAAATTTCACTCCATACTTAATCAGGTCTTGATTATAGCAGCCAAATGAAATGCTTTAATCATTAGTGTGCCACATTGTGTAAATATGTGTTTGTGTGTTTGTTTTTTTCATTAACCCAAGAATATAAATTCATGAAAATAAATGACTAAAAATGACAAGACAGGTGTTGATGTTGTAGGTTATGGAGACTGTTTTCCATCACATTAAAGGGTAAACAGCACTTCAAAATCAGATAATAACGGCCTGAAGTGATTTGTATCGCATTAGGTTCATGTGACAGAAGCTCCTATGCCACAGGTATTTGGAGAGGCATGAAAGCCAGCCAGCTGCCCAGTAAATTGGGCCTGCTCCCAATGTAGGGAGGGGTATAAGGGCCTCAGTCATTTACTGTGCTTCCCAGTTTGACTTGGGGTCCTCTGGGGATTGCCTGGAATCGTCATACACATCGAGCACCTGACTGGGTGACATCTTGAAACATTCTGAAACTGTTCCTCTGATTGGGAGTGTGACAAAATCCTGTTACTATTTTAGTGGATACCCCTGGTCCCCTGACCTCCAAATATAACATTTAAAGGAGAGGTCGGGGAGGTATCGGAGGATACCTTGGACTTTAGAGTACTCCCACTAGAGGTCTAGGAAACCCTTTTTGGAGACAGTTCCATGCATCATATTGCAGTCTTCTTCAGATAAGGGAGCACAGAGAGGAGTGGAGAAAGATGGAATGGCAGTTTTTGACTGTGATTAAGTCTTTTTAGACACAGTTTGTTACAAGCGTATTACGATTAATATTATTAATATTTTCTTTGAGAAGATTTTCAATAGCAGAGAATTAATTGGTACTTGGTATGTCCAAGTAAGATTGGGTGATTTTATTCTACACTGTACAACAGACTGGGTGCAGTGCTCGGTGGTTTAATTTTATTTCCTTCCCTCTTACAGCTCACAGAGAAGCTTCAGAGTACAGAGAATGAATATATGAGCAGGGTGGCTGAGCTAGAAAAGCAGCTTGACCAAACTCGCAAGGAGTTGTCTTCTGCAAGAGTAAGTTCTCTCAGTTTTTTTGTTTATAAATGCAATCCACTTCTAGCTGAAGGCTGTAGGAGGACTGTATGAAAGAATGGGGCTTAGATGCTCCAGGACCCTTGAAGTCCAGTGCCAGTAAACCTCCATACAATCTCTATAGATAGAGTGAGAGAGATAGCATTTGGGATGCCAGATGTGTAGACAATAACTTGAAAGTTTGTCTACTAAAGTAATATCAAACCCATTGGTTTAAAATGTACAATGCTCCCTGTTGCATCCTCTGTAGAGCAGTAAGCAATCATTCCCCCTATTAGGAAAATCCCATTCACAGGAAAACCTAACCCTATGGGAACCTTATTGTTCCAGATAAACGATTGCCTCCCAGTGGTTAATTCATGAAGTCAAGTCTGCACCTGAGACAAACTGTAGGATTAAAACACAATTTTTAAAAATACCACAATTACAAAATTTTAAAAATTCACCAGATTTAACCAGCATTTTTCAGGTTACATATATTAATCTCCATTTTTGATATTATACCTGTGCTACCAGGAGCAAAAGACATCCAATTCTTTGCCGGTTATCCAACATGTTGTGCATAGGAGAGAGACAGGTGATAGGGGAGTACTGTGGGTGGAACCTGCTGGAGATACCTGTACAGAAGAATCTCCAACAGTCAATGTCTCACTGAGGTCACCATCAGCCCGCATCAATGCACCAGATTCATCACATACTTTCAGGATCAACACAGTATCCTCATCGGTCTCGATCTCAGGTGAGCACAGCAGAGTTACTTGTTACAATTTACTATTTACAGATCTTGGTGTCAAGATAAAATTAACACAGTGTCTTCTGTCTACAGGTGCAACACCGGAAAGTCAAGATACTACTAAAGACTCTGTATGCAATCCTTCTTTTTCATCTTCAGCCTCTGAATCCATAATTACTTTAGCCATGTCTTCATCATTATCAGAGGGCATAAGTATTCCTCCTCCTCCTCCTTTACCAGAGTCTGAGAATAACACTATCCCTGCTTGCTCACCTGATCCTGGGTCTGAGGTATCAGTGATTACAAATATTCCTGTACCCCCTCCACTGCCAGGGTTAGATGACACCAACATCCCTGCAGTTCCAGAAATTGGGAGAGAGATTGCCTCTCCTCCTCCTCCTCCACCCCTTCCTGGAGCAGTTACTGGACCTCCCACACCTCAACCTCCTCCTTCAATCTCTACAGGACCACCACCACCCCCACCACCACCTCCTCCTTCAGGTTCTGGTGGACCTCCTCCACCACCACCACCACCTCCTCCTTTAGGTTCCGGAGGACCTCCCCCTCCTCCACCACCTCCTGCAGTCTTTGGATCTGCCTCTCCACCTCCATTAACAGGTCAACCACCAGCCTCTTTAGGAACAGGTAAGATAAGCATTTTTGATTGTCTTGATATTGCCTTTTACATAAAAAACAAACAAACAAATAACTCAAAAATAAACACATGCACTAATTTTATGTAAAATCTTACCTGTCTGATTTATGCATAAGCTGTTTGTCTATTTATTATTTTTATTTTAATATTATTATTTTTTTCAAACATTAAATGATGTCACCTGAACTGGTAATCATACCATCAACAGAAATAAAAATACCATATTATCTTCCATTAATATTGTCCACTTGATAGGCATGAGTATAAAGAGGCCAGTCCAGACTAAGCTACGGATGCAAGTCCTTAACTGGATGCCACTGAAACCAACACAAATCAATGGGACAGTTTTTACACAGCTGGATGATGAGAAAGTGCTCCAGGTAATTTAAGGTGGACAGTTTCCACCTGTTTTATAACACAATATGTGTCAAACACTGTATTTTATTTGACCTATAATCTTTTATTCTTGAAGGAACTTGACATGAGTGACTTTGAAGAGCAATTTAAGACCAAGGCCCAAGGTCCCAGTGAAACAAATTTTTCCCAGAGAATAAAAGCGGCTCAGAAAAAGCCAAGCAAGGTGACGCTGATCGACCCAAATCGTGCCAAGAATCTTGCAATAACCTTGAAGAAGGGAGGCCTAGCTCCCGAAGCTATTACCACAGCCATCAAGAAGTGAGTATGTCATGGGATCCCATGAGAGCACATGGAAAGAGGGGCATTGATGGCCATTGCTAACTAGCTGCTGTCATTCTCTGCAACTCCCATAATCCTCTGCCATACTTTGCTGATTGATTATATAAATGTTTCTTCATTAAAAGCTCTTGCCAAGCAGTGGCTAGGTCAATCATAATTCTCATATAAAGGGAAGCTGTAGGCACTGTAACTACTTCATCTCATTGAAGGGGCCATTATATAGGGAATCCCCCGGCGATGTCCTTTCAGTATTTACCTATTTTTAATGTTTTAATGTTAATGCACCTGTAGACAGAAGACACTGTGTTAATTTTATCTTGACACCAAGATCTGAAACACAAGTAAGCCCATCCCCTCTGTGTTGCCTTGGTTAATGAGGAAGTATTAGCCTGAGCAGCAATAGGTAGTTGTGCTAGTCTGAGAGTGCCAGCCTATCACAGCACCCATGGCTGGTATGTCTTGGTATGGTTAGTGTTACACACCTTGCAAATGGTTTTAACATTTAATAGATGGACAGAGCCAGGGTACTCCAGGTACTATGACCGATCCAATAAGATTAAATAGTTGTAGTGCCTATTGTGTCTCTTTAAAGTTCTATAACAGTGGTGAGCTTATTCCATAAACCATGAATAAAGGGGCACAGCAGGTGGTTCAGGGCTTTGCAGTTTCATTTGCTATTTGAATTGGAATTCCCAGAAACTTAAATCATGACATCGTATACAACAATCTTTTTGAAGCTAAAATGGAAATATGTAGTGTGGGAAAAAAGCAAACAATTATTTACAGCAACAACGAAAAAATTAAAAAAGAGAACAATTAATTGTAACATAACCTTACAAATTGCAACGAACCTGTGGCTGGAGTGCCTTTTTAATATTTCAATTTTATGGTATGACACAACATCCAGATGGAATGTTCTGTGTGTATCTCCACGGCAGACTAGATGGGCCGAATGGTTCTTATCTGCCGTCACATTCTATGTAACACCTACCATCAGTACCCCAAGTAATTAATGGTGTTGCATCTTTCCCCAGCTATGATATGCAGGCCATCAACTTGGATTTTCTCGAGCTTCTAGCTCGATTTCTGCCATCAGACTATGAGCGACAGCAGATTTCACGATATTTGAAAGATCAGAAACCCTTGGATGACCTCGGTTCAGAAGATAGATTCATGGTCCACCTCTGTTCCATTCCTAGGCTGTCTGAGAGGGTTAACACCATGACTTTCATTTCCAGCTTTCCCGATACTACAGCTCGTCTGACACCGGTAAAAAAAAAATTCTATATTAAATATGTACATGTAGGACACAGCTGTGGAACGGGGGTCAACTAGGTTGTCATTAGCATTGTTGCCTCTAAAGCAGGGGTTTTGAACCCATTCCTTGTGCACACACTCTGGAGATATATGTAAAACCAATACTCATTGGTTTGCTTAAGGATCTGTTTGGCAACCCCTGGTCTACAATGTAAGAGTTGATAAGGATGATTATGGAATATCCAGGGATATTTACCTAGTAAAATAATTACAGGCAAATATTTGGGACAACTTATTCAATCTTTAAGGTTTTTCCATCTGTTGTTTCTATTGCACCCTAACCATCCCCCCCCCACCCCGCAATATACAGTTTGATGATATCACTCATTCCACCACGTTTTCCATCAGAAAGTTGTTTTATTTAATTTCTAATTTTTTTCCACCAATTTAAATTTGCCTGACTTTCAAAATGGATTTAAGAAAGTCATCACTTTTTAGATCACTTTAATAAACACCATCACAATAGCAACATAATTTGCAGTCACGTTTCAGAATACTTTGATAAATAGCCCCTATGTTCTAGGGTTCCTTCAGCACTTAGTTATTGTTCCTTTACAAACTATAATGTTGTATTTTTTAGATCAAGTTTTGTTAAGCTTACTCATGTTGAGTCAAATAATATAGCACCCTACATTTAAAATCTTCATGAGGTTCTTGGGTGCCTCATTTTATGACATGCTACCAAAGAAGCTCATAATATAATTCCATGACATTTGTGATGATGACCAGGCTGTAAAATGTTTAAATACTTAATATAATATTCATAATAATTTTAAAAAATTATAACATGTTAGAATTCGAGTTACTTATAATGAACTAAATAAGGTTAGTTTGGGGCCTCTGTTTACATGTGTTTATGTTGTAGAAGAGGTAATGAATTATGCAAACTTTTACACTTTATTTTGTTAAGTGAATACTGCATTGTTAACGTTAAGGGCAATCAAGATACATGAATGACTCTTCTATACATTAAAATATTAATGTATCTACTGTGAAGTACAGAAAAATAAGTGTACTGCTAATGTAAAAGTTTTACATGGAGTGAGAGAAATTCAATTAGGAGCTGATGGCAGTAATTATTTATATTCTGTTTACATACTGGACCCTGGCAAAATGAACAAAGATCAATGTGTATAATATTTTATTTTTATTTGTTTTCATCACATTTCAGCAACTTAATGCATTGATTGCTGCCTCCATGTCAATCAAATCTTCAGAGAAGCTGAAAGGAGTCCTAGAGGTGAGAAGTGTCTTAGGGGAGACACGGGGAGTTCACAGTGCACAGGGGAGACGTGAGGCTATTTTATGTTTTTACTTTATTTTTCTTAAATATATCATGACAAGGTGTAATATGTCATGTGTTGCTGTTTATCTGTGCTTTTATTTCGCTAATTGTAAGACCTGCTAAGGAACAGATGATTGTTATTATGTCCTGATATGAAAAACAATAGAATTCAAAGTGGATGTACTTTCTTTTTCCCATGACTGCATAATTGCTTCATCTCATTGAAGTGGTTATAGTGGAGTCTCATGGCACTGTCTTCCCATATAGAATTAAACTGTTTTTAATGTTTTAATTCTAAACAAGAGTCCCCTGCAAGCCCTCTGTGCTGCTTGGGCCAATATGGAAGTAGTAGCCTAAGAAGCAATTGCGGCTGTGATTGACTGAGAGTGTCAGCTGACCACATTCAGCCTATCACAGTGCCATTGCAGGTACGAATCGTAATGACTACAAAAAAGATTATAATCTCTTTCTTAGACATAACTTCAGTGTGGCTATGGGAAGTCAATGAGCCCCATTCGGTGTTAAACTGCTCATAAATGGTCTAACACTGAATGGAGGGTCAGCTCTCAATTCAATGAGAGGAAATAATTGTAGATTATGCTAACGTAGTGTACCGATAATCTTAATTGTAATAATGACACGAGGAGAGTATTTTGCATAGCACAAGTCAATCATAAAACTTAAACCAATCAAAACAAGTAACACATTCCATATAAAGCCTTGACAGGCATAGCTCCTCCTCTTTCTTTGATGTGAATTGAGAGTCTAGTATAAAGTCAGGAAATATAACAGTAACTTTGAAGATACTTTATAACAGTAGGTAGAGTTGAAGAACGAACACTTCCAGTATGTCCAATCTGGAGACCGCAGATAAAGGTCACACTGAAAATAACAGAAACAAGTGAAAGGCAGTGGTAATAAACAGATGTCCACATAACAGAGACAAACAATTTGTAATTCAATATTAGCATATTATAATTCAACATATTATATAGCACATTGTATACAAGATGTACTATATAACCATAGCCCGTATTAGGCAACTCAACAATCCTGTACTACCACAAGACAATTCAGCGTATCTAGAATTACGTCATCAGTATGCATAGCACTAACTGGATAAAACTAATAAGAAAATGAAACCAGACTGAAGTAAAATAGCTGGGACCTAAAGGTCACCCCTGTGATGCAGAATTCAGTAGTGTTGTGCTATGTTGTCATGGAGAAGTGTATGAATTGTGTCATATGGTTAGGCAGCCCCCATTTCGAAGATGTCTGCGTTTATTCTGATCGTGCAGGGGTCAAACATATGAGCACCGTGGGTGTCAGGAAATATCATCCCCCAATTTGTCCGCAGATTTGCGGGCGTCCTCCCCTTTGTCCGCGGACTTGCGGGAGTCCTCCTTATAAAAGGGTGGTAGGCCATTTCAAAAAATCTTTCGGACATATCTGGGATCCATTGTAGGGGCTTGCCTTCAGTTTTTTGAGGGCTCGTGTTGGTACCCTTCCAGCAGCATTTATCATAGACTGAAAGTCTTGAGTGTGCTACTCCCCCTGGCCTGCAGTACCCCCCAGGTTATCCCCAGAACCATTCGAAGGAGCAGAAAGGGCAAAAAGCCACGGTGCGCGAGTGAATGGGAGTGAGTGAAAGGTAAGCAGAGCAAGGCTCAGGCTCTCAGTGAGGTCGAGTAGGCTCCGGATAGTAGAAAGCAGGATAAACAAGCATTAAATAGGATAGGAATAAAGGGGGTAAAACAGGAGAGGGAGCAGGAGGGCAAACAGGTATATTTAGTAACTCTGCAAATGAAATCAAAGTAAAATACAACAAATTGAATAAAATATGCTCAGAACAAAATACTCTGACCTGTGCCTGGCTGAAGCAGCAAAGAAAGAGGAGGAGCCATGCCTCTCAGGGCTTTATATGGAATGTGTTACTTGTTTTGATTGGTTTAAGTTTTATGATTGACTTGTGCTGCTGGAGGCATAAGTAAAGAAAGTTACGCAAAATATGAAGCCTCCTGTCATGTTGTGTATATCTGTGTGTGTGGCAGTGCATCCATCCCCGCATTCATACACCAACAATGCACACAAACACATCCCTGCATTCAGATATATCCATGTATTAAAATGCAGTACATACAAATACACCTTTTTTAGTGTTGAAAGAAAGTAATACATTTACATTTATGACATTTTTACATACATTTTATGCATGTGACACTCCAAATGAGTTTGTCACCCCTGGCAGTGTCCCTTTAATCTACATCTTACTCCCTAACCATTGCCTCTTTTTAACTCTCCTACTTTGTCTACAGCTGGTTCTGGCATTTGGGAATTACATGAATAGCAGTAAGAGAGGGGCAGCCTATGGATTCCGGCTGCAGTCTCTGGATGTGGTAAGTGTGGCAAAAACCTGGCTCCTGGCTCCTAGTTGCATTTAACGTGACAGGAAGACGGTAAAGCGTCATGGGAAAAATCCTTATCTGAAAGATTTAATTTGTTTTGAGTATATTGCTGTGCTACCACATCTTGGCATCCAATGCAAATTCAAAATGCCTCTTAAAAAGGCATGCGCACAAAATTATGGGAGAAGATGCATGTGTAGAGCAACTTGATAAGATGGAGGTGGCAGTAACATTGATGTGCACTGGACATAAAAGTATGTTTTATATTGTGTATACAGCACATTCCACCCCAGGGGAAAAAAACACAAGAAGTAACGGTTCCTCTTCAGGGGTAAACTTTCATTTCTGTGAGCTAATAAGAGAAAAACGTTCCTGTTTAATTTTAGCCCAGTCTATATAACAATATGTCTAAACTAGCTAAAGAGGAAACAAGGAGATACATTAATAGATTTACTTACGTAACAACATTTTAAATCCAAATCAAGATCCTCCATGAATATGGTACCCAAGAAGAATGTTTTTAAAACATACCGCTCAACTCCAGTGTTCAAAGAATCGAGATTCCGGGAAAGGGAAATAAAGTGGGTGGGACAGTGATGTGATGGCTCCGCACAGAGAGGTGGACACACCCAGAAAGCGGGCGGGCCTACCCAAAGTACTGCCAGAGAGCAGACCATGCAGTTCCAGTGTTCCCTGCAGGATCCTAGTGTCCTGAACGTAGCACTAGTGCATGTAAAGATGCACCCATGCTACGCTTGTTATGAACACTTCCCTGGTGTCCCCAATAGTCGGGACGGCAGGACAGGATCTTAAAATCGGGACTGTGGCACGGAAATCGGGACGGTTGGGAGTCATGTTGAAGGAATACTCCAAACATCTAAAGCTCTTTTTATCATTTTTCAAAATGCAGATTTCAATAGAAATTGACACTTTTATAAATTAACCTCGTTACACCCTCCTGGCTTTCAATCAGACAACCGGTCTTGTTACTTCCTGGTCTGTTTAGCTCAGTGGAGCTAAACTCAAGAGGCAGCAATAGTCCAGAGCACCTGACTTAAAAAGACTTTAATTGAGCTGCATTGGATAGTCAGTGATTGGACAGCCACAGAAAGTCTGGTCGGAGTTAGAAGGGGAGGGCTTGGAAAGAAGGGAAGGATTTGCAAAGGCTGCAGACCTGCAGCTTTTACAAACTGTTGTTAAGATACACCTGCAGTGAAATATGTTTTCATTGAGGGTATATATAGTATATAGTGATATTTTTTATTTATTTATTTTTTGGAATTTGGGCTGTAGTGTGGTCCCCTTAATAAAATAAACTAAAATAATTAATTAAAGAAACACTCAAGCACCATAATCACTACATTCCATTGTAGTGATTATAGTGCCAGGAGTGTCCTTTCCCATTGTATCTAGTCAAACTGTTTGCTAACAGATCTACTTCCTGTGTCTAGCTTTCCTGTGTAAGGCAGGCTCCAATCCATATCTCTCTGCCTAAGCTAATCTTAGCTGTACAGTTAATGCTCTCAACCAATGAGCTGACCGTGCTGTGCAGGGCTTATCTCGGGAGAACTAACAGAAACTCCTGGCAGGATCTTTCAGCTATAAGTACCGGAAGAGAGGCAGGGACCAGTGCATGGTGGACACTTTAGTAAAAATGGTTTGACTACTAACATGGGGGAACGAGGGCACTCATGACACCATGGCCACTACACAAAAATGTAGTGGTTATGGTGCTTGGAGTGTTCCTTTAAGTTTATCAGCAGTTTTGGAAAGACATACATGGTTAATACTGATAATGCCTTTCTGCTTATCATCGGAGATCTATACTTTTATCTCTAATTGCAGCTCCTGGAGACCAAATCTACAGACCGAAAGCAGACCTTGTTACATTATCTGGTGCGTGTGATCCTCGAGAAATATTCCCATTTGTCTAACTTCCATTGTGACCTTAATTTCTTGGAAAAGGCTGCATTAGGTAAGATTAACCATTTTGGGGGTATAAGTAATCAGGGGAAAAAAAACACACTTCATGAGATAAAATTCAATTAATGTAACTTGTATTAAATCTGAAATGGAGATAGATCTGTAACTTTCACATTACCACTTGCTATAATGTTAAAGAGAATTATTACAAGGTTCTTTCCAGATGGTACTTATACCCAACAACACACAACATTTACCCTTTTGTCTCCCCCCCTATGCACTAGAAATTGTGGTGAAAGGAAAAAAACAGATATGTATTCGATGGACATGCCCATGTATAGCCATAAGACCATTGGACTTGGACTTTCCAAATCCTTGTTGACATTCTAAAAGTCACAATTGCTCCAGACCCCTGGGCTGGTCTTTTGATAGACAGTTATTAGAGAGTTGGTCCTACTTGCATCGGTATTGCTAAACACTGGTAGTCCAACTATTCCAGATAGTCAAAATAAACTATGGCTTTTCTTCATAATGGAACACATTACCACCAATTCGACTCATACCTACTTGAATTACAGGCCCTCTGGTCTCCCTGGATGAATTCTCAATCCAAGACCAAAAAAGGTTGTGACTCCTGGTGATGGTGGCTACCGTCACAAAGGTCTTCTTGCTCTTTGGGACGGGTGGAATGCTTTTATAACGAATTGTATTCCTATTTTTATACATATTCCAGAGCAAGAACTCCAAAATAGTTATATCTCATTGGTTTTTTATTGAAAATTTTTGATAGCTATCAATGTCTTTATTCTTCTAGCTATTTATTCTGGGTGATTTTTTCTTTATCGTGACTTTATTATGTTCCTTTTCACCACATGTAATTTACATGAAAATTCCTAATAATAATTATACATCAAAACGAAGAGTCACTATTTCCACTTGCATTAAAATCATACAACCAACTACAAATACTACTAACCATAGTGGTAAGACAGTAATTAGAAGCCCCTGTCATATGTTAGCCAAGTAGTATCTTGTACAAATGCCCAGAGTTGGCACTTGGATACGTAAGTCATAAGAGGTCGAAAAAAGTAATATTTGTAGTTGTAACCTCTATACAATCTTGTTGGGGCTCAATATAGTACACCCCATATTGAATTGTACCGAGGCAGTATCCCAGGTTGGTCAATAGTTACTGCATCTCTAGTAGTGCTTCACCGATTGTAGAGATGTTGTTTTTCCCCTTATCTCAGTGCCTCTGGAATCCATACTGGTGGAAGTGCGGTCCCTCCAGGCTGGGATGGAACAAGTCCAAAAGGAATTTACAAAGCAAGATGACAGCCCTGCTCTTAAGAACTTCATAAAAACCAATATGGATGTCATGTCAAAGCTTACAGGGGATGCCAAGACTGCACAGGTGAGGGATGGGGTTTGGGTAGATGAGGAAAATTGGCATGGGTCGGATTTGTTTAATTGGAAATAAATCCGATAATGTAATTGTTTCTTGTAACCAAATCACATTGGCCTTCAAGAGGAACCACCACATCTCTGGGAGTTATCCAACAATAAAAACCTGAATATCACCTATATTGTGCACTGTTTTATATATGATTTAGCAATTGAGGTCAGAACCCATTTCAGTCCAGGGATAGCCAAGGCTCACGTTGGATTGGAGGAGAAACAGAAACACTCAAGGTTATTCACTGAAATGAGAATTTACAGAGACTTTCAAATTTAGGACACGGTTGCCAATCTGGAAGGATAGCATAGAGAAAATTTTCCAGTTCGGCTATTTTGTGACCGAATTTCCCAGTATGCTTTTCTTTAACTAATGGAACCAGCAGGTCTGTTGGTCGGTCAGTGCAGTGGCCCTGTGCTTTTTACCCTGCAATGAAAAAAGTTGCAGTTTTTAAGAAACTGAAATGTTTATATTGCAGAGTTAAATACACCTCTAGTTATATATTTTTTTTAATGTATTCTTAAATTATACTAACATTCTCTCTTTCAGGAGGCCTATGCTACTGTTGTGGAATATTTTGGAGAGAATAGCAAAAACACCCCTCCATCCAACTTCTTTCCCATTTTTGTGCGTTTTGTGAGAGGTTACAAGGTAAATTTGACTGGAGGAGCATTTACTCATCTATGATCTATACAGAATGTATAAGATTGTAATACAGACGTACAATAATTGCCTCTTTAAAAACATTTTTTTAACTAAAAACATTTTCAAATAAATCAGAATAGGGATACTAAATGTTTAGTCTACGCACCATTAACAATTTGCATTATAGGAAACTGCATAGTGCCTAGAGCACCCTAAGACCTCTATCACATCTGAGAGTGGGTTATAATAGCAATGATTTGTAATAATCACTGCAGCTATAAAACCACCACTAGGACTAGAATCCAGGCAGCTAGGAACACTAAGTTTCAGCATTCCATTGTCAATTCCATCTTTGTTGTCTATGTGACTTTGTAATCCAGATACACAGTAGAGAGGGTTCTCTCTCCTCTACTGTGAGAGTTCCGAGCCAAGGACTACACGAGAGGTCTATGCAGCTTTCCTGATAGTAAATTAAAGCCCTGTCTATACGTTAGCTTGCACAATATGGCTGCTATCAGTTTATTGAGTGGTTCCAATCACCCTATGTAATGTATGGAACAGATAAACTACTTATCCCACAATCCCCTGCTGGAACCACATATACACTCATAGTGTGAACATGCACAATAATAGTAAGTAATTCACATGGTTACACACGGTATTATTGATCAGAGAACATACACTGTATTGATGTTAGCGATTAACACATGCAATATGTGGTATGTAATCATTCTGTCTCCATGGTACCCAGAAAGCGGAAAAAGACCTTGAGCTCTGGAAGAAAGAGGAGACCTCAGAAACCGATGAAAAGACAGATAGCCCTGGAAAACTGCCACAGGTGTGTTAACAATGCTAGCCAGGTGATTTTGATCTTGGGCGTGATTGGTTGTAAACCACATAAGGAGGGAAGGTAATCAATGCTTTAATTTATATCTTCAGTCACCAGCCCTGAAATCCACTATGCCATCGGTCAATTTGATGGCCGAATTAAACAAGAAGCTGCAGAAGAAAGAGCCACGATTATATGAAGAGAACTGGGCAATAGATGATATAATAACAGGTGGGTGACTATTATACTCAGTGTATGGACTTGTTTGCAAACAATAATAATGACATGTTCTCCTCTCCTTGCCTTGGGTTTAGTTTTGTGGGATTATGTTCCAGGGTGGTCATTTACTACATCTGCGAGAACTTCACAAGTAGAAGTTCAGCAACCTGCTTGGAGCAATATAAGATGTGGTACTAGACAGGACGTGATATGGCATCATTAAATGGTTCTCCAGCCTGAAGGTCCATAGTTTGTCGATGCCCAATGGCCAGTCCATGCCTGTTTTAGTGTGTGAACCAATGCCCCAAGCTCTGGAATAGTGGCAGCATATACAGTATGGAATGGATGCAATATTTGTATTCATTTGTAAAACAATTAACAGCACAATCAGTGCACATGGTAGACTGTTAATAAAATAAATGATAGTCTTATTAGTTGGTATAGAGTAGAGATTTCATTTTTGTTTAAACTCACTTTAAGCCTCTATATTAGTACCTTATGAGAAGAACTTAAATTAAAGAAAAATTAATGTTATGCTCACAAGCTATGTGAGTGGTTAAACTATATATATTGGCTTTATTGTTTTTTTATAAAGACTCATTTTGGTAGAAACTCTTTTAGATGACAGATCCACTTTGCATTCAAGGTATAACAAATATAAAAATGATATTTTCTTTTAGGTGTTGTTTTTTTGTATTTATTTTTGTATTATTTTATTATTTCGTATTATATATGCATCCAATTTAACATTTTTTCTTTATGTTAGACTTACAGAAAAAGCCGTATCGAAGGACTGATGTAGGTCGACGAAGTGGAAAAAGACAGAATGGACAGCCAGTAAATACCCCAGATGTAAATGTGTGAGAGCCTGTTGTGTAAAACCAGCAAATCAACTCTCCTGTTGGACCTTTGACATTTCACACTATGCATCTGGCTCTAGGGGTGGGAGAGATGGAAGTTAAGAATAGAAGATCTGATGTGTATAAAATGACTAATGCTTTGCCTACAATACCAAAGGGCGTCTTTGCAAAAGGAATTCTTAGATACCCATTCTGCGGTGTGCTCATGAAATACGTCACAACATTGCTTCTTCTGCCAGACTATCCTTTAAATAACAATGAGACGGACAGGAGACTGACATCCACCATGTGCCAGAGGTCCCAGGCTATGGCCTGAAATGGTTGATTCAGTGCAACTGCAGGGTCCACCATCAACTTGTATTGACGGTCTCTAATGTATTATTTGGATATCTGCCAAACATCTCCTGGAAATTTTAAAGGGCTTTTTAAAAAAAACAAAAAACGTAAATGTGCACATATCTAGTTGTGGTATAAAAATGTCATCGTCAAAAGCGTAATATCAAATTAATAAGGGCCTGGCATTTTAATGAAAGAAGCACATCTGATTGAAACGCACATGATTAATCCTGCAAAAAAAAAAAAATCATCATTATACTTAGCATATTTATTTGTATTTTTAGTCGTGTAACTGCAAAATCCACATCTTTCTTTGCTCATTCAAATATGGCTATAAGTATCTCTTTTCTTGGTTACAGTATTAGTAGGATTGTGTAAATAATTGTGATATAAGAGATTTGGATTGGAGAAAAGAAAAAAAAATAGTGATGCAGGCACCAGCTCAAGAACTCAAAGAGTCAGAAGAGTCACAAGTAGTGATGTCCCGAACGGTTCGCCACGGACTCATCATTGAGTAAACTTTGACCCTGTACCTCACAGTCAGCAGACACATTCCAGCCAATCAGCAGCAGACCCTCCCTCCCAGACCATCCCACCTCCTGGACAGCTCACTAAGAATGCAGCTTCACAATGAATGTAAAATGGATGCTGTCCGGGAGGTGGGAGGGTCTACTGCTGATTGGCTGGAATGTGTCTGCTGACTGTGAGGTACAGGGTCAAAGGTTACTCAATGATGAGTCTGCGGCGAACCGTTCGTGGCGAACCGTTCGGCAAACCGTTCGGGACATCACTAGTCACAAGTTATCATGGACCCTTCTACAGTAGTTAGAGAGTATCTGGATCAGTTGGGCCTTTAACATCTTTCTTGTGGGTCCATAAGTGTCTTCATACTGACTAAAGTAATATGTGGTCCTGAGATATTCAATGTTTGAATGTCACTGGACCCTCAAAATCCCCCACAGATATAAACAATACCCAAGAGAAAGCTAGTTTGTAGAATCATTTATGCCACATGTCTATATTCTTCTAGGTACTGTAAGGGTGTATTGATTTATATTCTATCATTATCTATGGAATGGACCATGACTCGACTGTTTTACTTTGTCCACTAAGTAGATGTAATGTGCAAGCCTTCTAGAGCACTCAAATCTCGTCTTTATATAATTTCCTTCTATGAGCCTGTAGGGCTCTGTCTAAACTCACACTAGTCCAAATGGATGATTGAATGGTCTACAAAAGGTTGCACTTTAAATCCATTTAGTTACCTAATAAATTCTACACTGCTACACTTTACCTCCAGTGAAAAATTCACCATACTCGGGTCTATGAGAGTTATTCACTAAAATAAGAATTCAAAGTGAATTAAAAGTGAAATGTTGGTCAAAATGGCCTAAATAGAAACATTCTCTAAGTCCTTTATTCCAGTTCATCTTCTCTGGCCTTAAATTAGAAATCCACTTTGATTTCTCTTTTTAGTAAATAATCCTATAAATATCCACTGACATTTGATGCAAACTGTGTCCCACAAATGTCTCAAAACCATCTATGCCATTGTTCTCCAACCCAGTCCTCATGGACCACCAAGAGTCCAGGATTTATGTATATCCCTGTTTTATTCCTATGGAGATACTGATAAAACCTGGACTGTTGGTGGTCCATGAGAACTGGGCTGGAGAACACTGATCTATACTACGTGGCCCTAACCTGCTTTCCTTCAATTATACACCATTCAATACCACTCAGATTGTCTATTTTAATTATGCTTGGTGCTTTGTGCACTTTGGTCCTTCCCACGTCTACCCTTATTTACCGTGTCACTATATTGCTATCACTGTATCAAGTTATCATGTGAATAGCCAAATTAAAATTGATTGAGTTCTCAGTATTTTTCCCTCACTAAAACGAAGTTAGAATCTCAAACTTCTCCAACTAATCGCCACCAAAATGAGGGAGTGGGAGTACGTAAACATTTCACTAGTAGAAAGGTAGGTCAATGTTCTCATAGTGGAGCAATTGCCACGGAAACCTGTGGCTGTTGCCCTTTAGAACTCTGACCTATATTTCTACTAGTGACATTTTTATGAATCTTCCTCCTTATGTCAACTAGGCCAATTCATCTGTGACCGGAATGGAAACATTCATTCATCTGCGATCAGGCAGGAAACACATACGAGCTTGATAGGTTCACATTGTAGAGGTAATACATGGATTGGGGTACTATTTTACTTTCTATGCTTAACTCTTACAGTGGGAGTTCAGTGCACAGTAAGAAGATGATTAAAATACACTGATTTACAAATTCACCATGCCCTGCTTGCATATGAGCTATATTATTTTTTTTTAAATACTTTGTATATTAAGTCAATAAAAAAAAAAAATCTGAGATCAAATTTAATTTTGTACCATTTTGATAACAAAATAAATATAATTGTGGTTCTTAAATAGACTTCTTGATATCCAGAAGGTGATAAATAATATGTGCATAATGAGATATGTATCTGATATAAATCTCTTTACAATGGGTTCCATATTCACTTCTTAGTTTAACTTCACAAGTTGAGCCATGTAAATATGGATGGAAGATGTGCTTTTAACAATAAGAACAATACGGATGTAGAATTCTCTGCCTGAAGAGGTGGTTTTATCAGATGTTTAAACTGCCATTGCAAAAACATAATATTCAGAGATATCATTTTTTATTTGTTGGGTAATAGCTTATTGATCCAAAGAGAGTTCTGACTGCTAATCTGGTATCAAGAAGGGTTTTTCCCTATTTTTTTGCAAAATTGGAAGGGCTTCAACTGGGGTTTTTGCCTTCTTTTGGATCAACAGCAAAAAGAAATGCGAGAAAGGCTGAACTTGATGGACACATGTCTCTTTTCGGCTATGTATGTAATTATTTAATAGATACCAGTCCTCATCATATTGGCAACCTTAATTGGTACCCTGCCAGGCAGCCCGACCTGTCCCCTTTACTGGACACTTAGCCAGTAACTCTAAAGGGAAGGGGTAATAAAATGAAACCATGGTCAGCAAGTTCATATAGAGAGCGTGAGCTTATATCTAAAAGATTTTATTATATAAAGGGGTAAAGAGGAATTGATGCATGGAGAGGTAGGTGCTTTATATAGAAAATACAATAATCTGATACGGATGGCGGAACTAAGATTCAGGAAGCATATTCACAAGAAGAGGATGAGGCTAGCTTACTTCAGGACCTAAAATAACATTTTATAAAGAAAAATATACTTATGTGAAGCTATTAGCTCCTATTCCACCAGAGCTCCGAACCCACTATTACTGTAAACAAATTGGAACAGGCGCAACAAAATACTGATGCACCACAGTTCTACTAATTTTATTAATATCAAATATTGGGGGGGGGGGAGGGCTGCCCTTTATCAATGTACACCGCTCTTAGAGAACAATAATGCAGAGAGTTCAACCAATTACCATCGTGAATAAAACATTGCCTCCAGAATAAAACAGGTCTAGAAAGGCTTGGGGTGTAAAACAGCCCACGAAATTCACTCCTCCACTTTGACGACAGCGGCTCTTGCAGGGAACGATGACATCTTTGAGACTTTGTCCAGCATGTAACTGTTGCAAGGACGCTTACACAGACAGAGTGGGGAGGCCAACACACAGTAGAAAAAAAAAACAAGCTTCCAAGAAGTGGCACCTATAATGATAAAATAAGACTTAGAACATTTGCTAAAAAAGCGCTGCAGACATAAATATAAAACAGCAAGGTCCTAAATGGCTTGTGTTACTTTGCTGGACTACCCCACTGTACAGAACACATATGCAGGATATTATAGTGATTTACCTAATAAAAATAAACACACTAGACAAAATAAAGTACAGGCAAGGGTGGGATAATTTATATACAATATTTACAAAATGGAGTACATGCAATTAGAGCTCTGGTAGCTCTTTTGAGCAGGGTCCTCATTCACCTATTCTTCCTGTAACATTTTCTAATTGTCTCTTTTTGATGTGTTAAATTCCCCCCCGCTGCGGAATAAGTTGGCGTTATACAAATGCCAAAAACAATAATTACATAGATTTTGACGTGGGTTCAATCTTACTTGAGTACCAAGAACCCCTCTGTCTGGTAATATACTGCCATCTACTGGACAGATAATAAAGTGAAAAAAATAAATATTACAAAGTACCCAAAATAAAATAAGACGTTGTCTGGCCCCCCCAAGGGATCCACAGAGCTTACAGCAGACAAAAAATGTTTGCAAAGGGTTAGAAAGATTTTATTACCATAAGGGAAAATGACTCACCTGCCTGTGGGTCTTTAGCCACGAAAGTAATAAACCATAGAATAAACCAAAGCCATTCATTTCTTTTTCTTAATTGAAACCACAATGAGAAATGCATCCATCCCAATGTAGCATGCAGCAACAGGCACAGTAAAACATTAGAGCTGTATGAGGAATAAGAACAGTTTAGGACGTGGTTGAAAAGAGTATAGAATTCAACTTGCATTCCGAGTTGCAGGTCACTACGTCTCACAGGTGGACCCGCACGGAGTCTCTATACAGAGCCCTATAGACTGTAAGCTTGTTTGAGCAGGGCCTTCTTCAACCTATCGTTCCAGTAAGTTTTCTTGTAATTGTCATATTTATAGCTAAACCCCCCTTCTAATAATATTGTAAAACGCTACGGAATCTGTTGGCACTATATAAATGGCGATAATAATAATATTTTTTTGTTTATAAAACAATAGATGCATAGCAGATATTCGCTTTGGCGTATATATTATGTGTACCTTAGAATTTATCTTATATAGCTGATGACGGGGGCTGTGAGCACTGTGGGGATATTTATGGGATAATAATAGTAACAGTGAGAATTGCCCACTATTTCAATTCTCAGATCCCAAAGAACGTTTATCGTGTTAAGTGGAATGTATTTCATATAATTAATCACAATGTATAAAAATAGATTTTATTTATGATAACAAATTAATAATAACAACATGTAACATGCATGACAATAATCAATGAATATTCAGTATAAAACGATATGCAATACAAAGAAATGGGTATTACGTTTCAATGGCTAAACGGCATTATCTGTCAAGAATTCTGAGGATTTATGAGGTATCCTTAACATAGACTTTTCACAGCTAAGAACAGAATTCCTCAGAGTGCAGCGTAAGGTCGTGAAGTTTAGCAGACAGTTAGAATAACCCTTTCAATGCTGGCTAGATCTCCTAGGTAGTTAAGATCTATTCTTATGTATTTTTAAATAAAATAACATTTAACCCAGTTCACTAGTCATTTTCTTAAACCATCCATAAGAGAATTTACCACATTATATAAACAGATTTTTAATTTGTCTAAAAGATATCTATCTTAATTTAGAGCAAATCAATACACCTGGATAAAAACAGCGGTATGCTAACACGTGATAATATCACTTCAATATATAATTATTCTTAATTCCACCTGCAGAATGGAATGTTTATAACTATATATTCTTAGTTAACTAAGATTTCTTAATATGGAAATCTGACTGTGCTTTATCCAGTCATATATAATGGTATTAATACATTTTAATTAATTTAATTTAATTAAATGAAACCAGTATAATTACCAGTTGAGTAGATATTTCATCCGATTGGTAGTCTCTCTGCATGGAGGTGTTGGTTAGAAAGTCAGTAAATTCTAAGTGTTAGAGTTTTAGGAGTAGAGTGTTAGTCTCAGATGTTGTCCAAGTTGGAATCCCCAAACTTCCAATTCCTCTCTCCTCTCCTTTGCATATCTTGCATCTGCCTCCTCTCGTATATATATATCTTCCCTTTGTCTTAACTTTTAAAGGGCCAGACTCTCTGTACGTCATCAGTTGATAACCCAATAGAAGCACTAGAGGTGTGGTTATCTTCCAGATCGCAATTTAGTTATTT